TTGACCACTAGGCTACCCGACCGCCCCACCCTCTCAGTGGTTTATATTAATGAACAAAGGAATGTCTCCAATCCCTAGTTTTGCTTTCTTCCTATATTGAGATAATCACTGTTAAATAACAAAAATGCCGTCCACAGTGGTACTATAAAAACCACTCACTCACTTGAAGGTTTAAGGTTAATAATCCCCTCAAGTGTACTGGCTGTGCCAGACAGCTTTGTCCACCAAGAAGATTAGTCTGTCCAGCTGTCCACTCTGATGACCGTAATCCCTGCTTGTCTGGCTAGCACTCGCTCCCACCAGTGTCTAATCCTGGGATTAAAGTTCAAGCCCGAATTACACGGAGGCACGTGTTCCAACATGGCATTTTCCTTACGGGCTGGATTGAAAATCTAATGATTTCTTTGGGGATTAGATTTAATGAAATTTCTCATCAGGAACACACAAGGAAGTACTCCAGTGTCATTATGCATGCTTTTTGTAATGGTTGTTGGGTTTAATTAGTGTTTTAGAGACAGAAAAAAATCAGGGTTATTTGGAAACAATTTTGTAAAATTTCATTTGGGTATTAGTCCATCTGAAGGGATAAGCTTGAAGACAGAACATAACAGTATTGACATTTATTTCCATGAGAGTTCCGAGCTGGAAGATGGTTAATGGCAGTCAGTAAAAAATTCTTGAAACACTTCTGATTATCAGACAGCCAGACTTTCTCCAAAAGGACTGTAGCACAACAGATTTTCCGTTTTGATTTTTGTGGGTGAGTGAGTGAGTTGGGTTTAACACCATTTTGAACAGTATTGCAGTTATATTATGGCATGCCAGCTTATGTGGAAGTGATGCAGGTCTCAAATGTTTACCATTTTTGGTGAAACTCTCAAGCATTGGCGTGGTGCTGACGAAACTAGAAACATGATTAGAACATCCTGGTGAAGAGGTTTACCATAGTTACCATATTAAAGACATGTGAAGATCCGGCGTAGAATTGACCTTCAGCAACCCATGCTTGTTGTAAAAAGTGACTATGCTTGTCCTAAGAAGCGACTGAAGGGATCGGGTGGTCAGGCTTGCTGACTTGGTTGATACATGTCATTGTATCCCAATTGCGTGGATCAATGCTCATAATGTCAATCGCTAGATTGTCTGGTCCAGACTCGATTATTTACAGACCGCCGTCAAATGGCTGGAATATTGCTGAGTGCGGCATTAAACAATAAACAACAACAACAACAGCAACAACAACAACAACAACTGTACTGTAGGCCATTGTAAACCAATAGTGTTGCACAATGAGTTCCCACGATGAAATTATGTTGCTTTATTCATTCATCATGAAAAAGGGGCGGTCGGGTAGCCTGGTGGTTAAAGCGTTCACTCGTCACGCCGAAGACCCGGGTTCGATTCCCGACATGGGTACATGGGTACATTTCTGGTGTCCCCCGCCGTGATATTGCTGGAATATTGCTAAAAGCGGCGTAAAACCAAACTCACTCACTCACTCACTTCTGGACAAAATGACTGACCATGTGGAGCAGTTAACAAGATTCTGGAGAGTAGAACCGTGCAGAGATTTATTATATTTGTGTCACTTTCTCTTGTACAAAACACATGCAAAATGTAAGAAATGTGTTTTTTACATTTAATTCATAATCTTTAAAAAGTCAACATTGTCAGTGCAAGAATGTCGGCTGAAGTGAGTCGCGCGTGTTGCCGTAACGTTACACAGCTCCATAAGCCAATTGTAAAGTTTTTGAACATAAACAAGTTGATGCAGACATGCATATCAACTGGATGGATGGATGGATGGATGGATGGATAAAGAATATTTATCAAGTTATTTATTTGGAATCTGAATACAGAATTCTGGAAAGCATATGGATGATCGATTGAAAGAATGAATGAATGAAAAGTATTACCAGCGACCAATGAAAAGCCAGGTTATTTATAGAAAAACTGTATTTCCCAAGAGCATTACAGAACATTTAATACCCTCTATCTGGCCTCCCTGAGGGGAAGAACAAGCCATATCTCCAAGGAGATGATTATGAATATAATGAAATTGTATCACAATTTTCTGTATTATATTACCACATAATCATTCAATCTGTCTTACAGCTCTGCAAAAAAAATGTTCGGTTCTCTGTTTTGAAGAAAAACATTGTATGCCTTGGAGCAGTAACCAAGTAAAATATTGTCTAACAAAATTGCCCCCAGCAAAGATCCTCCACCCCCCTCCTCATAATTTCATGCCGTCAGTACCACAAATTGCTCATTGTAAATTATGCACTTGAGAAATAAGACTGGAGCTACTTGCTAATATTAAACCTCCAGCCATCAGGCTCCTGTGCATTACTTACCAACAACTTATGTTTTTAGCTTCACAGATAGTGTCAAAAGAATTTGGTGGGAATTAAGATGGTAAACGAAAAACATTAAAGATATTTGTTATCTTCTTCAAAACTGATATGTAAACATGTGGCCATCTGTGTTCTGTTCCTAAAGCCGGTCTCGTTTTTTTGCAGTTTAATGTATTTTGGGCTAAAAAAATGTTTCTCGGCACATTTTTCCGAAAGTGATGATGGAGGAACATTATATATTTTTTTGGTACTAAGGATATCAACAAACACAACTGAGCATGAACTAAACATGGCTCTTTAATACCCTGTCAGTGTTCAAGGATGATAACAGAGCTAGTATGTTTTATGTGAAGATGGAAGTTTAAAAATATTTCCTTGTTGGCGGAATGAATTACTGACATGCAGGATTTATAGCCTGGCACTGATGGCTGAGAAAATTGTTCATTTTTAGCATATTAGAGTTATGAATATATATATAGTAGTAGTAGTAGTACTAGTAGTAGTAGTAGTAGTAGTAGTAGTAGTAGTAGTATCATCATCATCATTATCAGCAGCAGCAGCAGTAGTAGTAGTTGTAGTCTGGCACTGATGGCTGAGAAAAATGCCCATTTTTAGCCTAATAGAGTTATGAATAGTAGTGGTGGTAGTAGTAGTAGTAGTAGTAAGAGTAGTTCTAGTAGTTGTTGTGGTAGTAGTAGTAGTTGTAGTTGTAGTAGTAGTAGTTGTTGTAGAAGTAGTAGTTGTAGTAGTAGTAGTAGTAGTAGCAGTAGTAGTAGTTGTAGTAGTAGTAGTAGTAGTAGTAGTAGTAGTAGCAGCAGTAGTAGTAGTAGTAGTAGTAGTAGTAGTAGTAGTAGTAGAAGTAGTAGTAGTAGTTGTAGTAGTAGTAGTTGTAGTAGTAGTAGTAGTAGTAGTAGTAGTAGTTGTGAGGATCATCGTCAGTACGACCCAAGTTTTGTATACACTTTCTTCCTCCATCACCCCAGAACACATACAAGCAGCTGAATATAATAATCTACACGTCAAACAACCCAACATATCTTGCGTAATACCTCAATCAGCAAGTGATTAATTCTCATCTAATGACAGGTTGTGTTTTTCAAGTGTTGCTGACATTTACTCAAAAAGTGCCGCATGAACATATAGAAATACTGATATTTTATGAAATATGTTTTGTCCATCTGGGGATGTATTTAAATATTAAATATGATTAATAATTTAAGGCATCATCAAATATGCTAAGTGAGAGGAGATCTGGCCTGCTTGAAATGATTTAGCTTAATAGCCAACACAATTTATGAATAATTAAGAAATATCCTCTACTTGCTACTAGTCAAAAACCAGGAGATGACTAAAAAGTTCTCCCGGAATTGATATCGTTAAGTAAGTTTGCAGTTATAGAACAAGAACCATCCTAAATGAGTTTTTAACAACACATTCTCCTTTTTCCAATGAGTGCTCATATAACGTCATTCGGCATCCACACTATCGTCTTCATTATTCATGATCATAGTTAAGTCTTTGCACAGATATTGCTGCTATAAAAAGATCATTGATTTTCAACTATCATTAATCTGGAAAATATTTCGAAAAACAACATTTTATATTATCCTAATAAAAAAATGAAAAATAATTAGACTTTTCTTTCTGAAGCCAGTGAAAACATTATGTCTGAATAATGTACCACATTTTCAAGTTTGTTAATTGATTTGTTTCTTAGGAAGCAAGATCGGCTATTCTGATGATGAAATGAGCTTATTCTTCTGTACCTAATTTTTATTGACATTATTCATGAGCATCTAAACTGGGGGGCAAAAGACAGTATACACTTGAAAATTGAATTTGACCAATAAATACAAATGTTATCAAAACGTTACTCGTCGCCAAAACACGACAAACTTAAACCAAAATACAATTGTGATACCCATAAACAAATAAACATCCATATATATAGAAAATATATATATAATATATATAATGTTGTTATTTGCTTGTGTTGGTGAATTTGTGAATATTGTGAATATATATATATATATACACCAACACAAGCAAACTTTGAGCCATCAGAGTGAGTGAGTGAGTGAGTGAGTGAGTGAGTGAGTGAGTGAGTATGGTTTTACGCCACTTTTAGCAAAATTCCAGCAATATCACTGCGGGGGTCACCAGAAATGGGCGTCACACATTGTACCCATGACGGGAATCGAACCCGGGTCTTCGGCGTGATGAGCGAACGCTTTAACCACTAGGCTACCCCACCGCCCCTGAGCCATCAGAGGTTACCTGTAAAAGATTTGTAATCATGTGATATTCTAACCACCATTTTTCATAGCACTCATAGTTATAAATGCTTCCAAAGCCAAACCAGTGATTTTCATGTGGTTATGATTATTTGGAATGCGAGAAACAAAAGGAACAAAAATAGAATGTTCTTTCATTTGAGGTAAGGTTTGTTTCAAACCTCTTGAAAAAACTATGTTTTCCAAGTATTAATCATATCAAACATAGAAATTCTTCATTTATTTTGCTTCCCTGTTGCTAATTCAAGGTCTGGCTCATTTGTAAACAAGAAAACAAATGATGCGTCCGGAACACCATGTTTGTGGTGTGGAATATCGATAAGTCATCCTTCATGTTTTTTGTTGGCAGCTGGAAGAGCAGTCGCTGCCCCTGAAGACCTCCCCAATTGTAATCCTAGCCGAGGGTTCTCTATCAGCTGTGAAACATGAGGTTCCGCTCCTTGAGTCAGCCTTCTCACAACTCGGAGCCAAAGTCAAGTTCAAAGTCATCGAAGGTATTCATTATTTATGGGTTTGAATTTTCTAGAATCTAAATATAATAAAAAAAAAAATTCAATTTATCTTCTTTTATGTATTGTAATTCAAATTTGTTTTTTGTCAAATCTGTACCTATTGTGTTAGATTGTAAAAAAATATTTGTTCACAGTACATGTATGAGACTAACATGTAGTCCCAGAAAAAAGTTATCTTAAAAAAAATCCATTATACACAGTAAAAAAAAAATCCAAAAAGAAGCTAAGAACACTTTCAAAACATTCTAGACTTAGTTGGGAATCCTTTTGAAGTTATCCTCTTGGGTATGGGAGCTAGACTCATAATTCATGTATCAAAATTATGTATTCTTTATATTGTTTAGTTCTGTTATTGTCATCAACTTTACTTTTACAGACCATCACTAGTAATATGTTCTGAGCATTTGAGATAGAAATCTAAAGGTACCAGTAATACAATCTAAGTAAATATGATTTCAGATTCTGATAACAAAGATGACAATGTGGATGAAGACATGTATGCCACCAACAAGCCCACATGGCGTGTACTGATGTGTCTGAACACATCCAGACCCAACACATGCCGGGACACAGGGCAGCACTTGGACCAGAGGGACTTCCAGAGGGTGAGTGGGTGGGTGGGTGGTTTAGTGGGTGAGTGAGTGAGAGGGTGAATGGTTTGGTGGGTGGGTTAGTGAGTGAGTGGGTGGGGTTTTGAGTGAGTGGGTGGATTGGTGAGTGAGTGGCTGGGTGGGTGAGTGAGAGGGTGAATGGTTTGGTGGGTGGGTTAGTGAGTGAGTGGGTGGGTGGGTGAGTGAGTGGGTGGATGGGTGAGTGAGTGGCTGGGTGGGTGGGTGAGTCAGGGGGTGAATGGTTTGGTGGGTGGGTTAGTGAGTGAGTGGGTGGGGTTTTGAGTGAGTGGGTGGATGGGTGAGTGAGTGAGTGGGTGGGTGGGTGAGTCAGGGGGTGAATGGTTTGGTGGGTGGGTTAGTGAGTGAGTGGGTGGGTGGGTGAGTGAGTGGGTGGATGGGTGAGTGAGTGAGTGGCTGGGTGGGTGGGTGAGTCAGGGGGTGAATGGTTTGGTGGGTGGGTTAGTGAGTGAGTGGGTGGGGTTTTGAGTGAGTGGGTGGATGGGTGAGTGAGTGGCTGGGTGGGTGGGTTAGTGAGAGGGTGAATGGTTTGGTGGCTGGGTTAGTGAGTGAGTGGGTGGGGTTTTGAGTGAGTGGGTGGATGGGTGAGTGAGTGAGTGGGTGGGTGAGTCAGGGGGTGAATGGTTTGGTGGGTGGGTTAGTGAGTGAGTGGGTGGGTGGGTGAGTGAGTGGCTGGGTGGGTGGGTGAGTCAGGGGGTGAATGGTTTGGTGGGTGGGTTAGTGAGTGAGTGGGTGGGGTTTTGAGTGAGTGGGTGGATGGGTGAGTGAGTGGCTGGGTGGGTGGGTGAGTGAGAGGGTGAATGGTTTGGTGGGTGGGTTAGTGAGTGAGTGAGTGAGTGAGTGAGTGAGTGGGTGGGTGGATGGGTGAGTGAGTGAGTGGGTGGGTGGATGGGTGAGTGGTTGGGTGAGTGGTTGGGTGAGTGAGTGGGTGGGTGGGTGAGTGAGTGGCTGGGTGGGTGGGTGAGTGAGAGGGTGAATGGTTTGGTGGGTGGGTTAGTGAGTGAGTGAGTGAGTGAGTGGGTGGGTGGATGGGTGAGTGAGTGAGTGGGTGGGTGGATGGGTGAGTGGTTGGGTGAGTGGTTGGGTGGGTGAGTGGGTGGATGGGTGAGTGAGTGGCTGGGTGGGTGGGTGAGTGAGAGGGTGAATGGTTTGGTGGGTGGGTTAGTGAGTGAGTGAGTGAGTGAGTGGGTGGGTGGATTGGTGAGTGAGTGGGTTTGGTTGAGTGAGTGGGTGGATGGGTGAGTGAGTGAGTGAGTGAGTGAGTGGGTGGGTGGGTGGGTGGATGGTTCGAGTGAAAGAAGGTGGGTGGGTGGGTGAGTGAGTGAGTGGGTTGGTGGATGGGTGAGTGAGAGGGTGAGTGAGTGAGTGAGTGGGTGGGTGAGTTTAATGCTTGACAGTGTTTCAGTTATATCAGCTTATTTGAGAGTGAAACCCAACTTGACACAGGTTATGGCATATTGGTAAAACTCACATATATACTCAACTATATAGCTGAAAAGACTATTGATACAAAATCTGTAAAATCGGTAATATGTTGATGGTGTCAAGTGTCGAAAACACTGCACATCTAACACTGAATAACACTGCATGACATTGCATGACACTGGCTATATCCATGTACAAGACAGGCAGTATATTCACATATCCCTCTGTTTCCAGATGAACGTGATCCCCGCCCTCCATGCCCTGTTGTTTGACCCTCAGGTCATGTGCCAGGGCGTGGGCAGTACAGGTAAGTAGGAATCATAGTAAGAGTTGCTGTAGGTTGTGTATCAATATTTTCATCAGAAGAATAAAGAGACTTTTGTCCATCAAAAAAGGATAATTCATTACAAACTGTAAACCACATGTCCTCAAAATTAGCATGTTGGTCTGACATCTGTAAGAATTCCATTTAAAATATGCAAAAGAAATCCCTACCCACCTACCCAACTTCATATTACTTGGCTGCCCAAAACATAAGTATATTTAGTGATGGTCTGGTGGTGTTTATTTGTAGATTTATGTTATGCCAGATATGACTTTTGAGATAAGCATTTTTTCTATATATTTAACTTAATTATATTTTTCAACATAACAGGCACTTTATGATCTATCCTTTTTAATAAATATGAATAACGAATTGTGTTCTTGGTGACCCCCTTTCTGTAAGAAATGTGGGACATTATTTTGTTTCATACAATGAGAAGCATGTGTAAAAAATGTCTAGATTATTATCAAGGACTAGAATATTTTTTTCAAAAAATCCCCCCCCCCCCCCCCAATTCTACACTGAAAATCAAATAGTATCTCCCTAAATACCCTGTAATATAGGTCATATGGCCTTTGAAAGAATAAACTGAATGAATTAACTACACACAAAAATTGTTATAGACAAACCAGCAGGTAACTGATGTGACTAGACTCTGCACAGCCTCATGCATGCTTAATTAGAGTGACTTCCCCTGACAGGTCAGTGGCAAGGGGGACCACTCCCGTGTTACAAACTTCTTGAGGATGTCCGTGCCCTGCCCTCCAGCCAGCCTGGTGACAAAAGTGGAGGTGGATGTGGTGAGCGCACAATGTGGGTCCTACACGCTGGAAGACAGGGGGGACAACCATCCATTCGGGAGTGTGAGGAGCTGAAACAACTGACAAAGGGGTAAGGACGATCGGCTACATTTGGTCCAGTCTGTGTATTCTGCTCAAGGATTTGTACCAGCCCTGTGTGGATTTCAGGTTAGAAAAGATCCCAGCAATGTGACTGCCTCCATGGTCGAGTGGTAGAGCGTCCGCCCGGAGAGTGGAAGGTCGGGGGTTCGATCCCTGGCCGCGTCATACCAAAAGACGTTAAAAGATGGTACTTGTTGTTACCCTGTCTGGCGCTCGGCATTAAGGGGCTAAAACAAGGACTGGTCGGCTCGGAGTCAGTATACTGTGTCTGAGTGGGGCATTCATGTTTAACTGCAGCATGGTATCTCAGTGAGCTAGCACTATAAATCGGCATCAGTCGGGACTAGTACAAGCAGCCACACAAACACACACACGTACATGCACGTCGCTATATAAGTGCAATACTCTTGGACGCGACGTTAAACCCCATTTCACCTCACCTCACCTCCCAGCAATGTTGCAGCCTCCAAGGTGATTTGATGGGCCAAATTCCTGGTAGGTTAGGGACATAACTCTTGTGTTTATGATGACCATACAGCTCGGTTATCTTATGTTATCGTATCTCAAGCACGTAGATCGATGCTCATGATGTCAATCACTCGACTGTCTGGTCCAGATGCGATTATTTACAGACCTCCATCATATTGAACAACAAATACACAAACATCTATAAAATCAAAATCATAAGAAACAAAAAACCTACTTTGATTGGCCTTGTGAAAAGTGTATATGATTGGCCATGTGTATATGACTGGACTTGTGAATATCATTGGCCTTATGTATATGATTGGCCTTGTGTATATTATTGGCCTTATGTAGATAAGTGGCCTCATGTATATGATTGGCCTTGTGTACATGATTGGCCTTATGTTTATGATTGGCCTAATGTTTATGATTGGCCTCATGTATATGGTTGGCCTCATGTATATGATTGACTTCATGTTTATGATTGGCTTTATGTTTATGGTTGGCCTCATGTATATGATTGGCCTTATAATTATGATTGGCCATGTATATATGATTGGCCTTGTGAATATCATTGGTCTCATGTATTTGGTTGGCCTTGTGTTTATGACTGGCCTCATGTTTGTGATTGGCCTTATGAATATCATTGACCTTATGTATGATTCCTGTTGACAGCCCTGACTGGAAAGCTGGTGTGGCGGTGAAGCTCCCTCCCCGCCTGTTCCATGTCGGAGTTCAACCACTGATGGTCCAGTTCCATGTGCTCGTGATGTCCTTCTCCCCACTCCGACTCTATCTGCACTCCGAAGCCCTCACTTGGGAGGGTATCAGCTCCTACCTCAACAAGAAGGTAAAACAATGAAAGATGGGCGTGCAGACTGATTGAGGCCTGACTAGAGAACGACCCCTTTTGTGACAGAATTACAAACATGGGCCCACTTGCACAAAGTGATCTTAGCGCTAAGATGATCGTAACTCCCCTTTTTACTTCAAAATAGTGCATCATGTCCAAATTGAAGCGTCGATTGCAGGATTTGCAAAGCATGTGTACAGACAACTTAACGTCAACAGATTTTTTCCTAATCTTTTCATGTATTTAATGAAGGTGCTCATGTGATTTTATTACGTCATTTTATCGATCAGATCATCTTGACTGGGTGCCTCTATTTTATTTGAAGCAAATGCAAGTGATATGAGAGGTCGAATCTGATTGGTTAATAGGCGGGTCATAGAAGGGACATAACTCGTAATAGCCATTGGTGGCGCTACGATTGAGCCTGGAAATTCCAGTAAGTTTAGCAAGGGTGGAAACTGGATTTTTATGTCAGTTATCTCCCTTGCCTTGGGAAGATGTGGTTCAGTGGGCCCCAAATAGTCAACCTTATGATCTCGTTCCAGCCCCAGCGGAGCCTGACACTGGGGGAGCTGCAGCAGCTGATGAGGGACTCGCGGGGACACCAGGTGTCGATGGACCAGCTGGAGGAAGCTGTCGTGGATGCACTACTGCTCCTGGAGTCAGCCGACAAGCACCTGCAGGAGCAGACTCACACTAGGTCAGTCACCCCGTGTATGAGGGTGGGGGATGCCTATGCCCAATAGGATGTCTTCGTGATCTGGTGGTAGAGCGTTCGATCCCTGCCCACGTCATCCCAAAAGACCCAAACATGGTACTTGTTGTTACCCTGCCTGGTGCTCGGCATTAAGGGGCTAAAACAAGGACTGGTCGGCTCGCGTCAGTATACTGTGTCTGAGTGGGGTTTTCATGTTAAACTGCGGCATGGTATCCAGACTAGTACAAGCAGCCACACACACAGGCCACCGTCACATAGCTGGAATATTGCTGAGTGTTGTGTTAAACAACAAACACAAACACTCTGATTGAACCCCAAACAAACATTCCTGTTTCACCTACTTTCTCAGACAAAGGCACAGGTAACAACAAGTAGTGATCTACAAGCCTCTGTGATGGGTAATGTGAATATATTGTGTTGCTTACAGGTGCCATTCCTGCTTCCAACTCCTGGAAGTGGCCACAGTCTTCAACACTTCCTTCCATCCATTTATACTGCAGGTAACCCACAGTTCTTTTGTAATCGTGAGTGAGGGAGTGAGTGAGCTTTGAACGGTATTCCAGTTATATCAAAATGGGGGGCACGGGTGACAGTCGTCTAAGAAGGCGCAATTTGATGTGCAGAGTTTCGTCCCTTGAGCACGCCAGAAACCTATGATTGTGGGTTTGAATGCCAGTTCGCCCCAGTTATGTTTCTAGGTTTGTCAGCACCATACCCGTGCTCGTGGGTTTCACCAAAGTGGTCTGAGACCTGCATCGCTTCAGGCTTTCCTCCCACATTAAGCTGACACGCCGTGATATAATTGGAATACTGTTAAAAGCGGCGTTAAATCCAACTCACTCACTCACTACATCATCATGTCAGAAGATGTGAAAGGAAAGCTTATCACCAGTGATTACAATTGAAGCGTGTCACGCTCAGGAACCCGATCTTAATACGGTAAACTAACTAAAACAAACTTGAGGGGACCACTAATTTTAATTTGTAATAACCGTAGTTCGTTACAAGCATACATACAGCATATATACAACAAATGGTTGGGACTTAAAAATAAGTTAGTTTTAGCGTGTGTAGCGGCCATAAAATGTCAGAGTCCCGTGATGTGATTCGAACCACGGACCTTCTGATCTGAGGTCAGACGCCTTGCCCACATGACCAAAGAGGTTAACCCCGTCAGCAAGCTGACATGGTAAGGATGTCATCTGTGGGATGACCCCACGCCCTGCTACACGTGTTTGTTATAAACGTAGTTTACTGCAATAGGTGTCTGGTCATACTTACGTCATCCATGATAAAATCTGTAGTTTTCATCCTGCCTGTCTCACTTTTCCCAGAGACAATTTTGTGACCTTACAAGCCATGGCGGTCATCCAAATGACTTTTTCTTTAAACTACAAGTGTCTGTCTTGATTGCAAGATTAAACTAGAAACAGAAACACAACTCTTATTTGATTTCAGATCAAGCCATACACTCACACAGGCAAAATGGCTTCTCTAAATGAATACCTTGTGAGACAGAGGATACTGGAAGATTTGGCAGCCATGTTGGTTGCTAGGGATACCGTTGTCATGGATATTGCCAAGGGGCTTGGAGAACTTGGACTGACAAATTTATACAATGTGAGTACATAATATTATGTTTACTTCTTTACTCGCTTGCATATTGATACATATCGCGATACTTGAGACACAATGTATGTGTCACGATATTAAATTTGTGCCATTTTTGCTTGAAATTCTCTGTTCGATGACTGCCTCCATGGTGTAGTGGATTATGCATCTGCCTGCAGAGCTGTAAGCCTAGGGTTCGATCCCGAATGCGTCATACTAAAAGACATTAAAAGATGGTACTTGTTGTTACCCTGCCTTGCGTTTGGCATTGAGGGGTTAAAACAAGGATCGGCATCTTTTATTTGTGTCAGTTTAAATAACTGGGTGCTGATGTACAAAGCGATCTTAGCTCTAAGGTGATCGTAACTCCCATACCTTAACACAGACTTACGACAGTCGTAGAGCTACTTGTTTTGTACAACAGCACCCTGGACATTAAACAGCTCTGTGATGTCCCTATCCTGAAGTGTCTGTCCTGTTTCTCTGTTCAATACAGGAAGGAGTGTGCAATTCTGATCAGAGCTTCTGCCTTAGTAAAGGGGACCTCATCTTCTCCCTCAACAACAGACGTGAGCAGCTTCATCACGGCAGCTTCATCAAGGTCAGGGTCATTGCCTCAACTTCAACTCTGTCTTTTAGGTGTCCATTTTAGTTTGTCTTTATCTCCATTCTCAGCTTCAGAGTGAGTGTGCTGCAAAAAGAAAATGATAAAACGTAAAAATCCAAAATTGTATCTTTGGTTGAATATACATCTGATGAGTTGTTTAAGATGTACCGTATTCGACGTATTAAGTGACCGGGGCACTCTCAAAATTGGAGATAGTGGGCTCTTATTAGAATGTAATTTTGGTGAAAAAAACAGAGTTGAAAAATTGTTATTTTCGTACAGTAGTTTATGCTGACAGCCTGAAATGATACAAAAGAAAAGTATGTACGTATCATACACGACAGATATATTTTCCAGAATTTAATTGCCCACAATTAAGGGGTGCATATAATACACGAGTGAGTATTATACACGAATCAATAAGTCTTGTGTACATTGATCAATCGGAAGGGGTGCTAATTGGGATTGTTCACTAGCAAATATATTAGCAAATATCGCCTTGGGGGCTTATTAGAGCAGGGTGCTTATTACGTCGAATACGGTATGCAAAATGGTTCACAATTTGAGTTCAGTACTGGTTATGAAGTTTTCAATATTTTTTAACAGTGTGTGTGCTCATACATTCATGGCACCATTTTTATTTTTTTACATGTACTGTATTTATGTTGATTGTTTAAAAGACAGGAAAAGCAGAGACCATACAAATATGTTGAAAACACAATTCTATATAGGCACAGGTACTTTCGTTGTTCGAATATCGTCCCAATAAGATGCAATGATAATTCTTTTTATGAAAGCCTTACATGAACAGCAAAGAAAATTGTCCATTTTGATAAAATAGTAAGATCTTTGCAAAATATATGACACAAAATACCATGTTCTTCTTCATTTGTTGACCAGGGCCCCGTTCCACAAAGCAATCTTAGCACTACGCTATCATAAGTCTATGTTAAAGTATGGGAGTTACGATCATCTTAGTGTTACGCCTTTCGTAAGTCTATGTTAAAAGTATGGGAATTATGATCATCTTAGTGCTATGCCTATTGTAAGTCTATGTTAAAGTATGGGAGTAACAATCATCTTAGTGCTACTCCTATCGTAGGTCTATGTTAAAGTATGGAACTTACAATCATCTTAGCGCTACGCCTATCGTAAGTCTATGTTAAAGTATGGGAGTAACAATCATCTTAGTGCTACTCCTATCGTAGGTCTATGTTAAAGTATGGAACTTACAATCATCTTAGCGCTACGCCTATCGTAAGTCTATGTTAAAGTATGGGAGTTACAATCATCTTAGTGCCATGCCTATCATAAGACTGTTAAAGTATGGGAGTTACGATCAACTTAGCGCTATATATGCCTTTGGTAAACCTATGTTAAATTATGGGAGTTATGATCATCTTAGCGCTAAGATCACTTTATTGACCCTGACAACTAGCTGCGATGAGATGTTTGTTAGTTTATGTATGATCTTAACACTAATCAGATTACATGGAATCAAGTGATAAAATCAAGGATTAAGAATTTTAGACTAAAAATCTAAAATTCACACCAGTTAGATATTGCTAGTGCAGAGCAATTGGATAGCTTGGAATTTGGTCCTGAAACCCTGAAAATATAGAAACGGGCCCAGTCCGTCCGTCCATCCGTCCTTCATGTTTCGTTTCCCGGAGCAGAACTCTGAAACCGTTCAATATTTTTTAATGAACCTTTACAGGTCTGTCAAGTACTTGTTGAACTTGTGCCTTTTGCTATTTAGAAATTTGTTACAGTATAGACCCCTACTGATATCTGCAATTTTTCAATTCCAGCTTTATCCATCCACTGCAGCTGTGAAATACACACATTTGTTACAAGCTGTCAATCAAGATGGGGACGAGGTAGACGACATAGAGGGCGCCACTGACCAACATTCATCTACCGTGGAGTTACATTCCTATCTTCTCAGCCTGGAGAGTTACTTTGCACATATGGAGGAGGAGGAGTCTATCGAAGCTTATGATGATATGAATGTACCAATGTAAGACACATCGAGAGCTTTATTGTTTGCAGTTCAGTGTGGATAAAAAACATATTAATGATCGAATCTAGGTCCTTCTTGAGAATATTTCACATACATGTAGTAGGAGCCTGTTCTATTAAAGTGCATACTGGAAGAACTATGTGAAATTTAATATTTTGGAGCATTCATTTGAAATATATAGGATAGATATTTTAATTGTCGACAATTTGCTTTTTTCAGAGACTTTGATGGTATAACCAGTGCTAAATCATCTGCCAGGGGTCCCAATATCACAGGTAAGAGAAATGATTCATCATCAGATCCTAACGAGAGGTGCAGGGATGCACATCCCATCTTTATGAAACATACTGAGGCAAGACATTTTTTTTAGCTTGGTTTATGTATCTGCCAACTCAAAAAAAATTAAATGTGAAAAGAAGCTGTGTTTTTTTAATTCTTTCGACCAGAAATATGTAAAATATTAAAAACACAGCTCATTACTGTCGCTATCATTATGAATACATTATATAAAGCCTGTTGAAAATCTACCTTAAAAACTCCTGTCCCTACCTTTTTTTCTTTTTTTTCTTCCAACTTAACATTTTGCAGAAATCCCCCAAAGTAATTGAAATTATGTTTTTATTGACCTATCAACCTGAATTTTGGGGACAAAAATGTGTAAATAAATAGAACTTTGGCCTAAACATGATATCATATACAAATACTTATTACTAAATCATTTACTGTTTCAGTTTTAATAAAAAGAACATTTAATGAACTCATTTTTGGAACTAATGGAATGACCAATCAGAAGGCAGCTTTCTCGTGCTTTATGGCACTAATTTCAAATTGGCGACAACGCCTCAAAACTTATTTTGACAAAATCTCGATTACAAATTTGAAACCTGAACAAAAAAACATTCTGGAATAGCTAATAGATGGTCCAGATTGTATGGATACAGTCGTTAAACCCATAACTATCGTTCAGAGTTTAAGTTTTCGAGGCTGCATGATCAGAAATCACATTATGACTGTCACTTTCATAATCTGGTAAGCGATGCTCTGATTGGTCGGATGAAAGGTCGTTCTGACGTGACCCCTAATGGGATGTCCTCAGATCTTTGTTTAGCGGTAGCGATAACTGAGGTCTGATTGTAATGAGATTGGGTCTTCGACATGACGAGCAAATGCTTTTACCTCAAGGCTACCCAACCACCCCTATCACTTTTGTACTAATGTTGTCTGTTCCAAATTACCCCAAGCACTTGCAGCTGTGAAACACATGTAACTCATCCGAAGCTAAACGTTTACTTGTTGCAGAGGTGCAGTCCAGAGTGGCATGTGACAATGGTAAGTACCAACATCCACTCATTGTGTAGTCAAACCACTACTACAACAGATTCTTCAATATACAGGATACCCAACATCCAGAAATCAATGAATGTGGGTTCAAATCCCAGTTCATCACAATTATGTTTCTAGGTTTGTTAGCCCCATACCTTGCTCATGGGTTTCACCAAACTTGGCACATAGATAGGTCTAGTGGTAAATTGGTGCCTTTTGATAGTTTGGGATTTAAAAAAAATTAATTGTCTAGTTTCCATAGCAACGACTTTGACTTGGCTGAAAATGGCGGTCATGCTGGTTTCCAGACAGCTATTGTCTTGAACACAACCGAACATGTCCTATTGGCGGGGATATGAATATTTCATGATTGTTTCTTCATAAATAAGGTGAGCTACAGACCTGTGGTCTCTGTTTGTTTGTGTTAGTGTCCATGTGTAATTTTCACACTCTGTCACATACAAGGATCAACCACTGGTGCTAGTTTACTGCATAAAACTAGTATACATAAAACAATATTCACTAAAAAACAAAATTGGATCCAGGTCGATGAATGTGAATACAAAAGCCTACCAGTGCCAAAAGTTTGTTTGGGTTGTATGTTGCCCAGGGAGCTGAGAAAGCTTATTTTTATTATTGTAGTTATTCTTATTATGACAATGAACACCTATGCTTCCTTGTGCAGACCCTGCCAGCATGCCATACCTCGTCAACGTCATAACAAAGCCTTCCATAGACCTGATGCCAGAGTTCTCTCCCTTGACCACGGAGTACCGGGCAGTGGTTGGGTACGACATGCTTCTCATCACTGTGTGGGCGTTTGCCAAGAGTTGCTCGTCTCAGGCCCGTCTAGAGGATAAGCATGGAAACAAACGGTGAGTCAGAGTGCTGGCTGTTTCTGAGAGTCAAGTGGCAATTGCTTTGTTTTCGTCCTGCATTCTTCAATGTTTTGAAGGACAGAATGTTGTTACATCTATTTTATTGTGAAGAGATTGATAGTTTTACACATCAACAAATATCCCTTTGTTTACTTAGCCAAGGTGCAAGATCCAAAACAACAAGTATCTGAGGTTAGATTGAGTTGATTACAATTAGTAGTATGATGCTATTGGAGAAATTAAGACATCTGTATATTTCTTTTTAAAAACTCTGTAAGTAAAAGGCTGGAATCTTTGTTTGTACTTTTAAGGAACAGCTCATGAAAAAAGTAAAGACTGAAATATAAACAAAATGCATTGAAAAGAAACACTAAAATCAAACAATGTTATTTTTCAATTTTCGTCAACTCTTGCCAACTTTAGGATAAGCTGCTCTGCTCTGTTGAATAAGAAAAATACATTTGTCCTTCTCAAGACAATGACTATGCCTGCCTAACCGAGTTTTTGAAAATCATTGCATGAAAACAAACTGTATTTACTTTTGCCTTGTTAAATGGCCTTTAAAATAAGTGAGTTTGGTTCAACACTGCTTTGAAAAGTATTCCATATCATGTCATGTCATGTCATGTCATGTGATATGTCATGTCATGTGATATGTCATGTGATATGTCATGTCATGTCATGTCATGTCATGTCAGAGGCGGTGGGGTAGCCTAGTGGTTAAAGCGTTCGCTCATCACGCCGAAGACCCGGGTTCGATTCCCGACATGGGTACAATGTGTGAAGCCCATTTCTGGTGTCCCCCGCCATGATATTGCTGGAATATTGCTAAAAGCGGCGTAAAACCAAACTCACTGACTCACTCACTCATATCATATCATGATATAGTGTGTCAGCTTAATGAGGGAGGAAAGCCCGAACTGATTCAGACCTCAGACATTTACCACGTTGGTGAAACCCACGAATATGGGTATGGTGCTGACAAACCTAGAAACATAATCGTGAATTGTGGGGCTTCGGCGTCTGGGCAATCTGTGTCCCCTCACAGACATATTTGTCCAAAAGTTTGGCTCATAGGCATGTATTTGTTTGATTTTTGTTATCAATATTGTCCAAATCAATTGATGATTTCTTCCAACTAGAGAGGTGAACTTTACGCTGGGTATTGGGGAGAACCGTATCAGTATTTATGTGGTGGACATGAGTCACGCAGACCCCTGGGTCCTCAACACCTACACCCTCATCATAGAGAGGCAGGGGCCGGACTACCAGCAGACGTCATTCCTCCCTGGGCTGCCCCATCAAGTCTGTAGTCTCACACAGGTAGGTGTTCAACCCCCGTCAAGTCTGTAGTCTCACACAGGTAGGTGTTCAACCCCCGTCAAGTCTGTAGTCTCACACAGGTAGGTGTTCAACCCCCATCAAGTCTGTAGTCTCACACAGGTAGGTGTTGTATCAAAACAAAAAATGGTATGGATTTTGGAAAACAAGATGATGAAAATAAAAAAATATGTCTTTAGGTAAGTGAACAAGGAAGAGAGTAGTGATAAGATGTTTTGTTGTTTTCATTATACGTAATGAATCAGAGATATAAATCCTGCACACTAGCAGAAGTTGATCTGAAGTCGACAGTAGTGTGAGTGAGTGAGTGAGTGAGTTGTGTTTAACGCCGCTTTTAACAGTATTCCAGTAATATCACAGTGTGTCAGCTTAATGTGGGAGGAAAGCCCGAAGTGATGCAGGTCACAGACGTTTACCACTTTGGTGAAACCCACGAGCATGGGTATGGTGCTGACAAACCTAGAAACATAATCGGGGCGAACCGGGATTTGAACCCACAATCATAGGTTTCTGGCGTGCCCAAGGGACGCAACTCTGCACAGCGAATCGCGGCGCCTTAGACGACTGAGCCACCTGTGCCCCCTTGACAGTAGTGACATATAGAGAAAGAAATAGTAACCAACCAATGGATGAGGGATACGGTAACCACAGCTACTGTATTCCAGGCACCTAATTAGTTTGTTGTCTGTTTCAGGACTGCTCTCTGCGTTTCCTCAAGACCTCCTCCTGTGGGTTGAAGCCGGTGTACCAGGAGAGGAGCTGGGCCAGGTTCATGGAGAAGATGATGTCCCTGCCGCAGTGCCAGGACGGGGATGTGAAAGGTTTGTCATCCGTCAGATACTGACATTGATGTACTTCCTTGTATCCATGGACATCATGATTAAACAAATGTATATCTGTGATTCTGTTTCTTTCTTTCTTGCTGTAAGAGGCGACTAAATGGACCAGGTAGTCAGGCTCTGTGACTTGGTCATTGATTGCATGACATTGTATCCCATTGCACTGCGTAGATCGAAGCTCATGATGTCAATCACTGGATTTTCTGGTCTAGACCCGTTTATTTACAGACCACTGTCTTATACAGCTGGAATAGTGCAGCATTAAACAACAATCCATCAAATAAGCAAACCCAACAGGAGTATTGGCTAAAAATAGATTCATTAGAATAGAGTGCTATTCAATTAAGGATTGACTGTGGATGTTTTTTGGTTCATGTATGAATCGATAAACTGATGTGCAAACCGTTTGAATCTGAGTAGGGATTCTTACCACAGTTTGGGATTGGGATCCCCGACACGTAGTAATAAAAGTAGTTCAATTCGGTGGGCATGGCTTAAATTTTTTAGATTTATTGGGAAATGAAAGCAATAACATGTGACCAATTCAGCTAATCAGAATGCAGGAATTTCAATGAACACAACGGAAATTTAATTATTACTTTCACAAAAAGTTTAATCTTTGCCTTTTAATATTCTCCAACCATGTTTTGACTCCAGGTTGATTTCTGATGTTTCTCTGTTGCAGGTCAGTGGTATGTCCCCTGCACTGACTGCAATGATAGCCCTAGTTGCTATTGGAAACAGGCGCTATGGCAACCAGATACTTGTTCCTATAAATGGTTACCAAGAGGAAAAGTGCAGCAGTGTTTTGCTGGTAAAAAGGTAGGCACACATTTTGAAAACAGGTAAGTTTTAACTGAAAAAATGTAAAATCATTTACAAAATAGTTTGGAGAAACAATTGTAACAAATATATTGTTCATATGTAATTTGTCATCACTATAAAATCATTTGGAACATGTAGCAGTTATTACTTATGAGATGGCCTGATTCCCTGAACTTTGACGCAGTGGTCTGTGTTTTAACATGCTGTGCAGAGTTGCTTCCCTTGCTAGGTTCGGGCAGTTGTGGTTCAAATCCTAGCTTTTCAGAGATTATGATGCTAAGTATATCAGTATAATACCCATTCACTACTTCTAATAACTTAATTCTGTTTTGCTTGAAACCAAGATTGAATAAGGTAAAAGGCCATACTACAATTGTCTGAAAAAGAAATATTTCTATCTCAAGTATAAAAAACACAAAACTTTTATGAAAATTCAAAAAAATCTGTATCAAGTGGAAAAAATAATTGCCATAAGAAATTATTTTAATGCGGCCTTTATTAGGAAATGGGAACATTTAAAAATGTACGAGAATAGTCTGTAGTGCAATACAATAGCCACTGATCTAGACATCCATTATGGAATTGTACTCACTGACATGAATAAAAAAAGTTGAAAAAAATAAATTTTTTGATTGAATAATAGAGTGTGTTGTTGCTGTGATCCAGGTGTTGTTCATAGGGGACTCAACAAACCGTGGCATCATGCACTACATCTCGGAGCGAGTGAACAACACGTTGTTGGAGTGGGACAAGACGCACCACTTGAAGGTCTACAACAACCTCAACAACAACACAACAACATTCAGCTTTGCCTACTACCCTCAATTCTGGCTGCCGGCCGAACACAGACCCGTCTTTGACAAAGCTCTTTTTCAACTTATAAAAAAGTAGGTGCAGTTTCTTGTTGTTGTTGTTGTTTGTTTGTTGTTTAACGCCGAACTCAGCAATATTCCAGCAATATGACGGCGGTCTGTAAATAATCGAGTCTGGGCCAGACAATCCAGTGATAGACATCACGAGCATCGATCTACGCAATTGGGATATGATGACATGCATCAATCGAGCCTGACCACCCCATCTCATTAGTCGCCTCTTACGATAAGCAAAATCGACTCACCCTTAGTAAAAGTCAATGTGAGGTCGAGATTTGTGAAATGTTCGAACCAATCTTGTAGTACATGCATCATCAATTATCCAGTGTATTATGTCGCAATTATTTTCTTAATCAATATACTGCCTCAGTGGTCTAGTGGTAGAGCGTCCGCCCGGAGGGTGGAAGGTTCGGGGTTTGATCCCCGACCGTGTCATACCAAAAGACGTGAAAAGACGGTACTTGTTGTTACCCTGTCTGGCGCTTGGCATTAAGGGGCTAAAACAAGGACTGGTCGGCTCGGAGTCAGTATACTGTGTCTGAGTGGGGTATTCATGTTAAGCTGCGGCATGGTATCTCAGTATGCTAGCACTATAAATCGGCATCAGTCCGGACTAGTACAAGCAGCCACACAAACACACACATGTACATGCACGTCGCTATATAAGTGCAATAATCTTGGACACGACGTTAACCCCCATTTCACCTCACCTTTATTATCAATACTCTGGACCACCTCCATGGCCTAGTGGTAGGGTAGAGTAAGAGTCTGCCCGGAGAATGGAAGGCTGGAGTTTCGATCCCCGACCGCGTCATACCAAAAGACGTTACAAGGTGGTACTTGTTGTTACCCTGCCCAGCGCTCGGCATGAAGGGGCTAAAACAAGATCTGGTCGGCTCGAGTCAGAATACTGTATCTGAGTGGAGTATATATGTTAAACTGTGGCATGGTATCTCAGTAAGCTAGTTCTATAAAATAGGTACGAGACTAGTACAAGTGGCAACACACACATTTGCCTGCACGTCACTTTATAAGTGCAATAACCTTGAACACAACGTTAAACCTTATTTTATCTATTATAAATTCTCGGGACTCATTCACTGACATATTTTCTGTTTTCGGCTGCCTTGTATAATATTTGTCCAAATTCATTCCTTTATTGCAGAAATAGTCCCCTTGAGAACAGCACGAAGACAGTGCTGGTAATCGGCGGCGTCCATTGGTTGGCCAAACACCACATAGACGTTGTCATCAAGGCACTCCGGAGGTAATTCAGCTGACAACCAGTTGCCTCCCTTTGAAAATCTAGTTGTCTTCAGAATACATAGAAATCAAATAACCCCACCTCTGTGCCAAAACTGGAAGGCCTCAATCATTTCTTGGGGTTCTTTTCTTAAAAGGAAAATGAATTAAGTACTGTTTATTTTAAAATTTCAATCCCATTATTAGACATAATATTGTCATTTAATTTAATTTGATATTTACCTTTGGAGGAAGGTATTCAAGGGAGGTAATTTTGCAGATAATTATGGTTGAATGTGCCATTCTGAATATTCAATTTGATGTGGCTTTGCCTAGAATTTACTATTGGCGTCCCTTTAAAAATCTAGATAATGCTTTAATTTCAAATAAACCAGGAAAATTGAATGTTTTTACCCTTTCATTTAAAGATTATGGTTTAGAAAATACATGTAGGTACCAAAAAATATGAACTTGCCACTGTAGTGAGTGAGTGAGTTGGGTTTAACGCCGCTTTTAACAGTTTTCCAGTTATATCACGGCGCAGCTTAATGTGGGAGGAAAGCCCGAAGTGATGCAGGTTTCAGACGTTTACCACTTCGGTGAAACCCACGAGCACGGGTATGGTGCTGAAAAACCTAGAAACATAATCGGGGCGAACCAGGATTCGAACCAACAATCATAGGTTTCTGGCGTGCCCAAGGGATGCAACTCTGCACAGCGAACCGCGGCGCCTTAGACGACTGGGCCACCCGTGTCCCTCTTGCCACTGTAACCATAGTAACACTCTAGTGTATGCTAATGGTGCACTTCTTGTTCCAGGGAGGGTCTGACCGGTGTCCAGCTGGTGGTCAAGGGACTGGGAGCCGGCTTCCACCAGCCGGTCAGTGGCGTCCACTGTCTGTCACAGGTATATCTCCGCTACTGTGTTCTTTATCTATGTATTAGTATCGCATTAAGCCAGGTACAAATGGTTCTTGTTCCTTGTGACCTGTTGAATGCTGCCAAGGTAGGGATGGAGGATTATTACTTTATTAATATTTTTTTAGTTATCTACAAATCTATAAAGGTAAAGTTAAGTCTGTAAGTAATCGAATCTGGACCAGACAATCCAGTGATTGACATCATGACCATCGATCCACGCAATTGAGATAAAAGTAAGGTTAAGTCAAATATTTCCGAGGCCATTGTATTAGGTTATGGCTCGGATTCCCTGCAAATCTGACATACTATTAATGACGTGGTGTGAAATATGATATGAAACAAGAAAACAGAAGGCAGCTTTCTTGTGCTTTACGGCACAAATTTCAAATTGGCGACTACGCTTCGAAACATATTTTGACAAATTCTCGATTACAAATTTGAAGCCTGAACAAAAAAACATTCTGGAATGGCTAATAGATGGTCTAGATTGTAAGGATTCAGTCGTCAAACCCGTAACTATCATTCCGAATACCCGTGGATGTTAAGGTTTTCGAGATTGCATGATTAGAAATCACATTCCGACTGTCACTTTCATAATCTGGTAAGCGACGCACTGATTGGCCGGATGAAAGGTCGTTCTGACGTGACCCCGAATGATATGTCTTCAGATCTTTGTTTAGCGGTAGCGAGAACTAAGGTCTGATTTTAATGAGATTGAACTATCCCCTGCCAAGGGTCACATTAGAGTTTTGTTTGTTCATACAGTAGTGAATATAAACTATGAAAATGAGTCCTATAAAGCCTTAAGATGAGATAGGGACAAGGGTTGCTTTATGTCATCAGAAAAAATGATTAATGTGAAATTAATACACACAAAAGGACCCTTCTCTGGAAAAAATAATTTATGGTACCAATTCTAGAACTCAGTCTTGATAATTATCTCTTAGATAAGCTTACTTCAGTAGTTTCTGAGAAAACTTGTCCCCATTGCAGACACTGTAAAAAAACATGGATCAAAGGCCATTAGTGTGAGAGCTGATTCATCGTCGAAAACCAATCTATACATGTGATATTGTTTTGATATAAAAATATCCACTGTTTGAACAGGAGAGTTTGTAGTTTTAAAATCCCTTTTCAGAAAGAGCAGCAGCGCTTTCTGTCTCACAACCAAGCCACACTAAAGTACGCCAGACAGAGTGGCTTCAGCATCGTTGATACGTTCAACATGACCATGGCGAGATACAGAGACTTCTTGCAAGGAAAATGTGCTTGCCATTTCCATAGAGTAAGTAAACCGCAAGAGTGATCAGTATGATTTTATGCCACTTTTAGCAATATCCCAGCAATATCACGGCAGGAGACACCATAAATGGACTTCACATATTGTATCTGTGTGAACAATCAAACCCACAGTTTTGGTGATGAGCAAATAGTTCAACAACTGCTATCACGTCAATAAATAAATGCCTTTGACTCTAATGCTTGCAGTGAATAAGCTCTGTAACAAATTTAAAATTTATTTACTCAAAATATTTGATGTGGTTTTGTATCTAGCACTAGGGTCTCAAATGAGGTTAAGTTGAACAGCACTGGTGGCAGAGAGTAGGTGGATGGGTGACTGCTCTTAGCAACCTTGACTCCTGATTTCAATCCCCTTACTGAAACAACAGTTATACAACTTCAAGAGGGTTTGTTTGTTTGTTTGTTGATTTACGCCGCACTCAGCAATATTCCAGCTATATGACGGCGGTCTGTAACTAATCTAGTCTGGACCAGTGATTGATATCATGAGCATCGATCCACGCAATTGAGATCCATGACATGCATCAACCAAGTCAACGAGCCTGACCAGCCGATCCCGTTAGTTTCCTTTTACGACAAGCATAGTCGCCTTTTACGGCAAGCATGACTTCAAGAGGGACTTTGCTCCACGATTGGTTCCCATTGTCTTTGTTGATATTTTGTAATTAGTGATTTTTGTCAGTCTGACACATTCCCCAGGGGTGATTAGGGAACTCGTCAATTTCTAGATTGATATACACCTTAAAATATGAATTACAGATGAACAAAATAGATATTAAATGACTGATTTCAACTTTGCTACACCTGATAAAATAACCTGATCCTGGTCACAAATAAGTCATCTCTTTAGGCTCTTGTTGGAAATTTGCCTCTGTGCTCCCAGCAGTGAATGGGTACCCGGTAGGATCAGGTGTTCATGGGATGTCTGCTGGTTTGTTTTGTGTTCACTATGTAACTCAAATCTTGTACTGGGTGGTGAAGAGGTGAAGCCAATGTAAAATAAAACCTTTATATGTCGCACATTAGTGAGATAATTCCAATTTTGTGATAGGTCACATATTGCTATTGTGAAAAGCGAATGAGAGTAGTGTCATAATGTTGTTTAAGCAATGAAGGAACAGTGTTACCTCATTGTATGATATCAAAGAACTGTTATCCATGGGATGTCACTTCACAATTTGCACACATTTTATCCATATATCTCATTTTTTTTTCCATTCGGAACTTCCTGTTTACATTCTTTTTCAAGAAACAGAAATCAGATATGCTGCCCTGAATGTTTCACTCATGCATACTGAATTGACGCTGATTAGCTGATTAGGAAGTTCACCAGGCCCCTGTTCCACAAAGCGATTTTAGCGCTAAGATGAACGTAATTCCCATACTATAACATACTCTTACCGTAGTCGTAGAGCTAAGATGAACATAACTCCCATACTATAACATACTCTTACAGTAGTCATAGCGCTAAGGTGAACGTAACTCCCATACTATAACATACTCTTACAGTAGTCGTAGCGCTAAGATGAACGTAACTCCCATACTATAACATACCCTTACAGTAGTCGTAGCGCTAAGGTGAACGTAACTCCCATACTATAACATACTCTTAAAGTAGTCGTAGCGCTAAGATCACTTTGTGGAATGGGCCTCTGATCTTGTAAAAGATGAGATATTAACAAGCTTGGGAAGCACTGAACCCAACTCATTCACTCATAAGTAAGTTTAAGATTCATCTTCTACCCTCAGTGATTACCTAGAACTAATCCAATTGTGTCATTTTTCAGGTGTCCATGACAAAAACCAGTTATAACCCGTCCAATGCTGATGGATCTAAACATAGCCTTTCATCCTCCTACTCCGAGTCCTCACAGACTGTGTATCATGTTGAAGGGGAGATAAATGCTGTATATTCCGAGATGTTGATTAGCCAGATCTGTGGACCTTCATAGCAGGAGCTGGGACAACATCAGGAACATCAGCGCTATGGTTCATCACAAGACAAACATACATTAACAACACACAGTCTTCAAACTAAATCTGTTAACGTTCTAAGACGACATTTCAGTGTGGGATGGCATACAATTCTAAGAGAATTGGGGAATCGAGAGGTTTGTGTGTGCAGCCCTACCCAATATTTTTCAGACATCTTAAGTTTTAACTTTGTGACTTGGGTATTATGTGCACCCTCCTTTTTCAAATCCTGGATCCGCCTCTGAAGAGTCATATTCATCACACAGATAATATATCCTTGTTTACTTTCACAAAACACAAGGAGAGTGCAGGCATGAGTGAATTAGTTGTGAAGAATTTACTGTCTGTTGATGACAAAAACCTTCCGCAATATTTGATGTGAAGGATAAAGCACGACTCCTCTGCAATTTGGTATCGGCAATGTAAGATATGTGAGCTTGCAGGTTTAATTCCCGTCATCCATAATGAAAAAGTTTAATTTCTTGTCAACATTGGACATTTGAAACACAAACTCCAAATTCAATCTGCTACTCAATTCATCAGGTCTTACAAGGAAAAAGTAAAACCTCATACCAGGTCTTACAAGGGAAAAAGTAAAACCTCATACCCAGGATGAGGTCTTACTAGGAGAAAGAAAAGCCTTCCAAGAGGTTATTACAAGATAGGAAGATACCTACAATACAATAGGCATAGTGACAGTAGGTTTATCGGTACTTTTAATTCCTGTACAGCAAACTCTAGATGAGGGCAAGATTTGCTTGATGGTAACTTGAAATGCTAGGTACATAGAGGAAAACCATAAGTGGTCCACACAGGGAAACCAGCCCAGGACTTCTGTATGGGAGGCCCAGTCAGCTAAGGGGCACATTTTGATATGCAGAGTTGCGTCCTTTAGGATTCAAACCTAGGATTGTGGGTTCGAATCCTGGTTCCGCCTGATTATTTCCTTGGTTTGTCAGCACCATTACTGTGCTGGTGGATGTCACCAAGTCTTACCTCCCACATCCAGCTGACATGACGTGATATAGAAAATGGTACAGAAATACTGTTCAAAACCAGGTTAAACCAAACTCGCTCACTGTTTGTGAACACATGCACTCGCCATCTGTCTGTCAACACATGAAATAATAATTCCTAAATTTAATGGCTGAATACAAAGCAATTATATACAACTCAAAAGAAGTTAAGGCCCAGCTGATTCTTTCATATTGCTCTAGTTAATCTGAGCCTTGACAGATTAACTATAGTTATATGAAAGACTTGGGTGGCCCTTAACTTCTTTTGACCAGTATACATGTATCAGATATCATACTTTCTGTTTTTAGTGAGTTAGAAGACAAACATGGCACTTTGATATAGCAATACAATATGCCATAATGTTTTCAATGTCAAATAATTAAATTTTCGTTGTGTGCATTGAAATTCCTGCATTCTGATTAGCTGAATTGGTCACGTGTTATTGCATTCATTTCCCAATGAATGTAGAAAATTAAGCCATGCCCACCGAAGCGGACTACTTTTATCACTACGGAATGTCGGGGAATCCCAGGGTACAGTGGAGGGAATTCCCTATCCGCTCACCTGTATCTTCTTGAACTTATCAGGCCTCGTATTCATACAGTTTGCACATCGGTTTTTCGATTCATACCTCAATGAACCGAAAAAAATACACAGTCAATCCTTAAGTATTATTGAAATGATTCATGATTCACAGTTTAATCTACTTTGAATTCATTTTTGATATGGTTATCACATGTTTTTATTTTGTTAAGTAATCCTATGGACGACCAATCACACTGACGGTATTGAAATTGATCATGTTGCTACCTGTGTGACACAAGCTATTTTCAGGACAACTATTCCTTGTTTATCATATCACCACTACTCTGGTTCAGTTTTATTATTAGCAAAATATATTTTTTGTACCCCAAATCGGAAATATGCAGTGATAAGGAAACTTGACATTTAATATGTTTTGGGGGATTTATTTTTAAAATTAATCATGTGCAAAACAAGTACATGTTAGGTTTTAAAATCAATATTTGATTTGACTGGGGATCAGTGGTATCAAATCACTGTAACGTGGCTTGGATTATTACAGCTGAACTGACTGGGGATCAGAGGTATCAAATCACTGTAACATAGGTTAGATTATAACAGTTGATCTGACTGGGGATCAGAGGTATCAAATCACTGTAACATGGCTTCGATTATAAAAGCTGATTTGGCTGGTTACTCTGAGGTATCAAATTACTGTAAAATGGCTTGGATTATAACAGATGATCTGACTGGGGATCAGAGGTATCAAATCACTGTAACATGGCTTAGATTATAACAGCTGATCTGACTGGTGATTAGAGGTATCAAATCACTGTAACATGGCTTCGATTATAACAGCTGATTTGGCTGGTTACTCTGAGGTATCAAATTACTGTAACATGGCTTAGATTATAACAGCTGATCTGACTCGGTACTTAGAGGTATCAAATCACTGTAACACTGCTTAGATTATAACAGCTGATCTGACTGGGTACTTAGAGGTATTAAATGACTATAAAATGTCAGCTGATTTGGCTGCCTGACTGCATAGTAATATACCGGTATACTCACAGTAAGAACATTGAGGGAACATGGACAATTCCTATTTGCTAATTTGAGGCATATTTTGCCATGATCATGACAGTTTTGAATATTTATATGTAAATAGTATACATGATGTAAAGATATTTATTTCTTGTAACAAATAATATTTGTGTACATATGACAAGTGTGTGTATGGAGGACGCATGGGACCAAAACACTGAATTGCTCAATGGTATGGTATAATAGCCGTTTTCAAGAAGTTAATAGACCAGACGTTTTAAGCCTTGTATAAGGGATGACCTTGATCCTATAAACAATCTGTGCGCCGTTAAAACTTGGTTTAATTCAACCCCTACTTATCAGCTGGATTGTTTCATTTTTATTTCAAGAGCCTTCTTTCTGTCCTGGGTGTAGCATTGTTGATAATTCCCCGATTCATGCTTAGAATTATTTATATTTTTGTCTTTTTTTACATTCATATTTTTAGGAATACACTGCATAATGTAGTATATGTATAATATTTTTCTTGCATAATAAGTTTGCAATAATACATGATAATAAATGATTGACTTCTACATGTATTAATGTAATATGGACGCAATTCAATGCATCCTGAAGCTGCGTAACATATATCATTCATTAATGAACTGAACAATGTCCTTATATACTTAATATCAGATATTTTGATTTCCATGTTCCACGTTTCCACAACAACATAATTTATTGCATGACACATTATACATACAGTCGGCCCACCTTATTGGTATGGTATGCCACCATGGGGGCCGTGTCAAAAGTTTGCATGTCATTTCCAAGATTATTTTTCTGGTTTCAATCATGACAACCTCCCTCGCCCTCAGTAAAGTGTCAACTGCAGTTAATACCAGAATAATGGATCTTTATGATCCAGGCAGTGTATGTAATGTGTACACAACTTTGTTTGTCCATTTTCTGAAAATAGAATGTAGCAAGCACATAACAGGAAAAGAGTTTTGATTTTTGTGTTGAAATTAAGTCCCTATTAGTTTTATTAAGATACAAACAAATGTCCTTTACAATTTATACATACCATTTTTAAGTGGCTTAAGCGCCAATACTGTCTTCATAAAGGAGGTTGAACATCACATTGCCAAATGGAACTGTTATTTTGGAATTAACATGTGAACTTTTCACACAACCCCGTAATTATTTTTCTGAATAGGAAACATACATTTATCTCAGGGGATTTACAAGATTTCTTGACTTTTGTTTCTTACTCAAATGTTTTTTCATCTGACAACCCTATTACATATAGACCCTGAGATATACAGACCCTTTTATATTCAGACCCTGATAAATACAGACCCTGTTAAATACCCTATTACAAGTACCCTATTAAATATATAAACCCTTTCAAATATAGACCCTGTTAAATACAGATCCCTTTAAATACCCAGATCCTGTTAAATACAGACCCCATTCAAAACCCAGATCCTGTTAAAGACAGACCTTGTTAAATAAAGACCCTAGTACACAGACCCTGTTCAGTTTAAGCTGTTACACATATATAAGAACTTGAACCAAAATATTCGATTCCAATTTCAACAGGGAACAAGCTATTCTGTAAGATGATGTTATTTCCGTCCATGACCCTCAGGTCACATATCAGTTAGAAATAAGGGAGTGTTACTCTGTAATGGGGTGTGATACTCTGTAATGGGGTGAATGATACTCTGTAATGGGATGTGGTACTTTGTAATGGGGAGTGGTACTCTGTGATTGGGTGTGGTACTTTGTAATGGGGTGAATGATACTCTGTAATGGCGTGAATGGAACTTTGTAATGGGGTATGGTACTTTGTAATGGGGTGTGATACTTTGTAATATGGTGTGGTACTTTGTAATGGGGTGAATGGTACTCTGTAATGGGGTGAACGGTACTTTATTACCGGATTTGATAATTTGTATCGGGGGGGATGGTACTTTGTAATGAGGCGTTCTGTTGATACTCACTAGAGGAGGTTGGGATTACAAATAGGAAAAAAAGGATAAGAACCTCCGACCCACCCCTGTAACAAAAGAAGTGTATGTTATACTCGTAGGTCAGTGTTAAACATGACTGTATGTATATTTCAGATCCAAGTGAGTTAAGTTGTCATGTTATTCATAATTTTATCTGTATTTTACTTTATTACCAGTTTATATAATTCAACCATGACTCTTTTATTTACTAATTTGATGTTTTGTTTATTCTGATGTTTGACTTTTTGATTCATGCACTCACATTTTACTTCAGTGTTCTACCTTTTCAGGGACGAAGCTTAGCTAAAAATAACAAACACTGAGTTACATCATGACTTTTTTCTAAGATGGCACAGTGTATACATCATTTGGAACTGGATCACCGTTTGAGCCGTGGTGGATCTTGGGAGTGACCTCCCCTTTCCTTGGCTATAGATTTATAAAACAAATTCATTGCCCTATTGGATATCCTAGATCTGTACTAATAATTTGCTTTTTGTGGAAGAGAAACTCATATCCATTGAAAATACCCAGGTGAGGCAGATAATAAATTCACCAACGCTCGAAAAGTAAGATCTTAGGACAACAATAGCTGATGTGCCTTTCTGAAAATTATTCCCTGTACTGCATGGTGTAGTGAAATAACTGACCATATTTCACCCGAGTGACCAATGGGTTTTAATACTGTATTTGGAAATAGTAAAATGGGTTCATTTAACGCCATTTGAACAGTATTTCAGTGATGTCATGGTGTGTTAGCATTTGTTGGTGTTGACAGACCAAAGTTCATCACCAGGTTTGAGGAGGCTTGTAAAAATTCATTTGTTTCTTCTTCCCCCCTCCCCCAAATTCTCTGGTATTTTTAAAGCAGATAAACAAATTTGAAGTCAAATTTCATTTTTGCACCCAATTCTGTTTGCATACACTTTGCTTTTCTTGGTGTGTAAGGTTTGTAGAGGGACCTAGCTGTGGTCACCATGACAACAAGTCCATCTTTTCATCCTTCAAGGTGCAGGGCTGTATTAGAATAAAGATTTTTCCCAGTCAAATATTTACAAATTATATCCTCCCTCCCTACCCTCCCCACCAAAACAAGACTTACCGGTATGTAACAGGCCTATTCATGGCGATGCTAGCTACCCTAACCAAGGATGTTATTCCAGTGCTAACAGATTACAGGTTGTCAGGAGTACACAAGCATCAAATGCTTCCATTGCCCCTTGGAAACAAATTATCAAGTGCTGAAATGTTATATTATTGTTTTGTTGATTTTGTAAGATATTCTTTAAGGAACACAAAGTGTACATGGTACACAATCGGCACATTCTTGTTGTAAAGACTGTACAAAATGTCAATAAATCGTTATCATAATTCCATGTTGTGTATTCACTTAATCATATTGTGTTATGGTCAACCTGCTTCCAAATATACCTACCAGAAACTTAAGACTGACCTTCTAAGTCAGTGTCACAATCAGTGTTTGTTTGTTTGTTGTTTAAAGGCCACACTCCAAGGCAATATTCCAGCTAAATGATGGCGGTCTGTAAATATTGGAGTCTGGACCAGACAATTCAGTGAGCATCGATCTCATGGTATACGATGACATGCATCAACTGAGACAGCGAGCCTGACTACCCGATCCTGTTAGTCACTTTAGACAAGCAAAGGTTGCTGAATACCTGTACGATTTCCTGGTTTGAAAATTGGGGACTGTACGGTTGAGCAAAACTCTTGTGCCCGAAATCTAGGCGTGATCATTGACTCAACACTCAGTCTGGATAACCATGTAAGCAGTATGTGCAAGACAGCTTACTTTCACATCAGGAACATCAGACAGATAGCAAGATACGTAGACACAGCATCAGTCAAGTGCCTAGTCCATGCATTTGTAACATCAAGACTTGACTATTGTAATAGTCTTCTGTATGGTATCCAGCAGCAGCATCTGGATAGACTACAGCGTGTGCAAAACACTGCTGCCAGACTCATCACACGGAAGTCAATGTGTGAACACATTACACCCGTCCTGAAAGAGCTGTACTGGCTACCTGTGAGACTCAGGATCGTGTTCAAGCTGATCATGTTTGTCTACAAATCGATCCATGGGCTATCCCCAGTATACCTCCAGGAACTCACTGCCCTTTACCAACCTGGCCGAACACTTAGATCTGCAAACAAACAACAGCTTGCTGTTCCACCAACCAGCAGAACATATGGCGACAGAACCTTCCGAAAAGCAGGTGCAACTCTATGGAATGCACTGCCCATTGATGTCAGGGGATCTGAAGATCTCAACACCTTTCAATCAAAACTCAAGACCATCCTCTTCAAAAGAGCATACGACTGAGCGCTCTTTTGAGCAGGCAGTATGTCTGGATAAGTAGCGCTATATAAATGCGTAATTTGAATTTGAATTTGAATACCAATTGTAACCCAAATCTTTTCAGCGTGTATGGAAGGTGAACTTTATATTATAGTTTAACAGTCCTTTGTTTTGGTTGAAAGTGTAAAAACATTAGCCCCGGGTTTTACATCTTCAACCAAAACCAAGGAGAAGCAGTTTAACTTACTCATGAACCATCTAAATAATAGAAATACCAGAAAAATAAAAGGAAGACTTCGGGATACCTTACAGTGAAACAATACAGTTGTTATGGTACAAAAGGAACTTGATGACAGAAAGTGAGAGAAAGAAAATGTGCAGCATGCAGACAACTGAAGTCATGACGTAAGATTGCACACCTGTTCATAACCTGTCCAGCTGCATCAAATACGCATTAAAACTAAAATATGCAGACAAATCAATCCTAGTGATACACATACTCAACAAAACTAGAAATATGCTATTGAAATAAAACATACTGGTACCTGTATATTACAACTACTGGATAAAACGATTTTGTATATTACAACTGTTAGATAAAATCATTGCGTATCAGCCGATCGCGAAATTCACTTAACCACAGTTACATTCAGAAAAACTTGTGTGACTCACGAACACGAATTCTGATGGATTCCAACTGAAAAGCACATAATTCCTAGTCAATGTATCTGAAACAGTGGCTGACAGGTGATTAAAACAATAGCACCTTTCTTGCATTGCTAGGTTTTTCAAACAAAAATGTGAGTGAGTGAGTATGGTTTTATGCTGCTTTTAGCAATATTCCAGCAATATCACGACGGGGGACACCACAATTGGGCTTCACACATTGTACCGATGTTGGGAATCGAACCCCGGTTTTCAGCGTGACAAGCAAACACTTAAACCACTCGGCTACCCAACTGCCCCTAAAAACATTAGAATACCCTCTAAAAAATATGGTACCCAATCAAAATACAAACACTGTGTAAAACCCAAAATATCCAAAAGCTTATCTATAGCTCTCTAATTGTCTTAACTCCTGGTGATACAAAAGGATGACATTCCTGGACAATTTCATCTTTATTGACATTTCCATTTACATCGTACATAGGCAACATAAGCATTTCAGTGCTGATTAAAATTGACATAAAACATTTTCGCAGATGCAGATTTTGGCACAGGTAATACATATTCAAACACTGTTACCGTAACTGAAGGAACATCAGACAATCATAAAACACTCACTCTAGGATTAACACACAAGGCAGCACTGGGTTCCTCTTAAGTATTGTGATGACATACAATCCCTCCATAAACTAACCCCCTTTTAGCAACATTCCAGCAAAACCACAGCACAGGGACACCGGATAGATTTTGTTTGTTGTTTAACGCTGCACTCAGCGATATACCAGCTATATGACGTCAGTCTGTAAATAATCATGTCTGGACCAGACAATCCAGTGATTGACATCATGAGCATCGATCCCAGCAATTGGGAAACGATGACATGCATCAATCAAATCAGCAAGCCTCACCATCCGATCCTGTTAGTTGCCTCTTACAACAAGCATAGTCACCATTTAAGGCAATCATGGGTTGCTGAAGACCAATCTTTACGGGTCAGGGCTTCAGACATTGTACCCATGTGGTGACTCGAACCCAGGCCATTGGGTGACAAGCGAACACTTACCCACTAGGAAACACCACTGCCCCGATTTGTTGAGTGAGTGAGTGAGTATAGTTGAACATCGCTTTGATCATGTCATGGTGTGTTGGCCTAATATGGAAGGGGATGCAGGTCGCAGATGTTTACTACTACGGAGAAACACAACAGGGATGGTGCTGACAGACCAGGAGCATGGGATTCAAACTGATGATCAGCGGATCCTTACATGGTTGACGGAGGCAACTCTGTACTGGAAATGTTGATGGATAAGAATTCAAACTAAAGCATACTCTACTAACAGAACAATAGTCATAGAGGCATACTACTACTAGGAGTGAAAAAAGACTTGACACAAACCACATACTACCCAACGACTGATAGTGATGTTGAGACATATTCTTTTACCAGCTTACAAAACCCAGAGGACAACTTAAATATACATGTAATAATTTACTTGATTTAGGTTAATCTTGAACTAAAGACGAAATGCTGGGGTTCCTTAGGAACATGGTAATATTTTCTTTACAACCTATTCAAGCAATTAGTCTCATTTAGTCCTAGTTTTGACACTCAGAATATCTCTATAATGAGTCAGTGAGTGAGTATGGTTTTACGCCGCTTTTAGCAATATTCCAGCTATATCACGGTAGGGGACACCAGAAATGGGCTTCACACATTGTACCCATGTCGGGAAACGAACCCGTGTCTTCGGCATGACGAGCGAACGCTTTAACCGCTAGGCTACCTGACCGCCCTATCCCTATAATGAGCTGAGTACATGTAGTATATTTGCTTACCGACCACAATGCTCCCTATGAGAAACAAAAGGTTAATTTACAATAGGCTATCACAATACCAATAATACATTTGATGAGGATGAACACTGAAGAATAGCAAGAAAAATCTGCACAGCTACTTCCAATTCTACCATTCACAATAATCATCAGTTACGACTGGTGCAAAAGATAAAACTGAAAAAGTCACAAACATAAGATGAATTTTAAATGCACCTTGCCTACACTGTGTGCATCAGGCGTACATTTGTGTTATTATGGTTTTCAATTTAACCTTGACCTGCAGAAGTGAGTACAACCCGGTCTGAGATTTGTTTGGCGGTTGTTAACACCGTACTCAGTAACATCCCAGCTATATGATGACGGTCTATAAATAATCGAGTCTGGACCAGACAATCCAGTGATTGATATCATGAGCACCTGATCCTGTTAGTCGCCTCTCACGACAGGCATAGTTTGATTTGATTTGATTTGATTTGATTGTTGTTTGATGCCGCACGCAACAATATTCTAGCTATATGACGGCTGTCTGTAAATAATTGAGTCTGGACCAGACAATCCAGTGAGTCAGTGAGCCTGACCACCCATTCCCGTTAGTCGCCTCTTACGACAAACATGCACTGCTGAAGACTGACAAGCATAGTCACCATATACGACAAGCATGGGTTGCTGAAGACTGATAAGCATCGTTGCCATTTACGACAATCGTGGGGTGCTGAAGACCTATTCTACCCAGATCTTCACGATTACCCGTCTGAGAGCAGAGATCAAATTACAGGTCAAAATATCCTGCAACTGGACAGGACCGAACACAGAGAGTGCTGAAGCGAAAGGGACAATACCACAGCTGACACAATATACAGCAGATATATACTGGATGGTATCATTGTCGGTGAAACCATCTGGATTAACAAATTTCTGTATCAACACATCACTTGAAACTATATGATTTAATCCACCTTCTCAAAGTACCGGTATGATGTGTAAGACAATCCACATCCCTAGGGTATGAGGTGCACAACAATCCCTATTCCTAGGGTATGAGGTGCACAACAATCCCCATTCCTAGGGTATGAGGTGCACAACAATCCCCATTCCTAGGGTATGAGGTGCACAACAATCCCCATTCCTAGGATATGAGGTGCATGACAATCCCCATTCCTAGGGTATGAGGTGCACGACAATCCACATTCCTAGGGTATGAGGTGCACGACAATCCCCATTCCTAGGGTATGAGGTGCACGACAATCCACATTCCTAGGGTATGAGGTGCACGACAATCCCCATTCCTAGGGTATGAGGTGCACGACAATCCACATTCCTAGGGTATGAGGTGCACGACAATCCACATTCCTAGGGTATGAGGTGCACGACAATCCCCATTCCTAGGGTATGAGGGGCAGGACAATCCCCATTCCTAGGGTATGAGGTGCACAACAATCCCCATTCCTAGGGTATGAGGTGCACAACAATCCACATTCCTAGGGTATGAGGTGCACGACAATCCACATTCCTAGGGTATGAGGTGCACGACAATCCCCATTCCTAGGGTATGAGGGGCAGGACAATCCCCATTCCTAGGGTATGAGGTGCACAACAATCCCCATTCCTAGGGTATGAGGTGCACAACAATCCCTATTCCTAGGGTATGAGGTGCACATCAATCCCCATTCCTAGGGTATGAGGTGCACGACAATCCACATTCCTAGGGTATGAGGGGCACATCAATCCCCATTCCTAGGGTATGAGGTGCACGACAATCCACATTCCTAGGGTATGAGGTGCACGACAATCCCCATTCCTAGGGTATGAGGTGCACGACAATCCCCATTCCTAGGGTATGAGGTGCACGACAATCCCCATTCCTAGGGTATGAGGTGCACGACAATCCACATTCCTAGGGTATGAGGTGCACAACAATCCCCATTCCTAGGGTATGAGGTGCACGACAATCCCCATTCCTAGGGTATGAGGTGCACAACAATCCCCATTCCTAGGGTATGAGGTGCACAACAATCCACATTCCTAGGGTATGAGGGGCACATCAATCCCCATTCCTAGGGTATGAGGTGCACGACAATCCCCATTCCTAGGGTATGAGGGGCACATCAATCCCCATTCCTAGGGTATGAGGTGCACGACAATCCCCATTCCTAGGGTATGAGGTGCACGACAATCCCTATTCCTAGGGTATGAGGTGCACGACAATCCCCATTCCTAGGGTATGAGGTGCACGACAATCCCCATTCCTAGGGTATGAGGTGCACGACAATCCACATTCCTAGGGTATGAGGTGCACGACAATCCCCATTCCTAGGGTATGAGGTGCACGACAATCCACATTCCTAGGGTAGAGAGGTCTGCCCTGGCTGCCATCCCTCTACATCCCATTCACACACGTCACATGACTGGCAACAACAACTGTATCTGGCTGCAACGGCAAGCAACGTAAGGGACACGACTCTGCACAGCAAGTTCCTGCAGCCAAGACAAAAAGGCCACAGTTCCCATTTCGCGATGTGAAGACGACAGAGGGGCCGACACAGGTTATCTAAAAGGGGAATCCAAAGTATTGCTCACGTCCATGATCAGTGTTGTACACTGCAGATTCATAGCACAAGATTACAGCCCCCTCTTCATATCCTTAACAATTTCCTCATTCTTACTAAAAACAAAATATTTCTTTAATCACACATTTCTGTAAAGCTGTGAAGTACAGTAATAAGTGTAAAGATAACATGATACCGGGATATACATACATGATACAATAGTACAACATTGCCAACAAGGGAAGAGAGATTGTGTGGAATAACTTACCAATGTTTGCACATTTTAGCAATTCTCAATGCTGATTGGTCAATTGAAACAATAAGACGTCACAGAAAACTGACGTCATCCATTGTTCATGGTGTCACAAATTGATAACATGTCATCTAACAGTAGGCTGCCTTCAGTGAAGTTATCTGTAATTTTGACATTTCATACATCTTTTCTTCATTTTGTCTTAAAATGTCAACGAGTAAAAAATACAATAACCTACTTTAAAATGACAGATTATCTGTCCTCCATGAATGATGTTAGTCACTTGCTAAAGGCTCTGGTTATTCTCTAAATACTCAATGTAAGATACACTACCAACAAACAATAAGGGAACTAATCATCTGAATGCATCTTCCCGAGGCAAGAGAGTTAACTGACTTTAAAAGTCCAGTTTCCACCCTTGCCGAACTATGCTGGAATTATGGAGTTACATCTTGGCTGGACTAAAGGGTCTATGCATAGTCGAATCAAAATCGCGCACCGAAATCGAAATCCGGTTCGTAAACTGTCGTGCAGATTTCGGTCGATTGCAGGATTTGCAAAGCATGTGCACCACCAACTCGTTGTCAGCAGTTATTTTCCAAATCTTTTCATGTTTTTAATCAAGGTGCTCACGTGATTTGATGCATTTCGCTATGCAAGACCGGTTTTATCACAATATAGATCTTGATTATCAATCAGATCGTCCTGACCAGGCGCCACCATTTTGTGTGAAGCAAACGCAAGTGATACGAGAGTTGGAATCTGATTGGTCCATAGGATAGGCTTAGAAGGGACATAACTGGTAATAGCCACTGGTGGAGCTACGATTGAGCCCAGTAATTCCAGCCTAGTTCGGCAAGGGTGGAAACAAGACTTTTAAAGTCAGTTAACTCTCTTGCCACGGGAAGATGACACCTTTCTTCATTTTCTCTTAAAATGTCAACGAGTAAAAAATACAATAACCTACTTTAAAATGACAGATTATCTGTTCTCCATGAATGATGTTAGTCACTTGCTAAAGGCTCTGGTTATTCTCTAAATACTCAATGTAAGATACACTACCAACAAACAATAAGGGAACTAATGATCTGAACGTAGCTACCATTGAGGTGTCCATTTACAATACTGTGGCGTTGCATCTGATCTCAACATCTCACATCATGCATTAAAAGTGTGAGTGCCTACAAGGGAACTTACTATCACTGATGCAGTTGAGCTAAGCACATGCTTAAAAATGCCTCCGAGAATTGTGGATACGATAGATGTGGGGATGTCAACATCCCAAGTTGGCCGAATGTTTGGCAAATCAAAAGGTGTAATTTCTCGACTGTGGGACAAGCACCATTAAACAGGTGGGGTCGCAATGAGACTTAGACCCGGAGGCCTAAAAAATTACACCTGGACATGTCTCATTACATGACTATCACCAAGCAATAGAATCAAATCGGCTCCTGTTATCAATAGGGAATTCCGTACAATAACAGGTAGGCAAATTTCAACACCGACCGTTAAAACTGGCTCTATGCAGCCCGCCTGAACGCAAGGCGTCCTGTGAAGGAAGTGACCCTAACAGCTTCCCTTAGGCAGTAAGGTTTGGAGTGGGTTTGGCAACACCAGGACCGACAATGCACCAATGGCGTTTCAACATGTGGACCGATAAAAGGTTTAGCCTCCGATTCACAGATGACAGGAAACGTTGTTGGCAACAAAGCAGATAGCAGTATGCCAGGGCAGCAATGCTGGACAATGAGTGAGTGAGTTGGGTTTAACGCCGCTTTTAACAGTATTCCAGTTATATCGCGGCGTGTCAGCTTAATGTGGGAGGAAAGCCCGAAGTGATGCAGGTCTCAGACGTTTACCACTTCGGTGAAACCCACGAGCATGGGTATGGTGCTGACAAACCTAGAAACATAATCGGGGCGAACCGGGATTCGAACCCACAATCATAGGTTTCTGGCGTGCCCAAGGGACGCAACTCTGCACAGCGAATCGCGGCACCTTAGACGACTGGGCCACCCGTGCCCCTGCTGGACCATGATCAATATGGGGGCAGTAGTGTCTTGGTGTGGGGCGTTATCACACATGACAACTGATTTGGTTATTGTGAATGAACATTTGACCGACCAGTGATCTCTTGACGACATTTTGCGCCCTGTTGTTGTTCCACTCGCTAGAATTATAGGCAGACGTATTCAACTGCAAGATGACTATGCCAGAACACACTGTGCCCAGGTCTTCCCCGATGATCTCTGATGAGAAGGCATACGGACATTGGACTGGCCCACTAAGTCCACAGACATGTCCCCAACAGAGCACCTGTGGGATGTTCTCGGACGGAGAGTGTACGCCAGTGACCCAGCACCGCCAACATGACCCAGCTTGGAGTAGCCTTGAGGCAGAAGGGCGGGCCATCCTAAGGGCAATGACAATGCCATTCCATATCATGCTCAGGTCATCACCGATGATCCCCGACAAGAAGGCACACAGACATTGGACTGGCCCACTAAGTCCCAAGACATGTCCCCAATAGAGCACCTGTGGGATGTTCTCGGATGGAGAGTGTACGCCAGTGACCCAGAACCGCCGAGCTTGGGACAGCTCTTCAGGTGGAATGGTGGCAATACCAAGCTTTAAGGGCAACCATATGCATGTTAATCGCAGTATGCCATCAAGGTGTCGTCCATGTATTGCCCAACATGGTGGACACACAAGATATTAATCTACACGCCCAAAATTAATTTTACAGACATTTATCATCCTTACACTTTCACTACCATTTCATCAGTTCCCTTATTCTCTGTCGGTCTGTCTCTCTGCATATTCCTTTCAACAGAAAGTTAATAAGTCCACATGTATAATTTTAAACTAGAATGTTGTCCTTTTCACAAGCTTCTTTGAGGGCAGCATGTCAGTATGACATAACTGGCAATGCTTTTCTCAAGGTGCACAAGCATCACTTTTATCATGATACATCCTCGAAGACCTACATACTGCCTCAACAGCCTGGAAATGCAGTATTAACTGTATTTCCCAACAGATGTGATGAGCCCTGTGACCTCCATATTCTTCATCAGAACAACTTAAACAATACAGATTCTCAAGATGATCAGTTTTCTGATCAATTAGATGATTCCGAAATAGCATTCCACTACAGCATCTTGAATCAGCAAGTCTAAATGAAAAACAAACTTCCTTGTACTCTAATTATTTAATCCTTATGACTTCCTTGTGAAACACACGGATTTCACTTCATGTTGTTGGTAACCATGGTAACAGATATATTATCTTCAAGCTGTTCTTGTTTTGCGTTCAATCAAATGATTAGGCATCGACATTATCACAACTGTAGGTTGAAGGTCGAGTCTGTTCGTCTTCCTCTCACACAAACACTACTATCTTTCTCCCGTGCCCCGGATTTTAGAGGCTGCTAGTCTCTCTATGTCATCTAAACTCATGCTGGCCAGGCCTTTGTTGAAATCCTGCAAGGATAAAGTGAAGAAATGATTAATGATCCTGTTAAAAATGCTCCAAAAGGTTTGACGGATCTTTTCTACATCAGACAAACTCTTACATGTACTGTTGTGTTGGTCATCTGCCCCCAACAACTCCATCGCTGTTAAACGGCTGATCATTAATAACGCTCACCTGTTATTTGGACCCCAAAGGTAGCATTAAAGTGAGGGATCACTGCATGACCATTAAAATTGTGAATGGACACCAAAACACTGCGAGACCCAAGGAATGGCTTTTTGAATCATCAAAACAGTGAGTGAGTGAGTTTGGTTTAACGCCGCTTTTAACAGTATTCCAGTAATATCACGGCGTGTCAGCTTAATATGGCCCGAAGTGATGCAGGTCTTAGACATTTACCACTTTGGTGAAACCCACGAGCACGGGTATGGTGCTGACAAACCTAGAAACATGATCGGGGCCAACCGGGATTCAAACCCACAATCATAGATTTCTGGCGTGCCCATGGGACGCAACTCTGCACAGCGAATTGCGGCGCCTTAGACAACTGGGCAACCCGTGACCCCACATCATCAAAACAAATTCCTGCAGCATGCACGTCAAATTTAACTGATATTCATTTTCATTCTGATAGGAAATACATACAAAGATCAGACTGTCCATGTCAAGTCAAAACCAACTTTTTCAATTTATTTTCTGCTTGTGTTTTGGGGCTCTGGTCGGTTGAATCCATAAACAGCACAATAAAATAAATTATGTCGCTCTTGGGGAGCACTAGAACTGTCCCTGAAAGTCCAAGGCCATTTTGTCAACATCCTCAAGTTACCTCCCTTGTTCCACCAGTGATCTGGTTTAACCAACTGTATCAGACTAATGCTGAGGATATCCTTTAGATAGAAACAAGCAACATCTTCTAAAATTGAAAAGGAGCCCAAGTGAGATGGCACTTTCAGAATCAGCGGAAATTCTATACTTGCTTCAGTTAGGACTACAACATTACAACAACAGATCAGCGGAATATGGTTCAGGGACAGAATAATTGTCTATGTACCTTTCTAAATTCTGCAAGTACTAAGTCTGCATCCTTCTCTGTATAATGTCTGCGTAGGAATGTCTGCAGTTTGGTCCAGACAGGGGCGCTTACATCTGTGTCTGAACTCACTGTCTTTGAAACACTGTCAGCTGAGCTGGCCGAGCCAGGACGTGAAACCACAGTCAGCTTGCTGCCATCTTCTATATTGTACTCACTCAGTTGTTTGTTGTCTAGACAAACAGAGAAACAAATCAACCAAATAGTACAGAATTATCATGATAAACATAATTCTTAACAATCAAGCTACAAAAAATTCAAATAACATACTTAATATTTTTTAAAAATCTGAATCAACATCTTACTATTACTTTTACCTAAAATTATTAGTTCTAGGAATTATAAGTTTTGAACAAAATTCCAATGATTGCATTGTTTCAGGCCAGGTGAGCAAATTGTAGGCAGAGTGAGTGAGTGAGCGAGTGAGATTTTACGCCGCTTTTAGCAATATTCCAGAAATATCACGGCGGGGGCACCAGAAATGGGCTTCACACATTGTACCCATGTCGGGAATCGAACCTGGGTCTTCGGCGTGACGAGCTAACGCTTTAACCACTAGGCTACCCGACCGCCCCAATTGTAGGCAGACAAGTTAGAAGTGCAAAGAGTTACACCCTTAAGGGATTCTTATCGCTCAAGTTATCTTTGTTTGGTATTTCTGTAACATTAAATGACATCAATTAGGGACTGGTCATTTATTAGGGAGGGGGAGGATTAAGGGAGATGGGGATGGGAAAATGACACACTGAAAGATCGGTGTGGTCAAAATTTATCACAACTATGGGGGCACATGAAAAAATGAATATAATAAATCTGAATATCACTAAGGGACTGGTCATTTAATACAAGGTGGGTGGGTGAGTTGGGTTTAACGCCGCTTTTAACAATATTCCAGTTATATCGCAGCATGTCAGCTTAATGTGGGAGGAAAGCCCGAAATGATGCAAGTCTCAGATGTTAACCACTTCGGTGAAACCCACGGGCACGGGTATGGTGCTGACAAACCTAGAAACTTAATAGGGGCAAACCGGGATTCGAACCCACAATCATAGGTTTCTGGCGTGCCCAAGGGACGCAACTCTGCACTAATACAAGGAGGGGTATGAAAATATATATGGTGTTGGTGTTGGGGGTGGGGTGGGATGGTGGTAATGCATGAAAAAATGTTACATAAAAAGGTAGGGGGCAGATCAAGACCAATTGCCCCCTTCCTTAACATTATTCAGGGCTGTTGGGGTAATGACAAGGACCCCTAGACATGTTTTCAAACGTTGCATAACCATCTCAGCCTCACCTGTCATAGGTTTCCCCTTGTACAGCAGCTTCTGGTTAGCGATGGGAATAGACATGAGGGCTGCCACCTGTTGTTTGATGTCCGTAACATAGCTGCTGGGCGATGCCTGCAACACAAAGACGCCCACTACATCCCCAGCCTCCAACGTTCAACTGTTCCACAAGTCACCAGGCTCCCACTGTTATGTACCTGGTCTGCTTGTTGTCTATCGCTACATGCAGCATTATTCTGGCTATATGGCTGCTGTCTGTAGATAATTAAGTCTGGACCAGACAATCCAGTGAGTGACATAGCGACCATAGATCCACCTGTGTTGACAATTTACTTTACCTCCCCTAAAAGAATGGCTTTTGAGAACTATTTCTGATCCTCTTCCAGTTCTTTCATTCGACATGCATAGGGTACGGGTAACTTGGGTTATAGCTAAAACGTCACCTCAGCAAAACATCACCTGGCGAAAACGGCACCGATTGGCTGAAACGTCACCTCGCCTCAAGCGAAAACGGCTACTATTGCCTGGCGAAAACGGCACCCTATTTTTTTTTTACCTTGGCAAAATAAATGAAATTTGTGACGTTTTGCTGAGGTGCCGTTTTAGCCTGCATCCGGTAACTTTGTACAGAATCGGGATTCGCGGAGAAACATTTATGTGAAGCAAAAGCTTTACACACTGTACCTGGAATCAAATGTGAGACAAAAGAATGTCTTTACTACAAGGCAACCCAACAAGAATCTTGCTACCGCCCCTATAACATCTGAATATAGAGCTCCAGATAAGCTTTTGGTGTTTTGGGTATTTTACCCATGCATTTTAAAATCATTGGGTATCAGTAATTCTATCTGGGTATTCAAATTTCTGTTACCCACTAGTTTTTACACATGTGGGTATTTAAGTTAAATATTTAAAAACACTATTCATCTAGTCCCTGCAAACTGGTGTCGTGTGAGTTCGAGAGCTTTATAGGACTCAAAAATACCACGATACTTCCACACGAAAGTGTGATGGCAAATGATCATGATGTAACTGTCATCGTGGAGTTTGGCAAGGTTGACGGAATGCTCGTTTATAATTTCAAAATAAGTTGCTGATTTGCTAATCAAATACGCAGGGTTACTTCACAAAATTTTGATGATACGCACAAGTTTTATTTTTGTAGCTTATCTGTAATGTTCGTTGCGTATTTGATACGCTTGGATTTTATTTTACTGCGTATTTTTTATGTGTATTTCTGATGTGTATTTTACGCAGATACGCAGCTTATCTGGAGCTCTGTGAATACATATAGAATACATGGAATAGATGACATGTAATAGAATTGGCAGTTGGTAGGTGTCTCCAACATATCAAAGTTTGAGGAGTTTACAAGACCTGGTCTCAATGTAAAGTGTGGTTGAACTATTAAGCTTTACTGATGTAAAGCGCATAGCACCTACCCACTAAAGTTTTCACTCAAAGAAGGTGGACCTACTAAATTGCTGATCTACATCAGTTGGTTGGTTTGTTGTTTAACGCCGAACTCAGCAATATTCCAGCTATATGATGGCGGTCTATAAATAATCGAGTCTGGACCAGACAATCCAGTGATTAATATCATGAACATCGACCCATGCAATTGAGATTGATGACACGCATCAACCAAGTCAGCAGCCTGACCACCCGATCCCGTTAGTCGCCTTTTACGACAAGCATAGTCGCCTTTTACGGCATCATGGGTTGCTGAAGACGTATTCCTGCCCGGAATCTTCACGGGTCTAACACAAAGTAGGTGGACCTACTAAATTGCTGATCTACATCAGTAAACAAAACTGAACCTACACACGGAGATTCCTCTAAATCTTATGGTATCGACTCAATCTGGTAGTTTGGTCATAATGTCCATGAACACACTGATTAAACTTACGGCAATGGTACACTCGTCTCCGTTCAGTACTTTAACGGTCAGCCGCATTGTCTTTTCGTATGCTGATGGATCTGCTAAACTTGTCGATTTCGTCAATCCACTGCAGACCGGTGATTCCCCAAAACGTCACTTCCGACTCGCGTAGATATCTACCATATTTGCCAAAGAAATTCAATGAAGATCATTTAAGCTGTAATAAAGTAAATACTCGTTTTTCCTTGGACCATATTACCCTTAGAGATGCGTATGTCATCAGTTCATGGACAAGACATAGCTCAAACATTTGAATAGTCGTGCACTATTTGTTATCATGTCATATAGTTCATGCAGGTGCCCGAAACTTGCTACCTACATGTATCGCTTTTCTTGCTTACATACGTTCTTACATCAATGAATAAGTCAGTTTCAACTAATCAGCTTTATAAAACAACCATTTGTGAATTTATTACATTCTCTGTATGTCTAGTTTTAACTTTTCAAGCGCCCAGGAGAGAGTCTGTAAACATTACCCCTTCTCGTCAAACGTGCACTACTTTTCGTCAAAACATACTCGTATACTACATTCCTCACAACATATCAATTAGGTTACACATTTTTCACGTAATAAATCACAAACTCTTGATTCTTATTATCAAGATTCATTATTTGCGTTTTTCTTAAAGTCCAAACTGTGACAGAAGTGATACAAACGTGTGTGTGTGTTTAAGATTATATCTATCCATTTAATATTGATTTATTTTTGTGCAATAAGTCTGCAGCAAACTAGTATCCTGTTAAATCATTGACTGCATTCTTCGCTGAGTGGCTAGGCCCTGCTGCAATCTCACTGGCTCGTGCGTTGACCAACCAATTTCTCAAGCTCGTCTCAATCACCCAGGTTTGTTGTTATTATCCTTTGGCCAATAGACTACACGTGCAACTCTTTCAAACCATATTCCATCTACATTGGAATTATAGTCATATTGCGATCTCCTCAGTTCACTCTTTTAGACAGTTTCGGATGTTTTCAGCTTTCTCCGCCATTTTCTTTTGTAAGATGACCTCGCCAAAGCCGAGTACCGGCACGATCCGATAGCCTACATCGTTGTAAATTTAGTATGCCGACTACACGTATCTAGAACGTCGTGTCCATGTTTACAGATACACCACCCACCACGAATGTCGATTGCGGCAGGATACATAATTCCAACCTTCCCGCATACAAATGTGATCAGTATTTTTTTTTGCTTTGAAGAAGATAATTTCCTGGTTTTCGTCTATAAATAACTCTGCAGAAATTTCAAGAAAAGCGTCAGGCATGTTGCTGTTGGAACCAGTGACAGAATACTAGTTCTTGTAGACATCTCCAGGTCACCATTTCAACAACACAAATAAATCTTAAAGGATTAGAAGGAAAAAAACATTTAAAGGGGCACTGATCTCTGACAATTCATGGTTTGATGCCTTTGTTATTTATTTTTTCCTGTGGATACCCGGATGATATCCCAGAGATCTCAACTAGTTTGGGACCTGTACTGCGCCAATCATAAGTGCATTTATTGCTTTTATTGATAGTATAAGGGTACATCATCACATTGATCAACAAAATGCCTAAATATTCAGTTATTTTACAATTTAAGTGAAAAATCGGTCCATTTATTTTATTATGATTACAAATTCCAAAAATTTCATCACCCATCATTACAACTGCCAAAGTTATATGTAAAACATTAGACAGTTACCTTGTTGGGGGAATGTATCCGTAAATATCCACATATTAAAAGGAATAATATCCCACAAGTATGCAGTTGTACAAAGAAACTTGTTCGACGTCACATGTCTTTGTATCAGTCTGATATTTTAAAATATATATAGCATTTCTGGACTCTATGTTCTTTTCTCAAGTTTGGTTGAGGTGTTTCACATAGGTGTCAAGTCTCACTGGTCAGCTGAGATAGCACACGTGACAACTATGGTGATAATGTCCTTGGTTCTTTAAAAAAAAAAATGCTTTGAGTTGGATAACAATGAGCCATCAACAGATATGGGTGTATTCTGTCTGCTTTAGTAAACCTACACATGTAAACTCTTCATCTGACAAATCCACTGTGCAAGATAATAATAATTAAATTTTCGTTGTGTTCATGGAAATTCCTGCATTCTGATTAGCTGAATTGGTCACGTGTTATTGCATTCATTTCCCAATGAATGTAAAGAATTAAGCCACGCCAACCGCGGTGCACTACTTTTATTACTGCGGAATGTCGGGGAATCCCAATATTACAGTCGAGGGAGTCCTCTTTCTGGTCACGTGTATCGTCATGCACAGGACATTTAGCGACTTTCATGCATATTCATTGTCCAAACTACCCTTTGAAACCGAAGGCCGAGAATGAATGAAACAGCAAACGTGCAGGCTCGCTTGCCTGTTTTTTTCCCGCTCGCCCTGGTTCAACTTTCATGTCTTTGGGTTTCATTTCTAACTAGCATTTCTCCAACTGTGTTTTACTGTAATCAGGGAAGTAATGTTTGAATCACGCAGTAAATGACCATGTTATTTGAAACAGCCGCCTTCTCTCAGACATATTTCTTCAGGTTCGTTACAGTCTGACTGTTGCAGTTCTTTTCGCCTCTTGCCTTAATTGACAGGTCCAATGAACATTGTTTTAATCCAATTCTCCGTTGATTGGCTACTGACTGTGTAGGCGCGTCAAGTTATGTAAACGATCACCTGATTCATGTCACGCCACTGTATGTATTCCTACATCTGGAATGTTTATCAATGTTGTCATTTTTGTCTGTTTTGATATATGGAACTGTTTTGGGTTAAACTATTGTAGATAAAACATGTTTTACGTTGTCGAATTTAATTATAAGCATTGACTGTATATTTTTTTCGGTTCATTGAGGTATGAATCGAAAAACCGATGTGCAAACTTTTGTAAGAATCCGCTACACGGATTCATACAGTTTGTATATCGGTTTTTCGATTGATACCTCAATGAACCGAAAAAAATACACAGTCAATCCTTAAGTGATTAATTAATCGGTTAACAAGGTAGACACAATTTTATGGATAGCAACTTCTTTAATGCTGTCATCCATCAACTTCTAAGTAATGCCTATCAAACAATCGGTTAACCCTTTGATCAATGTTGTTTTTTTTGTAACACATCTGATCATGCCTCTCTTGCTGCGCTGTTGCGTTAGTATTACATAACATACATTTCACCCCACTTCAGAAATGCCAAATGGGTACCTTTGTCAGGTAATCTGACTGGTACTACCACTAATACCTGTAATAAATTCATTAACTGAGCATCAAGTGAATGACAACAAATAGGGATATACCAGGAAACATGGATGACAACAACTGACCAAGGAAGTAGTAATCGTAGTATGCACCCAATCTGAAATCCGAAAATGTCTTTCACTGCTGGGATACTTCTTTATATTAAACTATGACCATCAGGGGTGTTTCCAAATAAGGCTATCTGATGACCTTCCACCGTTCTTTTTGTCTGTTTAGGTTGAAGAAATTAATTGATATGCGCCCTTTGTAATATTGAAATCTTAATAGATCTCGGGTAACCAGTCAGTTTTTAGAAATGTGTATAGATATTTCCTCAAGGTTTATCTGTCCTTACAGACATCGTCCAGTCTCTTGTTGTGCTGTTGTGTTAGCTGGCAAATCCACTCACAGCAGCTAGTGAGACTAGCAGGCAGTGTTAGACAGCTGGGAAGAAGCCAGAGATTTGTGTCCCTTTAAGTTTGAAAATTTATAAACAAATTTGTAAGACATATAAATATTCAATATGGTTATTTGAAACAGTTTACTCACTCTCTTCACCTGCTGGAGAAATGTATATTTGTCATCATTTCATCAACAGAAAATAGTTTCAACATAATAAACATTTGAAGAGCAGTGCAACATTTGTTTGGCCCATGCGGTTCACACAGGTAGATGAGGCTGTTGGGGTTGTGGTTGGCACAGGTACTACAGAAATGTACCCAAGATACCTCTGCATTCACTCATGTACCAAAGCTTGGCAGTATTGCCTGTGTTGATGTCAGGATTGTATTCAAATGTTTATGCTTTGTTCTGTTGATGATATGTGCATACGTATCTCCAGTAGGTGAAGAAATTATCAAGAAACACAATTAGGCCGAACCAGTTTATTACATGTTTTCACTTCTTTATCCCCAATACCCGTGAAAATCTGGGTTAGTATAGGTCTTCAGCAACCCATGCTTGCCTAGAGAGGCGGCTATGCTTGCCGTGAGAGGCGACTATGCTTGTCGTGAGAGGCGGCTAACGAGACTGGGTGGTCAGTCTCATTACAGGTCATACAAGAACGACCTTTTGCAGCGTTAGAAATTGGCACTAGTCCTGTAGTCCTTACCAAACTGCCCAATAGTAAAGGTATCCTAAGGACTAGTAGAAACTGGCCCATTTTAAGGGTTTGGCTATATGTTATCATTATAAGGACTAGTGGACAAAAACTGTTATTTTCTAACCCTGCTTTTGTAAACTTTTACCTACTAATGAAATGACTAGCAAGAAATCCACACAAACCAGTCAGAAAGGAGTATTTTCAAACATTATGGCTCTAATTTCTAACTTGCAAATTCCTTTCCAGACCACGCTTTGAAAAATATCGATTCAAAATTTAAAAACTGAACAGAAGAAAATTCTTGAATATCTAACAGATGGCTGAGGTTGTATGGCAGTACTTCCCACAGGCTATGGAAGGTCCCTTTCGTTTAAAATGGTTATCCCACTGAAGCAAGAAATGGACAATGACTTTGACTGTCGTTTAGAATACCCTATGTTAACCTTTTTGAGGTTGTGTGATTTGAAAACACATTCCAACTGTCACTTTTCCGATCTGGTAAGGGACACTGATTGGTCAGATGAAAGGCTGTGACCCATAATGCAATGTCCTCGGATGTTTTTTTAGCAGTTACAAGAACTAAGATTTTAGTGAGATTGCAGCTATTGACGGTAGTCTAGTGGTTAAAAGCATTCGCTCGTCAAGGCGAAGGCAATGTTCGTTTCCTGCATGGGTAAACATCTTCTCGAGGCAGGGGTGTTAACTGACTGTAAAAGTGCCGTTTCCACCCTTGCTGAACTAGGCTGAAATTTCTAGGTTTTGATCGTAGCACCACCAGTAGCTATTATGTGTTGTGTCCCTTCTGTCGCACCTATGGACCAGTCAGATTCCATCTCTCATATCACATTAGCTTTAAACAAAAATGGCGGCACCCAGTCAAGATGATCTGATTGATTATCAAGATCTATATAGTAATTAAACAGATCATGGCCTGCAAGGTGCATCAAATCACTTGAGCACCTTGATTAAAAACTTGAAAAGATCTGCAAAATATTTGTCAACGCCCAGTTGGCAGTACACATGCTTTGCAGATCCTGCAGTTGACCAAAATACTGGTAATGTAACTCTGGAATTCCAACCTAGTTCGGCAAGGGTGGAAACTGGACTTTTATAGTCAGTTAACTCCCTTGCCTCAGGAAGATGTGGGTAGATTGTGTGAAGGCCATTTACAGAGATTTTACTTGGAGACACTTGTCATTGGGATATTTTCTTGATATTATCAACTGTTGATAGCAAATTCTTCCATGTCGTTACCATGATTACCAAATTTGACCTAAAAATTAGGACATTTTGGAATACTATCAGTAAGTAAAAACAGCATAAAATGTTACTCACTCACTCACTTACTCCACAAATGTTTGTGTTGATTTTGTGATTTATCATTGTGACTTCAGGATGGAGACAGCTGAAGGTTCCGGGGACAACAGTCTGAGTGAGTCGTTCCTTGCAGGCAGCAATCAGTATGTTGTGGAAGGAGGTGAGTACAGATACTAGGGCTGTAACGATTCACTGATATCATCGATACTTAGGAACACGACCCGTGAAGATTCCGGGGTAGAATGGGTCTTCAGCAACCCATTCTTGCTGTAAAAGGCGACTATGCTTGTCGTAGAAGGCGACTAACGGGATCGGGTGGTCAGGCTCGCTGACTTGTTTGATACATGTCATCGATCCCAATTGCATGGATCGATGCTCATGATGTCAATCACTGGATTGTCTAGTCCAGACTCAATTATTTACAGACCGCCGTCATATAGCTGGAATATTGCCGAGTGCGGCGTTAAACAACAGACAAACAAACTTAGGTACACACGATACCTGAATCGTCAGTTTGTGAGATTGCGATATGCTATAAATAGATCAGGAACTAATAGCGTTACCTCCCATGATGGCAGAAGTAGCATAGCGCCACCTGTAGGCATAGCAGAACAGAGGATGTGGTAGCTGAGGATGCCATGACTGTTGCATTTTATGACCATACCTTCATTTAAAACTGTTTTGTTCTTGTGATTTTCTTTGTTAAAGTTTTTGAGATAATAATAAATGTCCCAAGAACCCATTGCTTGTCATAGAGGTTCATTGGATCATGTGGAGTACAGTATGTTGTTGTGAGTCTGGATGGTGTGGATCGTCGCTCAAGTCTTCAATCACCATTTGCCTGGTCCACACTTGATTATTTACAGGCTGCCATGATATGGCTAAAAAATGATGACTGTGGCATTTCACATCATGGACATTCACTGACAGTTGTCAGAATTTCCATCAGAAATGTACATTACTCATTGGCCATCTTTCTGTAGCTGCCGTGGTTATATCGAGAGGTTATATAGGTATGGAGTTTCTGTTGCAGGTGATGGTGATGAGGTGATAGCATCAGGGGAAGGTGACGAAGAAGCAAAGACAGACGAGCCCCTGAGAGAACAGGTAGGTCAGGACTTTGATGATAATGATCTGCTCAGGAATAGAAATCAGCTTCTTATTTTAATGGTTTCACAGACACTAGTGAAACTGTTTATGCATAAAATCATTTTGTTTTTCGGGACATTTCAGGATTACTTATTGCCCCTGATGAAAGATTTCATGTTTAACAAACCTTACAATGCCTGTAGTAGGAGAAAGCGAAGTAACAAGATATTCTTAGTGGTATGCACAGAACCCTTTCCGCTTAGGTGCTGCAATTTGCTGTTCAGAGTTGCATCCCTTAGGCATGCAAGGATCCTGTGGTCAAATCCATGTTACACTTGATTGTGATACTTGGTTTGTCAGCACAATACCCATGCTCATCTGTATCCCCACAGTGTAAGATTTGCATAACTCCTTGACTTCCTCTCATAGCTGCGACACTCACCCACTCAACTATCAGGTCAATTTCTATCTGTGATTGCTTTCTCATATACTGCCCAGTCTTACCAGTCATTCATTCATTCATTCATTTAAGGACATTTCTGTCAGATAAAGCCCATTTTCTGTCAGATAAAGCCCATTTCTGTCAGATAAAGGCCAGTAACTGTCCTGAGTATTTGGGTCATGTTGACCTTTGGGAATTGCCGTCAATGTCCACAGGCTCCTTTTAATGAGCCAAACTTTTCAATAGTAAATGAGGTTGTAATTCAATTCTGAACATATGAAATTCAAGTATGATTTTCACTTGCTTGTGTTGATTTAATTGGATGAATTGTATGCTGATTTTAAAACACTTTTCCAGGTCATTTTTTGTTCTTTTTGAATAATGATGTTTTTCTTCTTTGCAGGATCGATTTTTACCCATTGCAAATGTTGCAAGAATTATGAAGAAGTCAATACCAGCAAATGGAAAGGTAATGTGTCAACATGGTCAAAGTTTGATCTGTCACTTGCTAACAATTTCCTAACGTAAAAAAAAGTTTGAGCTAAATTACGTGTTGTTTTCTCAAATGACTTCACCTGCCAAATTATTGCAATCCAGCCCCCTTGGTGCAACACTGAAGGCCATTTGAAATTGAATGTAACTGCCATGCTGATGGTAATCAGCTGATTGCCAATGCTATCTCATGCACTCCTTCCTCTGTTTCTCCAGATAGCCAATGCTATCTCATGCACTCCTTCCTCTGTTTCCCCAGATTGCCAATGCTATCTCATGCACTCCTTCCTCTGTTTCCCCAGATTGTCAATGCTATCTCATGCACTCCTTCCTCTGTTTCTCCAGATTGCCAAAGATGCCAAGGAGTGTGTTCAGGAGTGTGTATCAGAGTTTATCAGCTTCATCACCAGCGAGTATCCTTTCACCCACTACTAAAGCTCAACAACTGCTAGTCATTTACTATTTATCACATTATCGCAGGTCACGAAGTGGAAGGGAGATATAGGAATGGGTGCTGTCCTTCCGTCTGTTTGTCCGTCATGTTTCATTCAAAAACTCAAAAACCATGAGTGATATCTTCACCAAACTTTGCTCATAGATAGGTCTAGTAACCTGGTGCCTTTTGATAGTTTGGAATTTTTTAAACAAATATTTTTCGAGTTTCCATAGCAACGACTTTGACAGACTGAAACTGGAGGTGGTGCTCCTTTCCAGAGCAGATCTTGAAAACCATACAATATTTCTTGCCTCGCACACAACCGGACATGTCATATTGGCAGGGGATATGAGTTTTTCATGCTTGTTTAATCAATAAGCACATTGTTCACCAATCTAATTAACATCTGATCTTTGATATGTTACCTCTCTGCATAAAGATCTGAGGATGCCTCCCTGTTCATCTCACTCAATCACCATTTTCTTAGATTTCAATCTCTTTGGGGGGGGGGGGGGGGTAGCCTAGTGGTTAAAGCATTCGCTCGTCACGCCGAAGACCAGGGTTAGATTCCCGACATGGGTACAATGTGTGAAGCCCATTTCTGGTGTCCCCCGCCCAGATATTGCTGGAATATTGTTAAAAGCGGCGTAAAACCATACTCACTCACTCACTCACTCACTCAATCTCTTGGGGATGAATTTTTATTGCTCCGTAGCATGTCTTGAAAGGATTGTCATGGGAGACATTCATGATGCAGTGCATCTACCACAGCAGTTAGCGGCTTGAAAGGGGTGAGATCCAGAGTAGAATAGGTCTTCAGCAACCTAAGCTTGAAGTAAAAGGCCACTATGCTTGTCATAGGAGGCGACTAACAGGATCGGGTGGTCAGGCTTGTTGACTTGGTTGATGCATGTCATCGTATTCCAATTGCTTACATCGACGCATGATGTCAATCACTGGATTGTCTGGTCAGAATATTTACAGACCACTGACATATAGCTGGAATATTGCTGAGTGTGGCATTAGGCAACAAACAAACAAACAAATGATAGGAGAGCAGTGTGGGATTAGAACTGCCCAGTGGTCAATGCAGGGACCAGGACAAATGTCTGTTGACCTTGACCCTGTCCAGAGCCAGTGAGCGGTGTCATCAAGAGAAGCGAAAGACCATCAACGGAGAAGACATATTGTTTGCCATGTCTACCCTAGGATTTGACAACTATGTGGAACCTCTTAAGGCATATCTACAAAAATACAGAGAAGTAAGAGAAACTTGTCTTTCATTATAGTTGGATATTACTAACTTCAAATATTAGTTCCTCATATGCCACTTACTCCTTTAACTTAGCAGTAATGTGATCCGTGATGCCATCACTTCCGTGGTCTCGTGGGAGCTGTGTGATAGGGTTGTCCTCTCAGCTAGTTGAAACAACTTCTTCTTCAGCAAGACTTCACACAGCTCTTCTTTCTGTCAAGACAAACAGTTATATGCATTAAGGAGTAATGCAGGATAAGTATTCAAAAATAAAAAATATCTAGGATTTTTCTAGTATGATACTGTGGATATCCATCCACCATGCTCAATGTCCTTTCCGACAGCCTCTATTTGTCACCACTCTGATCAAGTAATGTTTCTCATCATGTTTCAGTCATCGAAAGGGGACAAAGTCCTTACTGTTAATGCTGCTCAAGATGCTAGCATGGAAGAAATGGTTGGAGAGGAATCGTTTGGTAAGTCACTCAGTGGAACTAAATGATTGGCTATATTGATTTCTGTATTTTGATGACCTTGTCCTCCATTTACAACAGCAACATGATCTTCAGACCCCACACTCCTAGTGTTCTGGGGAAGAAAATGTTCCCAGTACACACTGTCAGGAGAGTCCAAGAGATAGGAGCAATTTGTTTCACCAAAGAGGTCCAAGTTAATGCTTGTTTCAAAGACATAAAAGGCTGAATTTTCCAAAAATGTTTATCCCACAAAAATCTGATGGGCCATTTTCACAGTAGGGAGCGCTGAAATCATGACTCAGCGTTTTATTTGCATTATGCCTCTTAAAAGTACATGGATGTTTTCATCAAAACTAATATTTTTGTCTTTTAATGTTTGGTGTCAAAATAAAGAGAATACAACAACCTACACAGTCAAACACAAAAATTAGGCATTCTGAAGTATTTGTTGTGCAATAATACTCTGACTGGACAAATCATTGGTTGAACTTTATTTCATTACCAATTGCCCTGCTGTACCTGTGACCTGTGAAGACCCGGGTCTTCAGCAACCCAGGCTACTGATGGGATTGGGTGGTCTGGCTCCCTGACTTGGTTGATGCATGTCATTGTATGCCAATTGTATTGATCGATGCTCATGATGTCAATCACTGGATTGTCTGGTCCAGACTGATTATTTACAGACCACCATCAGATAGCTGGAATATTGCTGAGTTTGGCATTAAGCAATATGCATAACAGTCAAAAGTGCTTTTCAGTGTTATGATGATGAAGTAATGTTGCCAGGTTTTTAAAAACCGAGACGAAAACTCTCCCATGTAGTGTACATACCAGGCAAGATTATTTCTGAACCAATTTGTTGACTCTTCAATCCCAGTATTTTCAATGATGATGATTTCTATTTACAGGTCAGTCAGTGACGAGCATGTTGACCACAGATGGTGTACATTCAGGAGTCATTCTTGCTCAGTATCCCAATACAGTAAGTAAAAGGACACTTATCAGTCATAGCAGGTGCTGAGTAGGTCCTCAGTACCTCATCATCTGCCACAAGAGCAGAAGGTCTGATGTTACCCCTGGTCACATCATGACGAAAGACTGCTTGCACTGGTCTGGAGTAATGCCAGTTTTATAGTGCTAGCCGACTGAGATACCATGCCGCAGTTTAACATGGATACCACACTCAGACACAGTATACTGACTCCGAGCCTACTGACTCCTTCTTTTAGCCCCTCAATGCCAAGCACCAGGCAGGGTAACAAGTACCATCTTGTAATGTGTATTGGTATGACGCGTCTGGGGTATCACTCTCTGTAGGTGTAAAACAATAACAAACTACATGTGAGTCTTGCACAACTTTGAACAGTGTGGACAGTATGTCAGTTATATCATGGCATGTCAGCCAAATGTAGAGGAAACCTGACATAATGCACGTTGTAGACATATACCACTGACCTGTGAAGATCCAGGGCCCACTTGCACAAAGCGATCTTAGCGCTAAGACTATCGTAAGCTTATGTTAAAGTATGGGAGTTACGATCATCTTAGCGCTTAGATCGCTTTGTGCAAGTGGGTCCAGGGTAGAATAGGTCTTCAGCAACCTATGCTTGCCGTAAGGGGCAACTATGATTGTGATAAGAGGCAACTATGGGATCCGGTGCTCAGGCTTGCTGACCTGGTTGATGCATGTCATCGTATCCCAGTTGTGTGGATCAATGCTAATGATGTCAATCACTGGATTGTCTTGTCCGTACTCGATTTTTTACAGACCGCCATCATATAGCTGGAATATGCTGAGTGTGGCATTAAACAACAAACAAAACAAAAACATATTCCACTTTGGTGAAACCTCAGATCATTAAATACCAGTTCTGTGTGTACTCATATATCAAAGTTGAATATGTGTGATACTCATAATTATTTGACTTGTACTCAATACAGAATTATGGTCGTTTATGTTTTGCTATATTTTCCAGATGAACTTTTCGTAGAGGAATAAATCTGCAGTCAATCTAGTGGTGCATCTGAGGCAAGCAGCATCTTAACAAGCCAAAACAAAATCATCAGCGGTGTGGCCAGGCATCCCAGCATATATACACCTATAACGTCTCAGCGAGGCTATCATTGTAGTGTGTCTCAAACCTTGCCATCTCATTGGTCATCCTGTAAGTGAGTTCACAGAATTTCGATCCACTTTTAAGCATGGCCACCATGGCGGACATATTGACTGAAAGAGGACGGACAGTTCTCCCTGCTGTGAAAGTTGGATAGACAACCATGTAAACATTATGATCAGACACAGAACCAATTTGTTAAAGACATGTTATTTGTACCATGTTCACAGCATATGGCTTCAAGAAACTGGATCTATGGCAACATTATCAGTACATTCTTTGGGGGATGCCTGAAGATGATGTGCGACCTCCCTGTAGACAGACTGGCGTTCTCACATTAATGACAGATTTTCTTCTAAACTTTGTTTGGAATCTTTGCCAGATTTAACATGTGAAGAACATACATACCTAGTAAAATTTTTAGTTTCCGAATTTTGCTCACAATATCAACACCAGTTTGTCTGGCCCAAATTCGATCATTTACAGACAGTCGTCATATTTGATTTGTGATAAAATTTGCAAGATATTAGATGACCAGTAAGATCCTGGAGAGGTCACTCTGTTCTCATATGAATGTTTGATGGGTGTAATAGTTTTTGATATGGTATAGATACTGCGATTATGTCCAGTTATGCATAAATTACATTTCAAAATTTATTCGTTGCAAAATAAGTATTTGTGAGATGAACATATTTGGTGGGACTATTGGCCAATACCTAAACAGAATTGGCAAGGGTCAGATCTGGATATTATCAATAACGTTCTACATTTGTATTGACCAGAAACCAGACCAGTGCTTTTATCAGAGATTATCTTGTAATTGTCAAATATTTCATTTTGTTTGTGTAATTTTACCATTTTTAAGTGACAGTGTGTTTTGTGTCAAGTTAAAACCCTTTTATCACACTCTGTATTATCACACTCTAGTTTGCTGGAGAAAGGATTTCCTTTGGTGCTGTTGTACATCATTTTTCAACTATTTAACCTTGTAGGTACAGCATTCATGTAGTGCTTAGATAACTTAACACTGGCGTTTCCTGGTGTGAAGGATCTACGACTGAAATATGCTGCTGAGCTGTCATAAAGGATACTAGCTTCTAAACACAAGGCAGAAAAGGATATATTTCACTCAATGTTTTTTGTGGTCTTTAGGTGTGGGGACAAAAATAAATAAGAAAGATATTTCAGATTTTTTTTATTATTAAAAAACTTAAATATTTTGCCATTGTTAGGTAAGCTATTCTCATAGTTAGCCTATTGTAGCATATTGTCTTGCAGATGATCCTATTGTATGCGCAATTTCTTTTTGGTGTACATGTACATTTGTATTTTGGAAAAACAAATACCGTATTCGACGTAATAAGCGCCCAGGGCGCTCTCAAAATTAGGAATAGGGGGCTGTTATTAGAATATTATTTTGGTGAAAAAGTTGAAAGATAAATATCTTGGTTTATGCTGACAGCCTGAAATGCTTATGTACGACAGATATTAAATTGCCTATAATTAAGGGTGCATATAACACACGAGTGTGTATTATAGGCGAATAAATAAGTCTTGTCTACATTGATCAGTTGGAATGGGTTCTCATTGGGATTGTTCACTTGCCAACACATTAGCAAATATCGCCATGGGCGCTTATTGGAGCGGGGTGCTTATTACGTCGAATACGGTAGTTTCAGATTTGATTTTTTTCCACTTTTTTTTGTTTTTTAAAGGTATAGGCAGCAGCATGCAGTTTTTAACAAAGCATCTCCATACTGCAAAAAACATCATCCTTTTTAAACAGGCAGTTCTAACAAGTCTGAAGAAACCATAAATCACTCACTCAGTGATCAGAAATGACTAGTTTATACTATTTGTTTCATTTGATTATTTTTCTGCGTGAAAATGGAGCAAGCAGTTAATAATGTTTTGAACATTACGAACTCATCCCTCATTACATTTCCTGTGTGTGTTCTCTCATTGCCAGAGATAATAGTGATAATTGTGGGGTTGTATTCCTAGCAATAGTTGAGTATTAGTTGAGTTAATATCCTTGCTTCAAATAAACAACCCTATGATCATGAAATCTATCAGTGTGCATGCCATTTGAACAATCATGCATCTGACCTGGTCTTCCTGTTGACAAATGCATCCTTTAGCATGACAATTGTTTCTGTGTCGGAAACAGCTGTTTTCACAAGTATATTTATCATGTACATATATATACTATTACATATTTTGTGTTCACTTAATTGTCTCATTTAGATTTTGTCACCTTTTCTAAGATTTCTTTGTCAGCAGTTTGATTTGTTGTAATCATACCCAGAGGAGGAATACATTTCACAAGAAAAGATCGTGTTAATAGCCATAATGGACAATTCACAGAAGTGTGAATACTATCATATTCACGATCACTTATCTCATAGAGAATGTATCAGTATTTTAACGTGCGTGTTTTCTGTGGCAGACTAGCTATGTGACCATTTTCCCCGATATCTTGCCATGATTTGGGTGCCGTTGTACAAAACAACCTTAGCGCTACGACTGTCGTAGGTCTATGTTAAGGTATGGGAGTTATGATCACCTTAGCGCTAAGATCGCTTGGTACAACGGCACCCAGGTTCTCCCCAGGTTTTATTTAGCCTTAGCGGAATCTCATCCTGGAAATACTGGCAGTTAGGTGACCTCTTCTGTGACTACTCCATAGGTTGCAGATGGCGCCTGGTGTGACTTACGGAGACAACTCCAGAGGTTGCAGATGGCGCCTGGTGTGACTTATGGAGACAACTCCAGAGGTTGCAGATGGCGCCTGGTGTGACTTATGGAAACTACTCCATAGGTTGCAGATGGCGCCTGATGTGACTTATGGAAACTACTTCATAGGTTGCAGATGGCGCCTGGTGTGACTTATGGAGACAACTCCAGAGGTTGCAGATGGCGCCTGGTGTGACTTATGGACACTACTCCAGAGGTTGCAGATGGCGCCTGGTATGACTTATGGAGACTACTCCAGAGGTTGCAGATGGCACCTGGTGTGACTTATGGACACTACTCCAGAGGTTGCAGATGGCGCCTGATGTGACTTATGGAGACAACTCCAGAGGTTGCAGATGGCGCCTGGTGTGACTTATGGAGACAACTCCAGAGGTTGCAGATGGTGTCTGGTGTGACTTATGGAGACAACTCCAGAGGTTGCAGATGACGCCTGATGTGACTTACGGAGACTACTCCAGAGGTTGCAGATGGCGCCTGGTGTGACTTACGGACACTACTCCAGAGGTTGCAGATGGCGCCTGATGTGACTTAAGTAGACTACTCCAGAGGTTGCAGATGGTGTCTGGTGTGACTTATGGAGACTACTCCAGAGGTTGCAGATGGCGCCTGATGTGACTTACGGAGACAACTCCAAAGGTTGCAGATGACACCTGATGTGACTTACGGAGACAACTCCAGAGGTTGCAGATGGCGCCTGGTGTGAAACTGACACATTGTGTCTGTGTAATTAGGGTTGTTGTTAAATGCCATATTGATATCCGTCTTAAGCTTGAGTTGGCAGACAGTGAGTAAACTTGTCAGTTGCGTACCCCATCAGGGTCCTGTTCAACCACAATCACAGTGTGAAACAATCTCCCCAAAATTAATCTTGGACGCTTTGTCAGATCTTCACTCAGAGAGGTATCAGTCGTATCAGATCTAATGTTAATGAGACTGAGAAACTGAAGTCTTGAGTGTAGACGAGATGCCATATGGTCCTGTGTTCAAGGGTCAAGGGATCTCTTGTCCTCCAAACCAGGACAGTAAGGATCCAATGTGACGTTCAATAAATGCTTTGCATAATTTTTTTTAACGGTAATCAGCACTACTCCTCTAAAAGCTTGAGGCAGGCTCAGGTGGCCCAGTTGTCTAAGGCGCCACGATTCGCTGTGCAGAGTTGCGTCCCTTTGGACACGCCAGAAACCTATGATTGTGGGTTCGAATCCTGGTTCGCCCCAATTATGTTTCTAGGTTTGTCAGCACCATACCCGTGCTCGTGGGTTTCACCGAAGTGGTAAACGTCTGAGACCTGCGTTACTTCGGGCTTTCCTCCTACATTAAGCTGACACGCCGTGATATAACTGGAATACTGTTAAAAGCGGCGTTAAACCCAACTCACTCATTAAAAGTTTGAGCGTTAGGAAAGGTCAGTCGCTATATAGGGCTGGCCCAGTGGATCATGTGACACACACTATTTCTAGACACTGTGTCAGATTGTTAACTGTAGTTCTCTACATCACTGCTGTGGAGAACATCTAGGCTATTGTGTAATGTGTATGTAATTCTACAACACAGGAATACTCTTAATGTTGGTGACTTTGAGATCTTATATTTAGATATTGCATGAATTTGTGTCTTTATAATGAAGTCCTATGTGGGTTATATGATCAGTAGCCTTGAAACAACATGTGTCTTTGAAGCTAAACAACAATTAGAACAAGAATATGATTTCAGATAGATTTTATAAGCATCCACTTGTCTGTGGATCAAAATTAAAGAATAGTATGCCTAAGTTGATTGTTGACTTTTTAGTACCGAAATTATCAGGTTTTGGAAAAAGTGTTTTGAAAACAGGTGCAGTTATTTATCTGAATGAATACTTAGTGCCTTGGTTTTTCTTCTCGAGGACTATGTATTGTTTGTAATGATAGTGAAGTATTATGATTACTGACAGTCACTGTCTGATAGTGAAAATTAATGAAGATGAAATATAACTCTTTCTTGCTGATGTCTCCTTGGTGACAGTCTGGTCATATTTATTTATTAATCTGACATTTATGTCTTGTAAAACATATCTTTTGTTTTGTCAGAATCTTATGCCCCAAATGTCTTATACATGTCAGATAAAAAAAATCATTGTAAATAAAATTTACAGTCTTACAGTTTTATGTGCTGTGTCTAATTCACTAGTTTTATATGTTCTGACTCGTGAAGATCCGGGGTAGAATAGGTCTTCAGCAACCCATGCTTGTAGCAAGAGGCGACTAACGGGATCGGGTGGTCAGGCTCGCTGACTTGGTTTGATGCATGTCATTGTATCCCAATTGTGTGGATCGATGCTCATTATGTCAATCACTGGGTTCTCTGGTCCAGACTGATTATTTACAGACTGCCGTCATATAGCTGGACTATTGCTGAGTGCAGTGTTAAACAACTAACGAACAAACAAAAACTTCAAGAAAAGGGCACTTCCCACTTCTACGTGTAACCAGGAAGCTGCCATCACAACCGGCCAAATGCAGTGTTCCAGATAGTGCTGGAGAAATGTATCTACACTCAGGTAGGATAAGTGCACATGTTGGCCCACATCCGCATAATTTCATCTTCCCGAGGCAAGAGAGTTAACTGACTTTAAAAGTCCAGTTTCCACCCTTGCCGAACTAGGCTGGAATTACTGGGCTCGATCGTAGCGCCACCAGTGGCTATTACCAGTTATGTCCCTTCTAAACCTCGCCTATGGACCAATCAGATTCCACCTCTCGCATCACTTGCGTTTGCTTCACACAAAATGGTGGCGCCTGGTCAGGACGATCTGATCGATAATCAAGATATATATTGTGATAAAACGTCTTACATCGCGAAATGCATTAAATCAGGTGAGCACCTTGATTTAAAACATGAAAAGATTTGGAAAATATCTGCTGACAACGAGTTGGCGGTGAACATGCTTTGCAAATCCTGCAATCGACCTAAAATCTGCACGACAGTTAACAAACCGGATTTCTATTTCGGAGCACGATTTTGATTGGACTTTGCCTAGTTTGGCAAGGGTGGAAACTGGACTTTATAGTCCGTTAACTCCCTTGCCTCGGGAAGATGGCATAATTTAAGTACAGAGACAACATTTTAATAATTATGAAAATAATCAGATGTGTTCATAAATAGTTTGACATTCGTGGGCTAAGAAGGACTATTCCTAGTTCATCCTTTATAATCTTCCTTTCTTGCACAAGAAGCAAATTGTCAACCTTCAAATCTTACCTTACGATGATGAAGTTGATAAAACTTTGGTAGAATAATGAAGCACAAAAAGAAAGAACAACCACAACTACATTTCAAAAGCATGTTATTCAGTCAAGGCCCACACAGCTGCACATGAGCCAACTGTGACAAGGACAACAGGACACGCTCTGTTGTTCTATGTTAATGCTATACAAGGGACTGCCATAGCGCTCCATCATTTCAACATTTCTGAGAATACACGAGGCACAAATATGGGCCATGACCTGATGGGCATATATGTAACAACATGTTACTAAAATAACAAATCGGCAAAAATCGTGCCACAGCACTGTAGCTCACCTGGATATGCAGTCAACAGTGTAAAATATAAACAAAGACTAACACTGAACAAAAAATGCTGTCAGCATTGCCATTACATATATTTTCTGAAAAAAGACAAGGACAAAAGTGCAACCAATAATAAAAGTAACTAAATTTCCATAGCGTTTTTCCAAATCTGGCAGAATGAATGTACTCTTGTGGAACTCTGCTGCATTAGAGTTACTTCAGTTTCTACAAAGAACCTTGTATATATACTTCTTAGGAGAATAATATTTGTAAAGCCATATTTTTTTTTCAAATTATTCTTGAAAAAACACAATTCCTTATGAACTTAACAAAAAATCATGACATCATAAACAAACATTCATCTTCCTCTGCAATTTCAGAGAAGATACAGACAGCTGAAAATGGCTGATCAGTGACCACAAATGGGTTGTTAAAAATTGCTGCCATGTCGGCGGTTTCAGCTTTCAGTATGATTGAAGTGCAAAGGTCAAATCAAGGACAAAATTTAAATTGTCCCCAACTACAAAAATGTGAAAACAACTTACATGGTTAATTACAGATGTACCAAATTTCATTATAGTTAAAACAAACATGCTAGCATAATGGCCATTAATGGCTTTTTCAATATGGTGGCCATATTAGGCTAAAAAATATTAGTCTTGGTTCTCAGACACCCCCCACATCATCATAAAGTCTGCTGCACATTTAGTTTTTATTTCAAAATAAAAAAAACCTCTTTAATAATCCGCATCTCAAACGCACAATCTCGGGAGTAAAATGCCACAGTACATTAAGATCAACATAATTTTGCCAAAAATATTGTAAACTTAATTTGGTTACATACATGTACTAGCTTGAACAACTGCCCGCACTATATTTTTAAACGCCATTGCCCGAGAACCGATTCTTTTATTTCTTTAAGCCTTAAAAAGTGGATTTAAACCTATGAACAAATTCAGGTTTCATCATTGTTTTGAACAAGTATGTGAAATTTCAGCTTCATTGGTCAAGTGGTTTCTGGGGAGATGTTGATTTGAATTTTCCAACATGGCCCATGGCAGCCATATTTGATTTCCGATAGCAGCTGTTATGTTATGGACTTTCAGTTTTGGGAGTTGCCTCCCCTTGTTTGGGACGCCGGAGTCGCTGTGCTTGTGGCTGCCATGTTTGGCACAACCGAAGTATAAACGAGGAACCATTAAATGTGTTAAGAACTTGTTGGTCATGAAATACATAACATTGTGTCAGAAGAGGGATCGCACATCCATGGATCATCGTAACACTTATTTAACAGTGGTCCTTCCAAAAAAGTTTGACTTGTGAATGTGTGAGTGAGTATGGTTTTATGCTGCTTTTAGCAATATTCCAGCAATATCACAGCGGGGGACACCAGAAATGGGCTTCACACGTTGTACCCATGTCGGGAATCAAACCCGGGTCTTCGGCGTGACGAGTGAACGCTTAAACCACCAGGCTACCCGACCGCGCCTCGACTTGTGAATTCCAAAGAACTTTAATGCATGTGTTTCCTATGGAACTGAAGGTAAATATTAATGCACATTTCAATTTCTATGTCCAGATGTGATATGCAAACATTTCACGGTTCAGAACATTGTGCCAAGTTACAGTTGTAAATATGATTTACCAAAAGTTCTCCAAACAAAGGGGGATGTAAATTAAAAGTTAAGGACTTCTTGGCATTGGGAGTTGCCTCCCCTAATTGGGACACAAGCGTCACTGAGCTTGTCGCTGCCATGTTACCAAAGTGTAAACGAAAAACAACTTATTGTCCAAACTGAAGAACCTGGTCATGAAACAACATAACAGCTGCCATATTTTATTTCTGATCAAGATATCTTGAACTACACAATCTCATTCACCCACCAAGATTTTGAATTTTCTTGTTTACAATCAAAGATGGCCACATGGCAACCATATTGAAATCCAAATTTTGATGCCTAGAACAAGCATGAACACCTTCATACTTAACAAACATCCGAATTTTTTTCCGCTGAATTCATCAAGCAATTTCGGAGAAGTGGACAGACAAAATTGTGACAAAATTAACTCATGGCCTCACGGATGAGGTGAGCTAAAAATACACTAAAGGCTAAAGTTCACCTGGCTCAATAAAACCAATGCATATTTCACTGTTAGCATAGTATCATCTAATCCGGTCGATATTGACAGATTCTTGAAACTCGTCTAATTGGGCAACAGCTTTATACTTCATTATTATCTTTCCATATTTCTTACTTCTGACATGATTAAGTTATGGCCCAATTATTAATTGACTTTTCCAAGTCATCCAGTCAAGTTACCTCATTAATACACTTATAAGCAATAATTAAATTGATTAAACAAAATTCACATCACCTTTAAGTTTACATTACCTTTAAAGTTTAATTTTTCGAAAATAATGTATGCTCCTTTGGCAATCATATTGAAGATGTTGAATCAGATCTGTGTCTGGAATAAGCAGGAAAACTACAAACATATTGCAAGAAAATTTGTTCTCGATGATCACAAATACTGTCACTTTTGAGACTATTCGTATTTAAGGTAAAATATGACGTTCACAAATACTGTCACTTATAGGTATATTCATACTTAAGGCCAAACATCAGGATCACAAACAGTCACTTTTTAGCATGTTGAGAATGTTTATGACGTGTAACATGGAATTTCTGTGTAAACTTCCTTCCACAGATATCACAGCTGAATGGTCGTTCAGACATATGTAGCACCATGTGTTTGGACATCGATGACTCCGTGCAGAGTTTCCCACAGACTTTACACGGCTTCCTCTTCTTCCCGTCATCCGGCTTCGGAGGAGGGACTGCTGGGATATCTCCGTGTTTCTTGTGAATCCGCATGTGTGTGTACAAGCTTGTTTCCGATATGAGCACATTGCAAACAGAACATGGCTTCCGCGGCTGGCCGCTCTTCGTGAAGGCCGTGTTGGAATTTTGGGGTCTGTCGTGGTCTCGGATGTGTTTGTAAATACTGGTCGGGTGCAGCAGCTTGTTGCAGAGCGGACATACTTTCCTTGGCTTTCCTTCTTGGTTGAACACGACATCACCACTGATGTCCTTGTCTGGGGTCAGGTCATTCTTCATGACAACTGCGCTGTCCTCGACTGTCGGGGTCTTGGTGTCGGGCTGGGCTGACTGATCTGGAAGCACAAGTGTGTTGAAATCAGGTTGGTTGGTTGGTTTGTTGTTTAACGCCGCACTCAGCAATATTCCATCTATATGACGGCGGTCTGTAAATAATCGAGTCTGGACCAGACAATCCAGTGATTATCATGAGCATCGATCCACGCAATTGGGATCGATGACATGCATCAACCAAGTCAGCGAGCCTGACCACCCAATCCAGTTAGTCGCCTTTTACGACAAGCATAGTCACCCTTTACGGCAAGCATGGGTTGCTGAAGACCTATTCTACCCCGGAATCTTCATGGGTCGTTGAAATCAATATGTTCAAAGAAAATTTAAAGGAAACAGAAAAGCGGATGAACAATGAGCTGTGTGAGTGAGTGATTTAGTGAGTGAATTGTGTGGGTGAGTTGTGTGAGTGAGTGATTTAGTGGGTGAGTTGTATGCGTGAATTGTCGGTGAGTTGTGTGGGTGGGTGAGTTGTGTGAGTGAGTGATTTGGTGAGTTGTGTGGGTGATTGAGTTGTGTGAGTGAGTGAGTTGTGTGTGTGTGTTGTGTGTGTGTTGTGTGTGTGAGTTGAGTGGTTGAGTGAGTGAGGCTATGTGGGTGTATGGAATCTGTGAGTGAGTGGCTCATAAAAGTTAATATATTTAAGTAAACTTTATTTATTAAGGTTATAACAAACACGTTTATAACAAACTGAAAGATATAACGAAATGTGTTTTGATCCTGTCCATTTGCTGTTTATATGCTTATAACGAACTACGGTTACAACAAACTAACTTAGTGGTCCCTTTGAGTTTGTTAAAACCGTAGTTTACTGCAATCAGATTCAAATGAACAAAAACAGAGGCCATATGGTATATTTAAGCTTGCAGGCTCAAATGGCACAAACAGGACCATTGGTTGTAAGTGTGGGGTACAAGGAAACAATGGTTGGCCTGACAGACTGGGTAACCAGTGCCTCACCAGGCTCTTATAGCTTTACAACTGTACACCTACCTGTTGTGTCTTCAGCAACTGCAGTATTACTCTTCATCATTTTCTGGTACTTCCCCGGAGTACTCTCCCCTCTTGACCCTGAAACATGAGTGACTGAGTGTTATGTCAGTTATACCACGGACCACAGTATATCATAAACTACAGTTATACCACGGACCACAGTATATCATAAACCACAGTTATACCACGGACCACAGTATATCATAAACCACTGTTATACCATGGACCACAGTACATCATAAACCACTGTTATACCATGGACCACAGTATATCATAAACCACAGTTATACCATGGACCACAGTTATATCATAAACCACAGTTATACCACGGACCACAGTATATCATAAACCACTGTTATACCACGGACCACAGTTATATCATAAACCAGAGTTAAACCACGGACCACAGTATATCATAAACCACCGTTATACCACGGACCACAGTATATCATAAACCACCGTTATACCACGGACCACAGTATATCATAAACCACCGTTATACCACGGACCACAGTATATCATAAACCACTGTTATACCACGGACCACAGTATATCATAAACCACCGTTATACCACGGACCACAGTATATCATAAACCAGAGTTAAACCACGGACCACAGTATATCATAAACCAGAGTTAAACCACGGACCACAGTATATCATAAACCACCGTTATACCACGGACCACAGTTATATCATAAACCACTGTTATACCACGGACCACAGTTATATCATAAACCACTGTTATACCACGGACCACAGTTATATCATAAACCACCGTTATACCACGGACCACAGTATATCATAAACTACAGTGATACCACGGACCACAGTTATATCATAAACCACAGTTGTACCATAGACCACAGTTATATCATAAACCACAGTTATATCACGGACCACAGTATATCATAAACCACTGTTATACCACGGACCACAGTATATCATAAACCACCGTTATACCACGGACCACAGTTATATCGTAAACCACAGTTATACCACGGACCACAGTATATCATAAACCACTGTTATACCACGGACCACAGTTATATCATAAACCACCGTTATACCACGGACCACAGTTATATCATAAACCACCGTTAAACCACGGACCACAGTATATCGTAAACCACCGTTATACCATAGACCACAGTTATATTATAAACCACTGTCATACCATGGACCACAGTATATCATAAACCACTGTTATACCACGGACCACAGTATATCATAAACTACAGTGATACCACGGACCACAGTTATATCATAAACCACAGTTATACTACGGACCACAGCATATCATAAACCACAGTTATACCATGGACCACCTGCTGTCTGCTTAATGTGGGAGGGTTCAAACTGATGCAGGTCAACGTTTACCACCTTGGTGAAACCCATGAGTACGCATGCTGACAGACATAATCACTATGATTATCAGGGGGAATCTCATGTGTGAGTCCACATCCAAGACCAAGGGACACAACTCTGCACAGAATCTTTGTGGCAACCTAACTGCAATATTTTTATCAAATATCATCAACTGTTAATCTACATAACTTCATCAATAGGGTGGGTGGGTGAGTGAGTGAACAGTATTTTAATATCTCAGTGTATCAGTGACACAGGTCACTCTCTACTTTTGTAATTAGACAAAGAGTTTGCATTTTCCGTCGCCATGTTTTTACAATTACCACATGCATCCCTCAAATAACACCAGAAACAGCATGTACGTGAGTTTTTACACTATTTTGTATTAAAAAATATCATGTCCTTCTGGCTTTAAGTTTTACATCCTACATACATTAAGTTTACCTAAAGTTCCCTTCAATATTGTGTATGTTCAGCAAAGTTGTGTTGCACCAAGTCTAGCAGGCTCCAACTCACTACCGTATTTTCTTGAGTATAGTGCGCACCCATGTATAATGCGTACACCCCTCTAGCGGATTCAATATTTGTGAAAATTATTTTTTGAATACCAAGCACAGAAAAAAAATTGCACCGTACCCCTTTAGCGAAGTCCGGCAAACGAACGGGTGATGAGAAACTTGGACAGTACAAATTCGAAATTTGAGATAAAAAATCACCAGACATGTTGATTTACCGTTTAAATTGTATTTTTTGTTCTGCTAGGCATTGTTTTATATCCAGGGATTAAGATTACCTTGTGTATTTTCTCGTCAACTAAGCGGGACACAGCAATCAGCTGTACACACGTTTTCTTGGAATCTACCAGTGATTCGGTCAAGACACACCCAATGGTATTATATTTATAAATACAACCTCATATTTGCTACTGGACTACTTTAAGTCAATATGTTGTTTTCATTATAAATGAAAAAAAGCTATGAAATTACAGTGTTTCTGTAAATCTTTGGGAGGTTTGTTTCTCAACATTCAGCACTTTTTAAGCACTATGTAAATTAAAGTGGTAGGGTCAAATTCCAGAACTTCTCAAGTTTTTATGAACCCTGCAGTTAAAAGTATGAGCAATGAAGTGACTAAAGTTGAGATTGAAAGTCAAGGTGTCCTTGCCATAACTGTAACATTGAGTGCGTGGGCTTAACGTCGCTTTTAACAGTATTACAATTATATCACGGAGTGTCAGCTTAATGTGGGAGGAAAGCCCGAAGTGATGCAGGTCTCAGACATTTACTACTTCAGTGAAACCCACGAGCACAGGTATGGTGCTGATAAACCTGGAAACATAATCGTGGCGAACCGGGATTCGAACATAAACCATGGGTTTCTGGCTGCCCAAGGGACGCAACTCTGCACAGCGAATCGTGGCACCTTAGACGGCTGGGCCACCTGTGCCCCTTAAATGTTGAAGAATCAGGATTCGCCAAGAAATAAATAACATCATGAGTGTAGAAGCAAATCTCAATTGCTGACACTGGCGATGGAATTCTTACGTGTGAATCTCTTCAGCAAATGCTGGATCTCCTTGTCTGCTTCCTCCTCCACACCTCGCTGCTCTGTGTCTGAGGACGAAGATGAGACAGTCAGTGAACCCATCTGTATTAGTGAGTGAGTGAGTGAGTGAGTGAGTGAGTGAGTGAGTGAGTGAGTTTGGTTTTACGCCGCTTTTAGCAATATTCGAGCAATATCACGGCGGGGGACACCAGAAATGGGCTTCACATCTTGTACCCATGTCGGGAATCAAACCCGGGTCTTCGGCGAGATGAGCGAACACTTTAACCACTAGGCTACCCGACCGCCCCCCATCGGTATTAAAGGGGCAGATCATGCATTGATAGAAAGGTCCTAAGTGCAAACTGACTGATAAACTGTTTGATGATGTTGTTTGTTTGTTGTTTAATGCCGCACTTAGCAATATTCCAGCTATATGACGGCTGTCTGTAAATAATCGAGTCTGGACCAGACATTCCAGTGATTGATATCATGAGCATCAATCCATGCAATTGGGATACAATGACATGCATCAACCAAGTCAGCGAGCCTGACTACCTGATACAGTAAGTTACAACAAGCATAGTCGCCTCTTACGACAAACATTGGTAGCTGAAGACCAGTTCCAACCCGGATCTTCACAGGTCGATAAATTTATTGATATACCGAATGAGACATATTAATTGATAAAGTGATTGACATATATTAATTGACATACGGACTGTGATATATTGATTGATAAAATATACTGTTGTTATATTGATAAACTGATTGATACATACTGACTAATCAGGTTGATAAACTGATTGATATATACTGACTAATCAGGTTGATAAACTGACTGATATGTATACAGATACATATGCCACTAATTAACTTAGAAGAACACAATACAAGCTTGGAGCATCACCTGTTTGTTCCACTGCAGCATCAGCAGCCACTGTAGCTTGCCTCCCTTCCGGTGATGCCTCTGTAAGCATTAGGAGGGCACACTGTTAGGAGATGCACTCAGTATTTCCTTCATAACATGTCTAAAGTACTGCAGGTCATGAACCTTTTTGAGGTGAGGTGAGGTGAGGTGAGGTGAGGTGAGGTGAGGTGAGGTGAGGTGAGGTGAGATGATATGAAATGGGATTTAATGTTGCATTCTGAGATTACTGCACTTCATTACGTATAAGTGAGGGGATGGCAGAACGTAGTCCATATAAACCTGTGAAGTACTGACGAGGAATAAAGTGAGATTATGACAACAGTTCTTTGTGATTAAAGAACCTTCCAAGTTGGTCAATGTGGGAAGGGAAGTAACTCTTGGACAGAGTGGACCATGTTCACTTGTCATTACCAAAAAATCATATCACAATTTTTAGATTTATTCTTATTTCAATGGGTAATATGAAAGAAATATCTCCAAATCAAATATAACAAAAAAATGCCCAAACATCATCAAAAGGAACAATGACAACAAAGGCGGACATATATAGTCACATGATCACACACTTGGTCGATGCCAATAATCAGTGTCTCAATTCAAATGGTCCCAAGCAACCCATGAAGGTCGTATGAGGCGATATAAAACATCAAATGGTCAGACTCGGTTGATTGCCTGTCATCGTACCCCTATGGCGTGGGTTTACGTTGCTCACAATATCAATCACTGGACTGCCTATTCCAGAACAATTATTTACAGGCCGCCATCATATAGCTGGAAATAGTGGAATGCAAGGTTTAACAACAAACAAATCACAAAACAGAAAGTATTTAGTGTCTGAAGTTCCTCACCTTCAAGGGGGGCACAAGTGGCCCAGTCGTCTAAGACGCTGCGATTCGCTGTGCAGAGTTGCATCCCTTGGGCACGCCAGAAACCTATGATTGTGAGTTCGAATCCCTGTTCGCCCTGATTATGTTTCTAGGTTTGTCAGCACCATACCCGTGCTCGTGGGTTTCACCGAAATGGTAAACGTCTGAGACCTGCATCACTTCGGGCTTTCCTCCCACATGAAGCTGACACGCCGCGATATAACTGTAATACTGTTAAAAGCTGCGTTAAACCCAACTCACTCACTCCTCACCTTCAAGATGTTTTCTCCGATGGTTGATGAGGCCAGCCATCCCCCTCATCTTCTCTCCACACTTCCTGCAAGTAAACATACTTGGCGCTCTCCGATGACTGCTTGCTCGGTGATGTTTCAATGCTTTGAAAGACTTAAACCTATGACCACATGTCTTACAACTGTGCTGAAACACAATATTATGCTTGATCGTACAGTGTCTGGTGAGGAACCGCTGAAACACAAAGCCTTCCCCACACTGCCCACACAGGAAAGGCTTGGTGCCAGCATGTTCTCGAAGATGGTTCGTCAAGCCAGCTTTATACTTAAACGTCCGACCACAAATCTCACACATGTTGCTTGCACTGCTTGTATGGGAAGTCTTATGGAATGTCAGCCCTCGTTCGGACACACATCTAAATCCACACACTTCACATTTAAATGGTCTATCCTCGGCATGAGACTCATAATGAGCATTCAAATCCGTTTTCAAATCGAATTTATCCATACAATACTTACAGGAAAATTTCCGTTTTTCTTGATTCTTTTTGATAATCCCTTTGCTACCAATGGGTACATTACATGGACTTAAAGGCACCTTTTGCTGCGCTGCCAAACTTTCATGAATTTCAATATGTTTATCAAGCAACTTTTTATGAGGGAATGTCCGAGGGCATAAATGGCATTTCTGTCTGTTTACGGAGTGTAACGCCATGTGTCGTTTAGCGTGTATGAACTGGTTAAACTTCTTGTCACATACGACACACGAGTAAGGCTTTTCTTGCGTATGTATTTTCATGTGTCTTGTGAGAGAACTCTTCTGAGCAAATCTCTTCCCACATGTTCCACACTGCTCGGGCTTGAAGCCATTATGGCTCTCCATGTGTATCTTGAGCAAGAAAGGCTTGGAGAATCCTTTACCACACACATTACACTTACACCTCTCCTGTCGAGACTTGTCATGTTTGAGACAGTGCTCCTTGTAGGTTTGAACTTTGTTATAAGACTTCTCGCACAAGTTACATTGGTAGACCTTATCAGAAATGATGGCAGTCTTGCCTTGTGTTGGTGTTATTGCGATTTTCTCCAACAACTCTTTTTCTTCCTCTTTGGTGGCAAAATCCTTTTTCAGTTCTGTCAAATATTTCTCAGCATCTGTGAAAATTAAATGTAGCTTTATTTCCAAGCTGAAAAATCTGATTATTAGTGTATGGTATAAACAGGATAAATATCATACTTATTTTAAAAAAATGGTTAAAAAAAATAGAGGACAATAATTGTATTCTTCCTGGAGGGTATGTCAAATAATAGTAATTCATATCAGTATCAAAAACCTTCATCAAAGAAATACTGTAAGGACAATATTTTTGTTTTTGAATTTTCCTATTTACGTATTTAACCTTCAACATGTTCAACCACGGACAACTTTTACAAAACTATATGTGCAGACAAGGGAACTAAGGTGAGGTAAAATGGGGTTTCCCATTGAGTTCAAAATTACTGCACATGCGTTAAAGCATTACGCCAGACAAGGAAACAACAAGTACCATATTTTAACGTCTTTTGGTTTGATGCAGCCAGGGTTCGAACCACTGTCTTTCCACTGTCTTTTCAGGCAGACACTCTATCCACTAGACCACACAGGCAAAGAAGGTTAAGCAATGGATTTGGTGTGACTGTATACTGAGAACATCCTTACCCTCATTGTTGTCACTGATTGGGGGTTGTAGGCTTGCAGTCTCAGCCAACACAGTGATCTCATTTGCCTGTTGCTGAATCTCTGACAAGTGCAGCATCTGATCCGATGTCACCACAATCACCTGCTCCTCATCTACTAACTGTTCGTACACCACCAGGGAACCTGTTTCCCCGGCAACGCCTGCGATGGCTTGTAGAGCTTCCAGTGCTGATGATGTTTCAGCAGATGCCACGTCGGGGATGTCGGATGTCCCAGGTTGCGTTGTCCCTGGATACGGTGGCAAGGCAATTCTTCGCACAACCGGTTCATTGGTAGTCAGGGTCATGTCACTGCTTATACTGAAAGAGTAGTCTCCCCCTGCCTGAGGAGTAGAAGGAAGGTCATGGACGATGATGTCAACTTGAGTGTCCTCTGTATCCCCCTGGGATACATACTGGACTTCCTCGGATACAACTGGTCCATCACTCGGGTCCAGAGGTGGATCTGTTGAGAAGTCTTGGCAGGCCTGAAAACATCCAGGTATGAAGTCAGTAGGATCTTGTGCTATATACATACACAAGGATTTATCTAGACCTCATCAGAGGCCAATATGCAGCCCAAATCTGCAGCAGATGCCAGTATTCCATCCCAAATTGGAATTAAATATTTCCCATAGTGAGTGAGTGAATGAGAGTGAGTGTGAGAGAGAGAGTGAGTGTGAGAGAGAGTAAGTGAGAGAGTGAGAGAGTGAGTGAGTGAGTGAGTGAGTGAGTGAGTGAGTGAGTGAGTTGGTTTAAACACCGCTTTGAGATAGCTTCTGGCATGCCATGATGAAAATACCTCTGAATTTGGGAAAATAGTAACTTTAAAACAAATCCCAAATTTTAATCAAGATAACGTTCTTCCCCATTGGTCAGCCATGGGCACTTAGTTTGGAATCAGAGATAAATCATTGCATACATGTCATATACAGTGAACCCTTGTTAATCCAGACAGTAGCAGTCTCGCTGAAATTGTCTCAATGAAGGAATGTCTGAATTAATCAATCATGAGTACTGTCAATTTGAATACATATATTGTCTGAGGTTTCCCAGCAGTAATCATTCAGAAGATGGGTCATCCAGATTACCAGGGTCCAGGCTTCCAAGGTTTCACTATACATTTAAACCAGAACACAGAAATGGAACAGATGACTGAGTGAGTGAGTAAATGTTGTGTTTCTGCCAATCTCTTTTTGTTTGTTGTTATATATAATTAATCGAGTCTGGACCAGACAATCCAGTGATTGACATCATCAGCATTGATCTACGCAATTGGGATACGATGACATACATCAAACAAGTCAGTTAGCATGACCACCCAATCCCGAGAGTCGCCTCTTACGACAAGCATAGACGCCTTTTACGGCAAGCATGGATTGCTGAAGACCTATTCTAACCCAGATCTTCATGGGTCCTTTGACAGTCAGCAATATTTCATTTCTTATCACAGCAGCATGTATAGGCCCGGCGAACCAGTGAGTGAAAGCATGAGCACAGATCCAGCCTTTGCCAATGACCACCCAATGCTCTCTAGATAGTCCCATGACATTCTGCCCTCGTATTCACAGTGGGTTGTAGATATCAGCTCTTGTGCAGGAAAAAGCAGTTTTTCATTGTTTTTACAATAAAATGTAGACCATTCTCATGCTTATGTTAATGCTCCCCTCAGCTACAGGAAACTGGTCAAAATTCAACCCAACACACTGCTGCCATCAGGACCACCTAATCACCTCCTTAACATATTTCTAGTCCAGCAAGCATGTGGTTACCACGGTTACTGGAGAACTGGTAAAAAGTCTTACATAACATGACATGACAAATAAAGTGTCAGAGTACATTCCTGGTAGTGCCAACTCACTAGAGTCTTTGAGAACAAGTTTCTGTATTCCTCAGTGTTGATTCTGGTCTCTATGCAGGACAGATCTTCCAGGATCTTCTGTGTCACCACACCACACTGACAGTGGCGGAGCAGCGGCCCACATCTGCGGATGAACTTGTCCTGGGACAAACAGGCATTTCATGACAATATGTTACACATGATTTTAACATACGCAGGTCTGGTATGTTGTGATTATTCCACAACAACACCCTAAATAAAACAAGGTTCCAACTGGCTAATTTTCATTTTCTAGGACATTGATACATAGATCTTTGTCAAATTTGGCATTGAAAAATAAGCTTTAATTTGTGTTATTAATAGCTGACAAAATGAAGATTGCGAGGGTATTTAGACTGTTACTATGGTTACGCATTGTTTGATAATATATGAAATATTCCCATTTTAGTAAATTGCCACATCATGTTATATGAAATATGATACATTGGTAACATTAGTGAGTGAGTGAGATTTTACGCCGCTTTTAGCAATATTCCAGCAATATCACGGCGGGGGACACCAGAAATGGGCTTCACACATTGTACCCATGTCGGGAATCGAACCCGGGTCTTCGGCGTGACGAGCGAACGCTTTAACCACTAGGCTACCCGACCGCCCCCATTGGTAACATTAACATAATACATCTCTTTACAAGAACAACAACCTTTATCATGTTTATCAGTTGGAGAAGCTACATAATAAAACTGAGTCCAAAACCTCACAATAATGAAAATCCCATCCCTGTTCATAACAGGGATTTACCAAGGCTTCTCTAACAAGAAATTATTTTCATTCTTTCACAACTGATACTCATATAGCCAAAATAGTGCTTCTCTAGCTTTTAGCAATATTCCAGCGATATCACGGCGGGGGAAACCAGAAATGGGCTTCACACATTGTACCCATGAGGGGAATCGGACCGGGCCTTTGGTGAGACAAGAGAATGCTTTAACAACTGGGCTACACCACCAACCCTGATGTTGACAGTAATGTTTGTATACAGTACATTATATATAAATCAGAAATATTTCAGAAAGGATTACCTTCTCTTGACAATTTCGGATAAGATAGTCATTGATCAGCTGAAGTTCTGACAGGGAATCCATGCTTCAGGTGTCTTCAACAACAGGCTTGTTCATTTAAAAAAGCTGAAATAGAATGTAAAACTTTAAACATGAATATTATGGTTCATCGTAAAGGTAATCTTTCAGAAGTAAAACTGAAAGGTCAATCATGTTGTTGGTAGTGGTGAAATAGGGTTTAACGTCGCATTCAAGTTTATTGCGCTGTGATGTTATACAGCGACATGTGTGGGTGACTGCTTGTACCAATCAAGACTTTTGCCAATTTTTTAGCGCCGGCCCACTGAGATGCCACAGTTTATTAGATACCCCACTCAGACACAGTATACTGACTCTGAGCCGTCCAGTCCCGGTTTTATACCCCAATGCCAAGGACCAGGCAGGGTAATAATGAGTACCGTTTTAATAAGTCTTTTGGTATGATGTGGCGGGGGATCGAACCGCACTCCGAGCAGACGTTCTGTCCACTATACCACGGGGGCGGTTTCTAGCATATTGGAATGCAAAGTACTGTCCTGGCAGAAAAGCTAATTATTCTTTTTTCACAATCACTCTTTGTTACCAAAAGCTTGTGGTAATTAGATCAAACACCAGTCCATTATCAGATTGAACATTGGACTCTTATGATAAACATATACCATCGATCAATACCAGGGAGCATGTGGATTAGTAAATGTGTAGGCAGGTATAAAAAGTGAGAAAATGATGTTAAATTACAAGAATGAAGTGCATCATGTTTGTAGAAACTTTCATATCTAGGTGCACCAGTGACTGTGTCACTGCTGTGAACTTAACTCATGTCACACTTTTAGCGACGATAGAAATTGGTTCTGAAGAAATTTAAAAACTTATGCCAATATAACTAAAAGCTCATAGGCCGGATTAAAATAACATCTACGATACCAGGTAGATATTTCTGGTTTCTCATATACAGACTTTATGTGGGAGAGTAGTCTGAACAAATTCCGGTGCTCGAACCTACTTTGTGCAAAGAGTCCGACAGCCGCAGATAAGTTATATCTATAGGCCCTATAGACCTATAGTTCATCGAATGTGGGAATTAAACCAAAAAGTTTAATAAATAAGCTACATTTTCTTTACTTTTAAACATGTAGTGGCATATTCATCGTCTCACAACAGTGCAAGGATGCTGCATACCCCGGCCCTTGCAGCTGCAACAACAGCTTACAACGTTTTCTCACCAATGCCAGAAATATAAGCGGAAGTCATCATTTAGAGCAAAGCAGGTGCGCGATAAATATTCATTAAAAGGGTTTGTTCACGTCTTGTTAAAATAGCAGCCTATGTAAGAAAGGGTATTTCGGGGCCTTCAAGATGCATGAGGTATCTAATTATTTCTAGATGATTCATGGACATTTATGTTGTTATCAAAAGTTATATTTAGTGCGTGCCTACTTGGATACTAGGTTCCGGTTAAAAAACTCTCATCGTTTGTTTAAAGTTAAATAGAAGTTATTTGTTATGACATTCGCGGTCATATGTTGGTTTGCCTTCATTATTTGACAGGCAAAAACGTTTTATGTTGCTTGTTCGTTTCATATGGTTTTCATATATAACCAAGTTGACACAGAAACGTGTTGAAAGGGAACGTTCAGTCTGTTGTCCGTCTAACAGTGTTGTTATTCTCGGACAATTATCAACTAGTCATGCGTGTTTATTATGGATTATGAAAAAACAAACTGTGAGCACATTTCAAAAGCAATCATACTCACAGTATTGTGAGTACCACAGTAGAAAAGCGATGCATTTAGTTAATAGCTATATTATCTGCTGAGAGGATGGATTTGGAGGAGAGATATGATCGACTCATTGCAAAATGTGTTGAGAAGGTAAAGTTGTGACAATGAATTGGTTTTAAGTAATTTCACTTTATCGCATGTATCATAAAAGCCTGTTGGTTTTATCATGCTGAATTAAATTTGGAACCGCGCTCACACACACACACATTGCTGTACAAGTGCACAAAATCTTCAATGTGACATTAACCCTATTGCACCTCAACTACAAATGATTATGAGTATCAACTGGTCAAGAGCTGTTGCTCATACATGAATAAATACATTTATCATACCTCCATGTCTGATTGATGAGATCTGATTGGTCCATGTGATCTTGATCAAATACTATGTATCCCGCCTTGGATGGAAATAAATTTCTCAGCGGGAGAATAAATCCCATATACCCTGCCATGAACAAGTCAGACAGCACATGGATTTCTGATAGGGTGCATAAATCCCTTATACCCCACTTCGAGTCGATGAAAGGCACATGACATAGCAATATTTAGCCAGCTGTTTTCTATTAATTTTGAATTTGTTTTAATTCCAACATGTCCAATACAATGTCATATTAAAACATGTCAGTAAGCTTAATTTGTTGTAGCAGGACCACTCAGGGTATCATTAAATAACACATCATGATTACTTGCATATTGTGCATGTTTTAAAGGGATAGTTCATCGACGGTTCTGTGTGTTTTTAAATCATGCATGAAATAATTTCGTCACATGCCCGATTCAATTCTCAAACCAAAATAATAGAGCTCCATACAGTGAAGTCAACACGCAAGAGCTGCACAAAGTAAACTGGCTTCAGTCTTGTTTTTTTAATAGAGGCAAATTGAAGAGAAAGCTTGTGAGTTTTTGTTACAGCAGAGTTACAAAATACTGATTGCCAGCTTGATCAGATTAGAGGCCAGTGTTTATCAAAACCTACATTACAATATAGGTATATGCCGCCTCGGTTGTATAAAGCAATTATCACTCTCCTACCCAGAGTTCCTTGCGACCATCCGAGTACCTCTGTCACGTCATCACATCTTACACAGTCCATTCATTTTGGATGCTAGCGAAACATGGTCACCTTGATGTGTAATGCTAATTTTCATGCACCTAATTGTTTCATTTGTCATAGTATATCTATATTATTCTGCAACATGTGCAAAACAATATGTAAAGCACAGCAAAAGGCTTGCATAAGGTACGTCTGTTTCAGAATAAGTGTTTTTGTTTACGAACAAGAGGAAAATCTGGGCCCACTTTCACAAAGCGATCTTAGCACTAAGACTATAGTAAGCCTATGTTAAAGTATGGGAGTTTCGATCATCTTAGCGCTAAGATCGCTTAAGTTTAACAGTGTCAGGAATTTTTGGAGAACATCCATGGTGAGCAGTGGTGAGGTTTGTACACTTGTTTGATATTATTTATCTCCTGTGAATTATGATTATAATTCAAGGATTTGTGTATTTCAGGACAAGTATATTCGGCGCCTGGGAAATGTACTCAGAGGCTGTCGTTGTGGTATTGTCACAGGAACACTGCTGGATGAACTATGTTTGACTGAATCTGACCTGGAAAAAAATGAATACTTGCAGCTTCTGTCCCCATTTGTACACAGTCATGCACGAGTCAGAGTACAGGTGATTATATCTTGTTATCTTCACCTTTTCAGTTCAATCCTGCTATCCTGCTACTTTGTGTGTAAGATGGCTGGTTATAAGATTTCATTTCCTATAACGTCTGTAATTCGTTATACAATTTCAATTTGCAAATCCTACTTTCATGTTTGTTGTCAAAATTCATTTCACAATCTTTTGTTTGCCATGTTTACATGCCTACCCCAAGTGCTAAAGTTCGGATTCCAAAGAATGAAGAATGAGACATTGTGAACATTTTTCTGCTCCTTCTGGTTGTAAATGAGGTCTCTTTTGAAATTGGGTGTGTCAAAAAAACATTTGTATTTGTACAAGATATATAGAACAGGGTGGACCTTGAGGCTCTAATTAACAATGCACAGCTGCATTTCTTCATCTTCCCGAGGCAAGAGGTGAGGTGAGGTGAAATTGGGTTTAACGTCGCGTCCAAGATTATTGCACTTATATAGCGACGTGCATGTACGTGTGTGTGTTTGTGTGGCTGCTTGTACTAGTCCGGACTGATGCCGATTTATAGTGCTAGCTCACTGAGATACCATGCCGCAGTTTAACATGAATACCCCACTCAGACACAGTATACTGACTCCGAGCTGACCATTCCTAGTTTTAGCCCCTTAATGCCGAGCGCCAGACAGGGTAACAACAAGTACCATCTTTTAACATCTTTTGGTATGACGCGGCCGGGATCGAACCCCAGACCTTCCACTCTCCGGGCGGACACTCTACCACTAGACCACGGAGGCGGTCCCCGAGGCAAGAGAGTTAACTGACTATAAAAGTCCAGTTTCCACCCTTGTCGAACTACGCTGGTATTATGGAGTTAGATTTTGGCTGGACTAACAAGTCTATGTATAGTCCAATCAAAATCGTGCAATGAAATCGAAATCTGGTTCGTAAACTGAAATGCAGATTTTCATTGATTGCAGGGTTTGCAAAGCATGTGCACCGCCAACTTGTTGTCAACAGATATTTTCCAAATCTTTTCATGTTTTTAATCAAAGTGCTCACATGATTTGATGAACTTCGCCTAGACCTTGATTATCGATCAGATCGTCTTGACTGTAAGCCGCTATTTTGTTTGAAGCAAAAGCAAGTGATACGAGAGGTAGAATCTGATTGGTCCATAGGAGAGGCATAGAAGGGACATAACTCCTAATAGCCTCAGGTGCCGTTACGATCGAGCCCAGGAATTCCAGCCTAGTTCGGCAAGGGTGGAAACTGGACTATTAAAGTCAGTTAACTCTCTTGCCTCCGGGAGATGCATTTCTTAGGCCTGCCAAGATCTATGATTGTGTGTTCCAATTGGTTTGTCTGATGGTTTCTTAGCACCATACCTGTGGTTTTCACCAAAGTGGTCAACATTAAGATCTGCATCACTTAGAGATTTCCTCCCACGTTTAGTTGATATTGTGATATCACTGCCTCTGTGCCTCTAGTATGCACAAATGTTGAGAATGGACTCAGATAAAGGAATATACTGCATCTGGAGGGACGGACATTATTTTTTGTACATACAAAGCATCAAGAGCAGTTATGAGTGTCTGTCAGTTCATCCATCAATCATGACCACTGTCCAATCTCATTAAAATCAGGTCTTAGTTCTCGCTACCGCTAAACAAAGATCTGAAGACATCCCATTAGGGGTCACGTCGGACCGACCTTGCGCGAACTTTGACCGACAAATGGATTGACCAATCAGAAGACAGCTTTCTCGTGCTTTACGCCACTAATTTCAAATTGGTGACTTCGCTTCGAAACATATTTTGACAAATTCTCGATTACAAATTAGAAACCTAAACAAATTAACACTCTGGAATGGCTAATAGATGGACTAGATTGTATGGATTCAGTCGTTAAACCCGTAACTATCACTCAGAATATCCAGTGTTAAATTTTTCGAGGTTGCGAGGTTACTTCGAGGTTGCAGAATTCACATTCCGAATGTCACTTTCATGATCTGGTAAGCGATGCTCTGATTGGTCGGATGAAAGGTCGTTCTGTCATGACCCCTAATGGGATGTCCTCAGATCTTTGTTTGGCGGTAGCGAGAACTGAGATCTGATTTTAATGAGATTGGACCACTGTCCACATGATCATTGATTCAGTCCAGACTAATTATCAAAACGTACAGTACACTACACCATTTCATTACTTCACAGGACCTCATATTGCCTGTAAGGACCCTTTATATTAATTATAGGGGTCCCCTGGCCCCCCATTTTAGTAACACAAAGTAGAACCCTGTAACCATGGTAACTATTGCTGTTCATACCTGCATTAAACCATTTTCACTCACGATATTGGAACATGCAAAAAAAACCACATAGACCTTAATTAGAAACAAGAGGCATACCTGATCATTATACTTTGAACCTTTTAAAAAGGATTGATTTAACTACTGGTCCATTGGCCCATAATTTGTTGTTAAAACTATCCCTGGCTAACACTGTTTTCTTGACTATATTTCAGGGTGATGTGACTGCCAGTGAGAAGTATCCAATAGTATCAGTACACAACAACCCTCCAGTGAATAACACTGTACCCTGGGGGCAAGTCACTGCTCTTACGGCTTTGTCGACCGAGCTTGGAGCAAAGCAAGACGACAGACTTCACCAACAATCCACCGAAGCATATCACAGGAATGATAGAGATGACGCCCAATTTATCTCGGTGTCCGACAACCGGTCATTCCCTACTCAGAACACGCACAGTGTCGCAGAAAACTTTGTTGACAGACCCAACATAGAATCTGAACACAGCTACGCCAATGGAGCAGAAATAACAGATCCAGGATCGCAGTACGTTCCTCAAGGCATCATTAGTCTTCCAGAGTCCAACCATTTCAACAGAGTGAGCATCAACGGCGTCAGCGAGGAGTATCAACCTCAGCATATACACAGAGAGGGTGGGGAGAGACCGCATACCACGGGCGAGGAATCCGGGGAGAGGTATGTTGGCAGCACGAACAATCAGTTTGCTGATGCCACGCCGCAGAGTGATACGGACCACAGTGATCGGTTCATCAGTCGGCAGAGTTCCGAAACTGGAAACTTGTTGAATAATTTGACTGATTTAGCATATCAAAATTTTGTGGACAATGTTCCATTTTCACCTGTATCTCCGGCGGAGTCGAGCTCTGAGATCTTCAACCTGCAGGCGCCGGTCATCTCGATGCAGGTGACGGAAAACAGAGTGCAGCATTTGACAGGTAGGTTTCGTTTGTTTTGAGTGTTAAGCAATATTCCAGCAATATGGAGGCGGTCTGTATATAATCGTGTCTTGATTGATATCATGAGCAACAATCCACATTTGAGTTACAATCGCATGCCATCATCACCGAGTTTGACCATCTGATCCGTGAGGCATGTTAAGCATCCTCTTACAACCAGCATAGGATGCTGGGGACCTATTCTAACCTGGAATCCCCACTGGGGACAGGTAGGTAGGTTGGCCTGCCAAAACTGTTTCAGTCCGGAAGTTAGATTAGTTAGAATATTGTCAAAGGGTGGCCCAGTCATGTAAGGCACCACAATTTTCTGTGCAGAGTTACTTCTCCTTGGCATGCCAGAATCCCATGTTCATGGGTTAGAGTCCCAAATTAATCCAGGTTATGATTCTTGTTTGGTCATGAATAAACAGCTAAGAGGTTAGCTCACATGCCCTGATATACCTGAAATACTGTTCATAGTGGAGCAACAAACACTCTTACTTATTCCACCTACCCCACCGAGTCACTTGCCGCGTCACCCTTGAAAATCCGGGGTAGAAGAGGTCTTCGGCAACCCATGCTTGCCGTAAAAAGCAACTGTTTGTCGTAAGAGGTGACGAAGGGGATCGGGTGGTCCAGCTTACTGACTTGGTTGGTGCATGTCATTGTATCCTAATTGCTGGATTGATGCTCATGATATCAATCACTGAACTGTTTGGTCCAGACTCGATTATTTACAGACTGCCGTCATATAACTGGAATATTGATGCAAACAATCACTTGCCAGTCTGATTGCACAGATAGATTTCTTGTGTTGTAGGTTAGAAGAATTTCAGCTGATACGTTCCTGTAAAATCTTTCCACCACTTAAAAGCAGCAAACCATGGTTCTTGTGGAGCCTTTACATCATGGGAATGATTAACAAATAAATAATGCGTTTAATTATGGATTTACCGGCATTACCAAGATAAGTCTTCACACTAAAAGGGGCGGTGGGGTAGCCTTGTGGATAAAGCGTTTGTTCGTCACACCAAAGGCACGGGTTTGATACTCCACATGGGTACAAAGTGTGAAGCCTATTTCTCGTATCCCTCACCCTGATATAGCTAGAATATTGCTGAAAGCTGCATAAAACCCAACTCACTCACTCACTCACTCATGCTACTCATGTTTTTTATTTTCACCAGCACAAAAACCAACCGAGTCACTAGAGCAAGTGGAATTGAGACCAAAGATTATTTCCCACAAAACTAAACATCGGTGTGATGTGTGTGGAAAATGCTTCGCTAAGCCATCAAAACTAAACGAACACGTCCGAGTTCACACAGGAGAAAAACCTTTCAGATGTCCCACGTGCCAAAAATGTTTCGCCCAGTCCGGCACCCTGAAATACCACATGAGAATCCACTCCGGAGAGAAGCCGTTCACGTGTACAGAGTGCGGCAAGACATTCACACAACCAGGGCAGCTGTCATCACACACACTCATCCATCAAGAAAAGTCCCATAAGTGCCAGCTGTGTAAGAAAAGCTTCACGGAGGAACTCTTACTAGAACGCCACATGAAAATCCACAAAAAGGAACGCCCACATAAGTGTGACAAGTGTGGGAAGTGCTTCCTCCATTCCGGTAATCTCGTCATTCACAAACCAAAGTGTGGCGGGGCCGACGAAGACTTGAAGTGTAAGGAGTGTGGAGAGGTCTTCCTGTCAAGGGACGATCTGGAAGATCATGACGAAACTCATTCGAAGAACAAGCCCCATCAGTGTGAAATCTGTTTGAAAAGATACAAGCAGGCAATAAGCCTGTGCAAGCACAGGAGTTCCCACATCGAGCTCAAACAGAAGCTGCACATGTGTGAGCTGTGCGGACAGTGCTACAGCAAACCCAGCCTGCTGAAGATACACCTGAGGATCCATACTGGTGAAAAACCTTTCATGTGTGATTTGTGTGGCAAGTTTCACGGCAGCGCCAACAATCTGCGACGTCACATGTTATCCCATACCGGGGAACGTAATTTCAAGTGTAAGGATTGCGGGAAGGACTTCTCAACGGCACATAATCTGGAGTACCATTCTCGTGTTCATTCGGGCTTGAAGCCATTTAAATGTGACGTTTGTGGAAAGGGGTTTCCCTTTTCGTTTAGCCTCGACCGTCATATGCGAACTCATAAGAATGTTCATCGGACATGACTGATGTCTTACCTCATTGTATTCAAAAAGCATTTTGAAACTTTTATACAACTACATGTACAATGTTAAATGATATTTTTAGCCCACCTGATCTGAAAATATTCAAGTGATCTTATGTTGTTTTGGGGAAGTCACCACCATCTGCCTGTTTAAATGTTTACCTTTTAGACATCTCCTCTGAAGCAAGGTCTATGAAGCTGAAACTGGATATTTGCAGACAATTTTGATCTGATGTTGGAAGTATCTTTGTGGCATTATTCTTTCTATCTGAATGTATAATTTTAAAACTTGAACTGAAATTTTGCAGGATTTTCCCTGAACATGTTTTTGCCTGGTTACCATGGTTACTGGTTATGCTTGATGTTTATTTTCAAGTTTAGTACTTTGATCTTGTTTTAAATCTTTGTATTAGCATGGTGAACATGTATGTATGACCTTCGGCGTCCTGATTTTCTCATGCTAATGGACCAGTGAAGATCTGGGGGAGAATAGATCTTCAGCAACCCATGCTTGCCGTAAAAGGCGACTATGCTTGTCGTAAGCGGAAACTAACAGGATCGGGTGGTCAGGCCTTCTGACTTGGTTGATGCATGTCATCGTATCCCAATTGGTTGGATCAATGCTCATGATGAGCCGTCATGTAACTGGAATATTGCTGAGTGCGGCGTTAAACAACAAACAAAGAAACAAACAAACAAACTCATGCTAATGTTAAAAGATATTCCAGAAAAACACTGATGGCCTACAGCACTGTGTCTGTGTGTATGGGAATCCAATTTTAGAAGAGGTCCCAAGAGGTCGTAAGGTTGACGGTGTGCATTGTTGCTCACAATATCAATCACTGGATTGTCTTGACTCGATTATTTACAAACCGCAGTCATATGGCTGGAATATTGCTGAGTGTGGCCTTAAACAACAAATAGAAAAACTCAACGAAAGTGCGAAACGTTTGCATATACCATGCATATCCTTGTCACAGCCAGTATGTGTTCTCCAGAGGACAACCAGATCGTATTTAAAATGCTGGTATGTTTTTTCATGGGAGCAACACCTCCGGGATTAAACTTTTGATTTTCATAATGGTTTCCCTCTCGCGTCATTTAGGACATCCCACAACATACGTTTCGGCCAACACACTGGAAGGCTTCAATTTATTTGATATGAATTTCCGTGGTCTAATGACACAATTCTGCCTTGTTTACATATATAACCATGATAACTGTTGAGGATATAAATCTATAAATTTGATTCAATAACTAAATGTTCATAAATGTCCTGTGCTACTAGGAGTAAAATGGTTGGTCGGGTAGCCTAGTGGTTAAAGCATTCGCTCGTCACGCCAAAGACCCGGGTTCGATTCCTGACATGGTACAATGTGTGAAGCTCATTTCTGGTGTCCTCCGTCGTGATATTAAAGTAAAGTAGACACAGTTTGTGGACAATGTCTTTTTTTACTGTAAAGGCAGCATTTTGGTATAGATCCTTATACCGTTGTCAAGCAAAGCATTTTCAAAGCTCATATTTCATGTATTTCATTATGTTTAATCCCAGATTGGTTGTTCTCTCCTAAAACATACCGAGGTCTTAACATGCTTAAAACCCGAAAAATTGTTACGTTTCAGTATGTTTTGGCCATGGAAAGGATATTTGAAAACCAACAAACAGCAGGTCTGTTTGTTATTTACCTGAATAGTATTTATCAATTGTTTCATGGTCACGTACTTAAGTTGTTCATGATCAGCGGCATATGTTCATGTGTTAGTGAGTTCCGATGTTCTATTGAACTGCAATACAGGAAACTCATAATGTTTGTGTCAACCTCCGTTGTTATGATGGTGTTTAATAATGTCAAACTGTTAGAAGAATTATCATCTGTTTTCTCACGTAACATTTACCAATACAGTGATACCCCATTAATCCAGATGTGACCACTCTACAGGGTTTCTGGAATAACAGGATCTGGATTAACGAGGTTTCACTATGCATGTATCATTATTAATTATCCCTTAAAGGGAAAATCAATGGAAACAATTATTGCGATTTTGTTGCAAATATCAATTGTCCTAGATATATTAAGTCAATTCCCGAGAGAAAAAATATAATATTCGTAAAAAGTATTTAAATGCTGAAATCATGTGTTCCGTAATCGAATTCAAAAACAAAACTATTTGGGGGCATGTCCTAATGCTACTGGTGCAGCAATGCATGAAAATGTTATCAAAGGCTGATGAAGTGGCTGACTGGTGATGCTTGGCAGCTTTTTGGATGCGTCAGGAAGCGGTCAATCTAATAGTGTTGCTAATTCTGTTAATCCTACGAAAAGAACATTGCATACGTTGCTGAGTGTGTGAATCGACCTTTGATCTTGAAATTGTGAATAATTAAAACAACAGTATATATCTGTAACGAGCTTATTAGGACTAACATCCTGTTTGTGTACTTCCTGCTTGTCCAGCAGCTGGCCTGAGGGTTAATCCCCATCGTGTTTGTTTAAGCAATATACATCAGTACATCCAGCATTTGTTTTCTTCAAAATATATAATAAACAATTGATAAAAGAAATGAGCACTGTATAAGATATAGTCTTATTTGTTTAATTTCACACTTAGGATTTCCATTTACATAATTCACTGTCCAACTACATGTGAAACAGCATTGTGATTATCCTTCACTGTTTTCTGGTTGGCGAGAAGTTGTCTCTTCTCCCTCTCAAGGGCATAGTCTAGGTTTCGATACTTCTTCTTGGGTGGGGGGGCACGGGTGGCCCAGTCGTCTAAGGAGATGCGATTCGCTGTGCAGAGTTGCGTCCCTTGGGCATGCCAGAAACCTATGATTGTGGGTTCGAATCCCGGTTCGCCCCATTTATGTTTCTAGGTTTGAAGTGGTAAACGTCTGAGACCTGCATCACTTCAGGTTTTCCTCCCACATTAAGCTCACATGCCGCGATATAACTGGAATACTGTTAAAAGCGGCGTTAAACCAAACTCACTCACTCACTCTTGGGTGGCATCAGACTACCTGGATTGTGATTGCAGTGTTATCCAGCTCAATCTGCAGTATCTCAATGAATTTGTACATATTTTGATACCACGCCTCCAGATGATCTGTGGCGTCGTCCCACTGCTCAGAGACATGTAATTGTGCTTGTGACAAGGTCATCTTTGATGTTAATGATGGTTGGGCATCCTCGGTGGGAACATTTCCATTGAATGGAAGTTTGACGTCTGATCTTAATCGCGAACTTGTATCCGGCATAAACCAAGTGCCGATCCCTCTTAGAATTGGGAATAAGCTGTAAATCATCCTGCCCATTTGCCACAGTGGAATAGTTTCTTGTCTGTAATTCCTGTTATAGCTCAAATTGTACTAAATGATTAATATGTCCATTCACTCACTGATATATATTTTTAAAGTTTTACCCAGTACAGTGTATGTGAATAGAGTTAATCATTTAGTTGTGTCGTTTTATTTTGTGAGATATTCACCAATTACTTGTCTCATGTGAGATGCATCACTTAATCTCTATTGTCTTATCCATCACCATACTAGCGTAAATTTGTACCAATGACAATATGTGCTGGACAAGTAGGAAGACAAAAAATTGTTGAAATTGCGCAGCACGTCAGTCACTGGTACCCCATTTTAAGGGGATTCCCCTCAATGGCGGAAATTTTCATCGGGGGTACGAATGTGCCTGTTGTGTTTTATCGTCCATTTCACAGTTTTTCCCTTTTTCAAATTTAATTTTGGTCAACCATTTGTGATTAGGGATCCCCTAAAGTATTAAATTCTTCTGCTATGTTGACTTGCCCTTTAAAAACATGTTACAGTATAAGTTTCCTTGAGTTATAGATCATGCCTTGCAGTAGGAAACAAATGTTAATTGAGGGGAGATTATTCAAAACAACTGCTTGTTGTAATCGGTCTTGCTGCTGGGCAATGGCAGGTTTTAATGTCATTTCCATGAATTGCCTCCCTTGGACACGCCAGAAACCTATGATTGTGGGTTCGAATCCCGGTTCACCCCGATTATGTTTCTAGGTTTGTCAGCACTAAACCCATGCTCGTGGGTTTCACCGGAGTGGTAAACGTCTGAGACCTGCATCACTTCGGGCTTTCCTCCCACATTAAGCTGACACGCCGTGATATAACTGGAATATTGTTAAAAGCAGCGTTAAACCCAACTCACTCACTCACATTTTTATGAATGTCAGTCATGTTCCCAAGGTGTACAAGCCAAGTCTTGCCATTTACAGTGCAACATTCTACACCAGGGGTTTGCTGAAGGTCCAGGTGGCCTGATGGCTGAAGCAGTAGCTTGTCTCACTGAAGTCAAGGTTTGATCCCCATGTTCATATACGTTAGGCTTAAAAAAATAAAAGAATTGGTTCTCAGGCAATGGTTTTTGAAGATATTTTTCAGATTTAATACTGTTTTAATTTTCAGAAAATAATGGGGGCCACATGGTTCGCCCCGATAATGTTTCTAGACTTGTGAGCACCATACCCATGCTTGTAGGCTTTTTGTGGTAAACATCTGATACCCTCAACACCATGATCACTGATACAATGTGATATACCGTATTCGACGTAATAAGCGCCCAGGGTGCTCTCAAAATTAGAAATAGGGGGCTCTTATTAGAATATTATTTTGGTGAAAAAAGAGAGTTGAAAGATAAATTTTGTGGTTTATGCTGACAGCCTGAAATGTTTATATACGACAGATATATTTTTCTAGAATTTAATTGCCAATAATTAAGGGTGCATATGACACACGAGTGCGTATTATACGCGAATAAATAAGTCTTTTGTACATTGATCAATCGGAAGGGGTGTTAATTGGGATTGTTCACTAGCCAATATATTAGCAACTATCGCCGTGGGCGCTTATTAGAGCGGGGCGCTTATTACGTCGAATACGGTAACTGAAATACTGTTCAAAGCGTTAAGCACAACTCACTCACTCACTCACTCTTTTTTTTCAGAAAGTAATGTATTTTTAGGTATTTAAGTTTTTCAGTAGCCCATCTTGATAATTGCTTGGATTACTGTTACCACCTGTTGCAAGGCAAAGTGTTGACCTTGACAGGAACCTGTGAAGATCCGGGGTAGAATAGATCTCCAGCAACCCATGCTTGCCGTACAAGGCGACTACACTTGTCTTTAGAAGAACTAACGGATCGGGCGGTCAGGCTCATTGACTTGGTTGATGCATGTCATCGTATCCCAATTGCATGGATCGATGATCATGATGTCAATCACTAGATTATTTACAGACTGCCGTCATATAGCTGGAATATTGCTGATTGTGGACGTAACATCATAAAAAGGAACATATATTATGTATTGAGAACATTCTCAGTGCAATCTGGTACACGTGGTACAAGTGGCATATATATCAGTTTTGTAACATAACTGAGGTTGTATACTGGTGTCACAATGGACCATAGACATTGGATAGTCATAGTGTATTAAACTACCGTTTGACCTTGTACCACCCTTTGACCTTGTACCTCCCTTTGACCTTGTATCACCCTTTGACCTTGCCCCCCTTTGACCTTCCTTCTATTAAAGCATGACCATCCTTGACCTGCTTCTCAATGTACTTCATAGACTAGAATCCATAAATTCCATATTATTGGGAGTTTGGAACACTGAGGGCTTCCATTACTCTTCCACCAAGTGAGCATCATAAACATGTATTATGGTATTTGTACTCCACTCTATAGGTGGAGTTTTCTTTACTGTACTGGAGTGCAATCATCCTGATTAAAAGTGTGCAATGAAGAGTTGGTGTTTTATTCATGGTGGAAGACTAGAACCCCAGCATCACATGTTTCTGGAGACGGACTGACAAGGATCAGGTGGTCAGTAGGGTGACATGGCTGATTGTGTCAGTGTGCTACCCTTGCTCATCCTCTTCCACACTGGTTTGCCTGGCCCAGCCTCATATTTACAGGCCACCTTGATACAGTTGGAGTGTTTCTGAGTGCCGTCCTAAATAATATGCACTTCCAGCATGCACACAATGTGACATTTTCATACAGTCACTGACACACAGACACACCACACCACACACACACACACACCACAGATACACACCACACACACCACAGACAGACAGACACACACACACCACAGATACACATACACACCACAGACACACACACACACACCACAGACACACACACCACAGATACACACCACACACACCACAGATACACACACACACCACAGACATACACACCACACACACACACACACACACACACACACACCACAGATACACACACAGACACATACACACACACACACACCACAGACAGACACACACACAAACACACACACACACACACCACAGATACACACACACACTTATGTCATTGTATCCCCATTGTATAGATCGATTCTCATGATGTCTATAACTGGATTGTCTGGTCCAGCCTCGATTATTTACAGACCGCCGTCATATAGCTGGAATATTGCTGGGTGTGGCGTTAAACAACAAACAAACAAACATATACATACCTCGTATTTAGAAGTACACTACATACTGACAAGATAATGAAATCCTGCAGCCGGTTATATGTAGTGTGTAACTAGTTTTACTAAAGGTAACAAGTATATTATAGGTGTATTCACACATTTAACATGCCGAATACACTACGCAAACTTTAGTTCTGAGTGTCCAGGTGAGGTCTGAATGTGACTGCTCGGATAAGTTGCCATGCGAGCAGTATTCAATATTGTCATGGAACAAGCATATTCAGTTCAATTTTAAACATGTACATCATTCAACAAGTTGTTATCCTTCATTTTCATAAGGGCATGAAATATCTCTATCCCTACCATTCACTCGATGAGGGATGTATCATATTTAACAAGATACATGAAATATCCTCTGTAACAGTAAGAAAATAGTGTTTGACCTATTAGCACTGTGTATTCAAGCATATTCGACGGGTCAGTACCTGGAGATTAACAATCTCAAATCAGAGCATTCCAATGTTTATCAAGGAGTGTAAGGGCCAAAAAGAAAGTTTGTATGCCAGCACTGATTTCTATCTGACAAGTGAACTTTTATGTCACGATAACAACATCTTCAGAAGATCGTGTTCATACATAGAGTTTATGCCCATGCATGCGTCCAGCTAGTTCACAACGGAGTCATTGTCATCTTCCCGAGGCAAGAGAGTTAACTGACTATAAAAGTCCAGGACTTTTAAAGTCAGTTAACTCTCTTGACTCGGGAAGATGAGTCATTGTATGCCATGGCAGTTTCTGAGTTTATCTTTCTTTTGGGGGCACGGGTGGCCCAGTCGTCTAAGTCGTCGCGATTCGCTGTGCAGAGTTGCGTCTCTTGGGCACGCCAGAAACCTATGATTGTGGGTTCAAATCCCGGTTCGCCCCGATTATGTTTCTAGGTTTTACACCACCATACTCGTGCTCGTGGGTTTCACCAAAGTGGTAAACGTCTGAGACCTGCATCACTTCGGGCTTTCCTCCCACATTAAGCTCACACGCCGTGATATGACTGGAATAATGTTAAAAGCGGCGTTAAACCCAACTCACTCACTCAATTATCTTTCTTTTAATTGGTAGAACTCTCTTTAAAACATGCCTGAAATAGATGTGAAGATAGCCACAGCTAACATGTTAATAGTAAAATGGCTGGCTTTATAAGGCTGAAAATATACTTGATCGCTGTTCATTAAGTGAAGTGTTTCATAACCCCAGGACATAACCCTAGAAAGAACACTGACAGGTCACTTCTTCTAATAGTCACTGTCAAACTCTGAGGGTAACGGATATTCTTCCTGTAAAAATGTGCCTTTCTCCCAAACGATATTTCATATTCCCTACTTCAATTTAGAATCACAAATCATAATATACCTGTAGAATCTAGCAGATGACATTGTATATACACCCCGGGAGCATAGACCGTGCCATCTCTGCAATTCACCATCTATTGGAGACGAATTTCATTCTCTGTTTAAATGTAACGCCCTCGAGAATGAAAGATTAATATATTTAGATAAATATTTTTATTTATGGCCAGCTTTATGTAAATATAAACAACTTTTATGTTCACAGAAATTAAAGGTACTGAAAAAAATACCGTGAACACGAAATAGTTCTACATGTTTACCGCCATATCATCTTGTCATGTGTTATATATATTATACAATGATATGTCAAATATGCTCTTGTACCACCGTGGTTGGGTCTTATGAGAATGAATTTTGATTGATTGACTCAAGGAAACTTATACTCAAACTAAATGAAAGCAACAAACGCCTTATTGTCCTTTAAAAACATTCCTAAACCCAATCTCACATCCGATTTGGGCAAGGTCGCCAATCGCCACCCAGGTATTTCGCCTGCTTATTTGTTAATAAAGAAAAGAGAAATAATTGGTGATATGTGCTATTATATTTGTTACAAATTTTGACAATGCCAGATGTAAAAGCTAGTGTAAACTATTCCCCTCGAGACGCGACTGTGAACCTGTTTGCACTGATCCATGTTCCCAGCTGGAGGGATATAACGTTTTACACTATGGATCAAGACAGATGAAATTGCCAAATGTCGGCATGGGTGGTCTAATCTTAAACCCCCATTCACATATAGACTTTTGTTTGAATTTATTTTTGCATATAGAGTAAAACTATTCCCATCCTAAAAAGTCATAAAGGTATATATATATATATAGTTTCTGTTCACACGTGATTGAGGTCACGGGTATAATCTAATATTCAGATACTGTTTTCAAAGAGTGAGTGTTCGAATTGGGTTTAACGCAGGAGTCACAGTATTCATGTGATGGTGGACGAAGGCGCCTCAATTCTCTGTGCATAGTTGCGCCTCCACTGGCGTACCAAAAAGCTTTGGTGGTAGTTTCGATATTCCACATTCGTCTGATAATAGTTCTAGGTTTATCAGCACCATACACCGTCATGAGCTTCTCCAAAGTGGTAGCTACCTATTGGGGCTTTCTCTCACACCAATCTGAACATGATATAACTTTAATTCTGTTCCCGGGGCAGCGTAAAACACAACTCACTCACTCAAAACAGCGTCCAAGAAGAATTTATTTTTTTTACAAAATATATATGGTACATCTATCATTACTTTACGTTTATACAAAGGCACATACATGTACAAACACTAATTCAAACGTAACTGTTTTGTTCTTTTATAAATAATGAACATCTGTGAATGACATATCCCATCACAATAATTTCTTTGGCAGGAAGTATATCTCTTACGTCCTTTTTTTCCAAGCGAGAATTGCCCATCATATATCTCTTATTTATACCGCATTCTTTCAACATATCATTTTTGTCAGGTACTATTTTGAAAACAGGCTGTGAGGAAACCGAACACCTTTGCGTTATATACAGTTACATATTTCATTGTCGCCAACAGTTGACTTCGAACTGTTCATGTCTTTTTGACGCCCGCAAACTTGATTGAAGAGGATTACATACAGAACACTGATTGTTGGTAGACAGAAGCACATCCAGGAACAACAAAGGGAGGTAATAGATATCCAGTCGTTTTTTCACGTACGTAATCACATTACACTGTCATGTCGAGTTAACCAAGATCGGCCCACGGTCTATGCACCCACCCACCCCTCAGTTTCCCCAATATACCAGTGTAAAATATCCTCATTATTTTATAATATTAACTACCAGCGACCCATTCTTGACCACTCGTGATAATCCGGTTACGGAAAGGAGCGATTGGTGACGAATGCCATTCGCTACCAAAGTTTCGTTTGGAAGTGTGGTTGCAATGTCCGCCCAATCATCAACCTAGCACAGAATTTCTCTCGCTGATGAGCTTAACGACCAATCAATTGACTTATGAGAATACGGCGAAATAACCCACTGGGTAATCGAGGATGTTCTCCAACCCCACCCTACCCCCAAAGTCATTATAACAGTCTCTGCTCTCTAAAGGAAGGCGTCTTGTGTGATCTCCTGGTTGTTGGAATGTCTGTCAACAAACACATCGGCAATCTCGTTCTTCCCCATCTCGCGGAGTGCGCGTTCCATGTACTTCACTCTGTCCCTTGTCTTCACTTCTGCCGTCATCTTCTTCCAAAACAGAAGACACTTCTCCGCAACCGATACACGAAGCTTCTCGTTCTCCTCGCATCTGCTGTCGCCGCCGATGTCGCAGATGCAGTTGACGATGGTGGTGGTGGGGATGTTGAGCATCATTGCCAGCACGACGCCGTTAAGGTTCTCCTGTCCCACATTGCGGGCCAGCATCACGAGACTGGAGTCGGTGAGAACTTCCACGTCCTTCTTCGACGGGACTGTATTGACTGTAACAGGGAGAACAACGTGTGGGTTAATACCTTACAGGGGCGGTCGGGTAGCCTAGTGGTTAAAGCGTTAGCTCGTCACGCCGAAGACCCGGGTTCGATTCCCGACATGGGTACAATGTGTGAATCCCATTTCTGGTGTCCCCCGCCGTGATATTGCTGGAATATTGCTAAAAGCGGCGCAAAACCATACTCAATCACTCACTCACTCACTAATACCTTACAGTTTGTCAGCGTGCAAGAGTTTGTTTGTTTGTTGTTTAACGCCGCACTCAGCAATATTCCAACTTTATGACGGCGGTCAGTAAATAATCGCGTCTGGACCAGACAATCCAGTGATTGACATCATGAGCATCATTCTACGCAATTGGGATTCGATGACATGCATCAACCAAGTCAGCGAGCCTGACATCAGATCCCGTTAGTCGCCTCTTACGACAAGCATAGTCGCCTTCTACGGCATGGGTTGCTGAAGACCTATTCTACCCTGGATCTTCACGGGTAAAAAATTAATATATATTTGCCATGTTTCTCCTTTCAGAAAATTACGTTTGTATGACTTGAGGCAGTGACTGGGGGAGGTGGGGTGGCCAAGTGGATAAAGCGTTTGTTCGTCACGCCGACTAATCGAGTCTGGACCAAACAATCCAGTGATTGACATCATGAGCATCGTTCTACGCAATTGGGAATCGATGACATGCATCAACCAAGTCAGCGAGCCTGACCACCGGATCCCGTTAGTCGCCTCTTACGACAAGCCTAGTCGCCCTTTACGGGAAGCAACAACCGCCATCATGTGGGTGTGGCGTTTAACAGAATCCAAACAAAAGTTAACATATAATGGCAGGATTTCATATGTGTAACTAAGGTAAATTATAATATTGGGTGTCATGACAAATTTCATGAAACGTGTTTTTGGTTCATTTGGAATCCACATGAAGTCTTTGGTTTCATATCACCTTTCGTCTTGGAGTCCTGCTTTCATGTCACATACAGTTCTAGTTTCATATCACCTATCGTCTTGGAGTCCTGCTTTCATGTCACATACAGTTCTAGTTTCATATCACCTATCGTCTTGGAGTCCTGCTTTCATGTCACCTACAGTTCTAGTTTCATGTCACCTATTTAGTTCAATGCGGATATCCACACAAACACAATACCAAAAATTAATTCGTCATTTCTGCATGGATTGGGATTGACTAGTGTGTGAAACAATGAGGTACTGCAGAAATTAGGTGAAAAGATGGAAAAATCGCAAAAACACACCAACAAAACATGCACGTTGTGTTCTCATTTGCATGCCACCACAATCCTACAATAACCAGGAATATATTTTAAAAAGAAAACTCGAAAACACCTTACATCGTACGGAACGCTTTCCTTGTTTGGTTCTCGCATCCATCGCATCCGAATATACGCCGATCCAAACACAAAAATGAAATCCTAGACTGTGTATGTCCACCCAACACCACACAAGATCCAATAGAGTCGCCTTATAAACAGACTTGATTGTTAAAATCGAACAGCCTCAACACGTTCGTCCTTTCAATGCCGTGGGCAAGCTTATTGGTAAATCTCACTCAATATCAAAACAGTCCCACCCGCCTTCTTCAGCCCAAGTGCTCACACGTTTTGTTTAAGAGCTTATTGAAAGTCGAACGCGGAATCACCAATAATTACCCGTTGACCTGGCTGCTACACAACATACCCGTCACAATAGACTCCGCCAGACTTTATTACCTTTGCCATAATCTCAACACGCACATAAAAGCAGAACAGTGCAATTATCAGCATTATTGCTGGCAGTTGTTGATTAATTGGCCGCATTGCCACAAGTTCTATTGACTTGTGAGGAGCGCTCTGAGGGTTGAGTGGCTATAATCGACGTTTTTGTTATCGGTTATTAGAAGGTAAAAATGGAAGGTAAATAAATCATTGATCCGCGGATAGGGTGACATCGACACATAAAGCGTTAGTAAATGACCGATGTGGATAGTTACACACACACACACACACACACACACACACACACACACACACACACAGAGATCTATTGTAGTGGTTCGGTATCTCTTGACATCGTCAGTCAGGTGGAGAGGGTCGTGTGTCGGGTCAGGTAACAGTGATAGTTTAATTACAAGGACACTCCAGTAACCGGAATAGGACGCAGGGAGGGTCTTTTTTAGTTTTTTTTAAAACAAAAACAATGTACCCGGAATTTTTAATTTATAAATGCAGTTTTTCAACAATCTCATTAAAATCAGATATTAGTTCTCGCTGCCGCAAAGATCTGAGGACATCCCATTACGGGTCAGGTCAGACCGACCTTTCGCGAACTCTGACCGACCAATGGAATTACTGACAAGAAGTCGACATTAGCCATTCAGAAGGCAGCTTTCTCGTGGTTTATGGCACTAATTTCAAATTGGCGACTACGCTTCGAAACATATTTTGACAAATTCTCGCTTAAAAAGTTGAAACCTGAACTAAAGAACAATCTTGAATGGCTAATAGATGGTCTAGATTGTATGGATACAGTCGTTAAGCCCGTAACTATCGTTCGGAATACCCCGTTTTAAAGTTATCGATGCTGCATGATTAGAAATCACATTCTTTCACTTTCATGATCTGGTAAGCGACGCTCTGATTGGTCGGATGAAAGGTCGTTCTGACGTGACCCCTAATGTGATGTCCTCAGATCTTTGTTTAGCGGTAGCGAGAACTAAAATTTTGATTTGAATGAGATTGAGTTTTTCAATTGATGCTCTGAATTTACACAATACAGCATCTTTTGTAACGGTATCCATCGAGCGCTCACTCTAAGTGCTGCTAGATCGCAAACCAGGCTACAACGTGCTATTGTTGCGTAACCTGCTCGTACGAATCAGTCCTAATTGGTATTTATAACATGGTTGTGTGGAAACGGAATTCCATTGTGAAGCATTTTGGTCACGTGTTACCTAAGGTCTTCCAGTCTTTGGGCATCACTCGATGGCTTCCTTTGAACGCAGTATCTTATTTCTAAACAAGAATCTAATCACGTTGTAGCTGCTTTAGTATACAGTGAAACCCAAATTCCGATACGTTTGGGAATGTGTGCTGAAAGGATATAAAAGGGAACGCATATAGCAGTAATGAGAAATGGGGACATGCTGTGGTCATGCTTCCAACAACAGAGCAAGTCATGGGGTTTAACGTCGCGTCCAAGATTATTGCACTTATATAGCGACGTGCATGCACGTGTGTGTGTGGCTGCTTGTACTAGTCCGGATTGATGCCGATTTATAGTGCTAGCACACTGAGATACCATGCCGCAGTTTAACATGAATACCCCACTCAGACACAGTATACTGACTCCGAGCCGACCAGACCAGTTTTAGCCCCTTAATGCCGAGCGCCAGACAGGGTAACAACAAGTACCATCTTTTAACGTCTTTTGGTATGACGCGGCCGGGGATCGAACCCCGGACCTTCCGCTCTCCGGGCGGACGCTCTACCACTAGACCACGGAGGCGGTCTGCAAGTCATTGAAAGAAATGTAAGTATCAAGAGTGTTGACTTGATTTCAAAACAGCCTCCGATATTCTTCGAGCACATGTCAACGATGGGTCAATGATGCACCCGTCATGGGGCTGAGTGTTTGAAGAGTATTACGCCAGGGGGGCGGTCTGTAAATAATCGACAATTTTAATCAGACAATCCAGAGATTGATATTATGAGCAACGACCCGTTCTCACTTGGTACGATGACACATAAATCAACTAAGTCACCGAGCCTGACCACCCGGTATGCTGATTCTGTCACACCAAGCATAGGTTGCTGGGGTCAATTTTAACCTTGGAATTCCCATGGAGGCTGAGAGGTCCCTGGCCCATTCGGTCTTGTTCAGGGGGCGGTCGGGTAGCCTAGTGGTGAAAGCGTTCGCTCGTCATGCACTCCGAAGACCCGGGTTCGATTCCCCACATGGGTGCAACGTGTGAAGCCAATTTCTGGTGTCCCCCGCAGTGATATTGCTGGAACATTCTGTGCGAGTACACACAAGATTAATCAGCTGGCATAAGACATGCAGTTAGCAGCATTCGCAACACTTTGGGGCGTTTTTTGTTTTGTTGTTGTTGTTTTACGCCGCACTCAGCAATATTCCGGCTATATGAAGGCGGTCTGTAAATAATCGAGTCTTGACCAGAAAGTCAAGTGATTGACACCAGGAGCATCGATCCACGCAATTGGGATACGATGACATGCATCAACCCAGTCAGCGAGCCTCACCACCCGATCCCGTTAGTCGCCTCTTACGACAAGCATAGTCGCCTTTTACGGCAAGCATGGGATGCTGAAGACCTTTTCTGAAGACCCGAGTTCGATACCTCAAATGGGTACAATGCGCTGAGCCAATTTCGGGCGTGGTTATTGGTGGAATGTATTAAAGTTGCGTAAAACCATACTCACTCACTCACTCGCATCGGAGCATGGGTTGCCTAGAAGTCATGCCACAATGCTGTGCAGATTAACATTTAGTGCTGGGATTGGAGGGTTGTTGGTTCGAATCCAACTTTCACTCTTTGTTCATTGACCTGTCAGTACCCTGATGATAATGATTGTGATTGAGTATGTTTTTACGCCGCTTTTAGCAATATTCCAGCAATATCACGGCGGGGGACACCAGATATGAGCTTCACACATTGAACCCATGTGGGGAATCGAACCCGGGCGTTCGGCGTGACCAGCGAACGCTTTAACTACTTGGCTATCCTAACGCCATTGATGAATATGAGTCCTGTTTGTATACAGTATATCTTATATAAATTGTAAAATGGTAAAATATTTCTGCCCCCTGGTGATAATGAGTTTCATCAAAATAGGAAACGTCTACAGTCTCATTAAATTCAAATCTTTAACTCAGTCTCGACATCTCACTTGACTAAAGGGTCTGATTGTAATGAGATTGCTGATCAAGTGTTATTCCAACTCATTGTTTGTTTGTTGTTTACCCTCTGGATGCCGAGTTTTTTTTCTGACGCACATTTTCCTAAGATCGGAAAAGTGAAGGTTGTACGAGAAATGCGCTCACGCGGCACTGGATCTACCTCTGGCCAAAAAATTACGCAGAGGTGGAGAATATTATATTTCCTATTTGGTGGTGTAAATTTAACTGTAAATATCAAACCGGTTTAAAAAAAAAGACACTCCTAAGTGCTGTCCAAGAATTTATTCTGCGTTGAAAAACAGTAAATTTCTCCGCTTTTTATCGTCCACCGATAAAATTACTGTGCGACAATTTTTTTTATTAAGAAGCTTTACGGAATCTCTGAGCGAACAAAATGCTGCCTAATATCTGAACGACATAACTACATATCAAATGGAGTTATATGCGTATGTATAACGACACACATTCAATTAAAAAAATAGCATGCCGTAAATGACGAAAACTGATTTTTCTCTATGACGTCAAAAGGTGACAGAGAGGTTACACAGTACAAAGAAAAGGGGGCATAACTCCGCTATACTTAGCTCTAGTTTATTGTAACTCAGGTCACTTGGTGAGAATTAGCTGTGGGTAAGGACAATATATTTTCGTGGTATTTTGTTCAGGAGGAACCAAACTATTCCAACACAAATATCGATATTGAAACTGTACACTTTTAGTTATAAAATATACCCATAAGAAATGATGAAATCGTACTTCATAAAAAGGAGGTATTATAATAGAGAAATGGATGGCCTTATCTAACCTATAACTTAGTCCTTAGATTCCAACATTCTCCTGATTGTGTAAGTGTAATTGACTAATGTTGCATCATTATTAATGGAGCACAAGCCTTATCATCAAATGTAATGAAATACCCTAAAAATAACACCATTCTTTTTGACGTCATGGCTGGTTTTATGTCGTTGATAACGTCGGAAAAAGACGACACTAGTATTTTGATTAATATATATCTCCCCTAATTTTCGTTCATGGTATGGAAAATCTCGATGTGTGGAACGGAATTTGACGCTTTGTCGACACAACATAAAATGACTGCTCTCGCCAAGTACATAATGTCTTGAATATGTAAACAATTAGATAGTTTATCGTGTATCTTAATTGGACAAGACACGCACCTGTTTGGCACCAATTTATGTAATGAATTTCCCCAAAGAATATTTCAAAACAACCAAAATTATATTCAATATTGGACATATATTTGTTCATGATTATGTTATTTTTTCTTACACAATAAAAGATGCAAAGAAAGCTCTATTGGTATAGAATTATCAGGATAATCGTATACGTTTGAACCAACGGGGTACCTGGCATGGGTTTTATTTTTATACATTATACAATTCCTGGAGAAATAAAGTAAACTGTTTACTATCCTGTGATCACAATATTGAAAAAAGAATGAAACCATTGATTATAAATGCAAAACGAGAGGAATAATTCGTAAATTGTTTGTGACTAACGCGCACCTGGCGAATCGTTAGATATCACTGTTCTCTGTATCCAACGACATAAAAGACAATTCCAAGACCAAGACATTTCAGAAATGTGTGCATATATTTTACCGAAAAATATTATCCATTTTGTTAAAGTAATATTCAATTTTAGTTATAAAATAAAAT